CCAGTAGATTGCCACCTGTGTGCAAGTCTTGGTCAAATGTGTCTGTGGCTGAATTGGACAATTTGCATCGGTTATGTGTGTCCAAAATCTATCCACATGTAGAACAATACATATTCCAGTGGTGCTGGCGCCAAAGTTTAACGAAACTTGAGCCACAATGCTTTTTTGGAAGCAGAGGAACAACTTCTCCGTCCGCGGGACAAAAGAATGGACGGGGTTTTTCATGAGGGACAAAATTGTTGTTACGGCATGTGGCTGATACGCCGTTGAAAGGTTTTTTTTGGGGCATGTGGCTGATCTGCCGCTGTTGATATGTTGCACATGCTCGCTGATGTTCAACAGGGGGTGGAGTTGGGGGGGCTGTTAACGTTCCTGACGACATTAAGACAGGGTCCACGGAACTGGTTGTCGTTGTTGAAATGTTGCACATGCTCGCTTATGCTCAACAGGGGGTGGGGGTGGGGAGGGCTGATAACGTTCTTGACGGCTTTAAGGCAGGGCGCACGGAACTTGACTGATTCTGTTGGAACAGCTTTACCCAAAGCACTGTGTCGTTGATGCTTCGAGACGTGAGAAAGAGGAAAGGATGAGCCAGTGACGGATTGCACTTGAAACATGAAAATCATGAATTCCTAATGTTTTTTTGCACTCGACGCGCAAAATTGACTCACTGCGAAGGCGAAACACAAATTTTTGAACTTGAGTCACACGCCTACCAATCGAAATGGATGTCCATGTTGCAAACATTTTTGAACAAACCCCACAAATACCAGCTTTTTGTCTCTTAGCCTCGAAAATCTCAATGCCAATCAAATTTGAGTAACCCTGTCAGCTTGCCTAGTTTTTTTTTGCTGACCTCTTTGGTTTGGGTTGGCGGGCTGGGGTTCACAATTGCGACAGTATTGGATTGTGGCATTTCATGGCATTTCTAAAAGCCAGCGTCGGCCCAACCAACTTCTGAGTTAAGGCGACAGTTTTGGAGGCAAGGTATAGTTCACAGGTTCAGCTATTGTATGACTACGTTCCTGGCGATGGGAAGCCTCGAGTTTGCCATTGCTCTTCTGGCGCTGTGAGATTTTACGAGAGCCTGTGCTGCCTGTACTGTACTGGGTTACTCGGACTTGGATGGCAATGATCCGAGTTGTGACATTGGGGATCCAGCGCAGCCACAACTGACTGCCGAGAGTGGCATGACAGCCGCCGAGAAGTTCTACGGGAGCAAGTTGAACGTCGGAAACCGCTGGCCTTGAGCGATCGGAATCGCCGACGCGACGAAACAGCAACATGCTTAACATCTTACCATCGCGTATTATCACACTGTGTATCTGATACAATGGGATTCACCATCATGCAGTATGATAAAAGTGCGACAAGTGCATGCTCAATGCGTACTCGGCACACAAACAATTGAATTCTATTGTATAGCACTCGTGCACCAAGCCCGGGGCAATCGATAGCCTGGGACAAGGAATTTCCTCCAAGCTGGAAAATCAAACGGTGGAAAAACAAAGGACAACACAAAGCAATGCCCTTGTTTTGTCTATTTACAAATCATTAAAAGCCTACATTTTATTGGATCTTTTCATCCTGCTTGTATTGCACGTAGTATTAGTATGCCTATGTAGCCCATGCGCCCGCGCAGCAGCGTGCCCCGGGAACAGCAAACTCTCTCCTCATTCTCTTCGCTGCCTTCCGCTTCTTGGACCAGGCTCAGTTCCAAGCCGTGTTGCCTTGGCAGCGACAAAAACATCAGGGGTAAATGCAGAAAGACAGGTTCAACAAATGTATATATAATGATATATATATATATACATGTATATATATATACACATAAAATACATGAAACACATATGACATATACATATGTGGTATATGGTACCTCCAAAAGTGGCTTAGCCCGCGTCCCAACAAAAACATTTTGGTTGTGTTCAACATGTTTGAAGTCAAAGGGTTCGGGGGGTCCATGTATATAATCTGAAAAAATAAATATGTATGCATGTATGTATGCATGCATGCATGCGTGTACGTAGGTACGCAGGTACGGTACCTAGGTACGAAGGTACGTATGTATGTATGTATGTATTTATTTATTTATTTATTATTTATTTATTTATTGTTTATTTATTCATTTATTTATGTATGTATGTATATATGTATCTATGTATCTATGTATCTATCTATCTATCTATCTATATGTATGTATATGTATGTAAATGTATGCATATGTATGTATACGTATGTAAAGGAAAACCGTCCTGGTCTAAAAAACCACACATCGTACAACAGATTGGCATGTCAAAAGCAGCAGAACACTTTTCGAAAAGACTGCGTTGATTGAACATTGATTTAAAGACTGCACTTTTCAGAAAGGTATGCTGCATTTTGCGCATGCTTACCGAAATTTCAAAATAATTACTGGACGTTTGACGGGAAAACTGCTCTGGTTTGAAAGAGAACACTTCTTGCCAGTAGTGCCGCGCTTGGCGGTGGCGGAAGTTTCAAAAGTAGGAAACCTATAGGAGAGTTTGGCTGTTGTGATCACGGATGGCAGAGCGAATCCACTGATGGACCCAAAGGTGGTTGAAGTCGTGTTTTTTGGAGTGGTTGCAATGGTTGCAGTGGTCACCTCACCGACAACTGCTGGATGTAGTGTGGTGTAGCGCAGTTGTAGTTGCAGTTGTAGCTGTTGTAGTGTAATGTGGTGGAGCCGTGGCTGTAATGTAGTAATTAATTTATTGGCAAGCGCAGTTGCAGTTGTAGTCGTGGTGTGGTGTAATTAGCGTAGTGTAGTGCAGTGTAGTGTAGTGTAATGTAATGGTAGTTGTAGTTGTAGTTGCAGCTGCAACTGTAGTTGTAGTGTAGTGCAATGTAATCAGTGTAGTGTAGTGTTGCGTAATGTGGTGTAGTGTTGTAGTTGTAGTTGTGGTAGTAGTAGTTGTAGTTGTTAGTGTAATTCGTGTAGAATAGTGTAATTAGATGTAATTAGTGTAGTGTAGTGTAGTTAGTGTAGTGTAATGTAGCGTGGTATATTTGTATTTGTAGCTGTAGCAGTAGTGTAGTGTAGTGGTAGTTGTAGTTGTAACTGTCTATCTATCTATCCATCTATCCATCTATCCATCTATCCATCTATCTATCCATCTATCTATCTATCTATCTATCTATACATCTATCCGTTTGTCTGCCTGTCTTGCTGTCTGTCTGTCTGTCTGTCTACCTGCAAGCTTGAAAACGCAGCCATTCTGCGAGACTTCCTCAACTTTTGAACTTGATAACGTCAAAAAGGAATCAATTCTGCGAGACTTCCTCAATGTTTTGAAGTTGGCAACATCAAAACGAAGCAATTCTGCGAGACTTCCTCAATTTTTGAAGATGGCAACATCAAAAACGAAGCAATTCTGCAAGACTTCCTTCAAAAATGGAAAGTTGAGTGCAGAGCTGACGGCCTCGTACCAATGCGTTTTGAAATTTTCCACTCCACCCACCTGTCTAAAGTACTGCGCCTGCAGAAAAAATTGCGAAGTGCTGCACCTTTCACGCAAAATCATCTTAGCAAACCTACAGATCTGATGCTCCAAAATGCAACCCCTCTCAGGAAATCAGCGCCCTCACCTCCTAACATCTCTGATGAACATGTCTCTTGTATTGCACCTGCCACGGAAAATGCATCGTTGCAGATCCTCTTCAAATGCCCCACGCCTGCCATGGTTTTTAAAAATGCAACAAAACCCTCACGTTTGCTCACTTTTGACAAGATGCACAATCCCTTGCGCCTGCCAGGCGAAACGACGCTTCAACGTCCAAAAGTGGCGCGAACATGTGGTGTTCTTTCTGTCCATTTTGACTTCGAAATGTGCTTCGCGGCTTCGCGCCACAACGGCGTGCACTTTTTTGACATCTCAACTTCCAAAAGTCGTCCGAACATGAGGTGCTTTGTACATTTTGACTTTGAAATGTGCTTTGCGCCACAACGGCGTGCACTTTTTCGACATCTCAACTTCCACAACGTGCTCCGAACCCGTCGGATTTTTACACTTTTGACTTTGACAATGTGCTTCGCGCCACAACGGTGTGCAATTTTTGCATCTCTCATTTGTCATTTTTGCTACTCTTCGACCCTCCGGAGCCACAAATCATTGGAAAAAACACGGTGTTTCGCGACTTTCCTACCTTTCCGCGCACCTGGATCTTCTTTCTTCGGAGACTTTCTCTTTTTGATCTTCTTTCTTCTTCTCTTCTCTTCTCTTCTCTGACTCTTCCCATCTTTGCTTTTCATTTGTCCATATTGTCGGAAGTTTGACTTCTAAACTTCCTTCGATCAAAATATATTGTGTCCAAAGATTGCCAGACATGTTGAAAGGATTGCACTCATTTAAAAACATCGCGTTTTGTTTTTCCTTTTAATCAAAGCAGCCTGAGTATTGCAAAGATGTTTCAGTTTTGTCTTTGCAAAGAAGTACTGAACTTTTTGAACAAAACACTGCGTTCAACTAAAAGACTGTACGTCGAACAACGGATTCTGCTTTGGACAAAAGGTGCTGAATGCTTTCGAAGGCTGCGTTGGCCCACAGGATTTCACTTGTCATAAATTTCTGTGGTTTGGAAAAAACACTGGTGCAACACCATCTGCACACATTTTTGCCCCAAACAGTGTGTCCACACTGAAGGGTTCTTACGGTAAGTGTTAAGGCTGCGGTTTGATCAGGGTGCTCCATCTGCTCCCCGGCATTTTTCCCGCAAATTCTCGATTGAAATCACTCTTGTGACATGTCCATATGCGTTTCGGCTTCGCACAAACTGTGCGTCGCGATCTTGGTCCCCGGCTTTTTTCCTGTAAATTCTCGCTCAAAATGCCTCTTGTGACATGTCCACGTGCGTTTCGACCGCAGGCTCGCGCAAACTGCGTCGCGATCTTGGTCCCTGGTTTTTTCCTGTATATTATTCTCGCTCAACATGCGTCTTGTGACATGTCCATGTGCATTTCGACTGCGCAGGCTCGCACAAACGGGGCGTCGCGATCTTGGGCCCCGGCATTTTTCTTGAAAATTCTCGCCTAAAATGGCTGTTCTGACTTGTCCAAGTGCATTTCGACTGCGCAGGCTCGCACAAAGTGTGCGCCGCGGGGTTCTGAAGCTCTTCGTCGCACTACGGCATTTTCATCGCATAACTGAGATCTTGTGGAGATCTTTCTAGATTCCTTCTAAGAGGTCCTTCCTGCACGGGTCCTTCACTGCACACAAGATCTTGTGGAGATCCTGGTGGGATCCTCCCTAGGAGGTCCTTGCATGAAGATTTTGCAGATTGCATGTCTTAGAGGGGAGGTTCTTGTATCAAGATCTTGTCAGATCCGCTCCAGCAGCAGCAGGGCGATCTCGGTGTTCTTATATACATGATCTGGTACAGTTCCTCGTGAGAAGATCTTTCGCGAGAAGATCCTATGTTTTGAAATTCTCGTCTTGCATTGAGATCATGAAGATCATCTGCATTGGTGCTTGTATAAAAATTCTTGTAGGATGCTCATAGGAAGTTCTTGTATGAAGATCTTGTGCGCTCCTCTATATAGATCTACTGTATATAGAAGGTCCTGCTGCCGGAGTTGCGATCTTGTCTAACCTCATCTGTTACTGTTCCATAGCTACTGTTGCCTGTATCTGGTATATTGACTTCCTACTCCCCACTCTGTTTGGGGTCTCTTGCCGGTGTAACTATTTTCCTGGGGGGCATACATACATATATATATGCATATATATGTATAAACACAGATACATGCAGAGAAAAAGAGAGAGAGATATATATATACATAGACTTACACACTTATGTATATAAAAATCAACATATGTTACACAATATACTTTTTTTTTTTTTTTAACATGCATACATTTTTACATACATACACATGTATAAATACACACACACATATATATAGACGTATATACATGTACATTTCTACAAATATACGTGTATGTATAAAAAATATATATGTAAATAAATATACGTATATATATATACACACCCATATATACATATATACACGTATCATACATACATATATACACATATCATTTATACAAAGATATACATATATATATATACGTATATACATATATAAATATATACATATATACATATATACATATATGCATATACACATGTATACATATATACATATACACAAAAATACATATATACATATATACATATATACATATATACATATAAATAAATACACATATACAAATATACATATAAACATATATACATATATACAAATATTCATATACACATATATTCATATATACATATATACACATGTCCATATACATACATACATACATACATCCATTACATTCCATTCCATTCCATTCCATTACATTCCATTACATTACATTCCATTACATTACATTACAAAACATACATACATATGACATACATATGACATATACATATATATATACATACATATACATACATATCCATACATATACATACATATACATACATATACATACATATATAAATACATATACATACATATACGTACAATACATATACATACATATACATACATATACATACATATATGTATATATATATATGCATGCACATACGTATATACATGGTATGCACATACATATATTCACAGTGATGCCGACCGCTTCATTCCCCATATCCAAGGTTTCTTTTGTCGTTATATGTAGCCTATAGGTACAGTACTGTAGCGTGTAGTAGGGGCCATGTGGGAACACGAAAGATCACACATACACACACATATTTATTTATATCTTTCTACATATGTACAGCCTACATATACATATACGGACGTACCAGTACATACAAGGAGTAAAAAACCACGTTACCCTGCATTCGATTACATTGCATTTCATGACGTTACGTACTTGTATGTAGAGAGAGAGAGAGAGACAGAGATAGATAGATAGAGATAGAGATAGAGATAGAGATAGAGATAGAGATACATATACAAATACAAATACAAATACAAATACATAATTGTACATATACATACATATTACATATTATATAATACGTGTATATATATATTATATTCACAAAAGATCACAATAGTATAGGATAGTATAGGTAGATAAAATATGATAAAATGGGGTCAGTTAAATAATTAGCAGGACATGGCAAAAAAGGATGCGCGCTGTGGTTGTCTAAGGCTTGAGCACGAACCTTGGACGATGTGCACCAGACTCAGGAGAATTGAACTCCACAATGCTCACAGACTCCTCTCAAGCTTGAGGCATTGATTGGCATTGCATCTGTTGCCGCACTGTGAGATCTTGCTAAAGTTGAAGCCCCCCTTATGGGACATCAGGCAAAACACAGCTACATACTCATAGTGCACTCCGATACATTCGCCTGCTCATGTGATAGGGCAGAAAGCCCAGAGAATGGAGTATCATCCTCATCATCAGCTTCACCTTTCGGGCAAACCCAGCTTGGCTGGCAGAAAGAGGTGCCTAGAGCTCTACAAGGCATCTCGTTCTGGAAGCATGATTCTGGAAAGATTGGAAAGCACATGAAAGCACCCTCTCATCACTCTACCCATCTCTTTCCCAACATGCGCAACCATTTCCATCCATTTCCCACAATGTCTAGCAGTGGCTGTGCTTTGCCAAGGCCATCGCGTGGCCAAACTCGGGCCTGACATTTCTGCATGCTCGAGTGCATGTTCAAGTCACACAGGCGAGGCCAGATCAAGCCAGCATGAAATGAATCATCCACACAATGCCTGCAACATCCAACAGCCATTCATGTTTCAAAGATAACTACCAGACTACCAGGCCAACCAACTTTGCCGGATGCAACATATTCAATGGTCTCGCGTTTCACGTGGTCATGCTCAGAATGTGGTACTACATGCTGGAAATCCACGTGCTGTGAATGGCTAAAATATGCTAAAATGATATCATACTGTAATGTCTCCTGCTGGCTTTCCCTGCTTTCACGATATACCAATTCAATTCAATCTATCAGCCATTTGATGTCATTTGATGTGAGAAATGCGCGCCTGCAATCTTTGCAGCTCTTGTCGTGCAAGCCGAAGTGTTTTTAGAAGCATCGGTTCCTGCGAAGGGCGTCCAGCATCGTCCAACTGACAATCCCGAATATTGCATGGAAGCATTGGAAGGCTTGGAATGATCAAGTTGGATTCCCAAGAAATACATTGAAGTCAGCTGAGTCAACTGGCAATGTGAACCAGGACATGAGAGGACACTGCAGTAGGACGGACTTGAACATATCTTGAACCAAATTGCTCACATGCTGGAGCTCTCCTCATTGTAAACTGTTGGCTAACACTGGAGCCCTGCCTCGCAATTTCCTGTTGCTGCCACATTGACACAAGATCTGGCTCCTTGCAAATGAAGAGATGCAAAGTGTCCACATGCACCCAGATGCATCAATTCTTTGAAACGGTAGAAACTGCTGTGAAAATGGCCCTAGATGCAAGAACTTCTGTTGCAATGACTCATGAGCACCCCCATAATTGACACGACCAAGGACCATGCGCGTCCCAAATCGAAGAGTAGAAAGTGTCTCAGCCACCTCTGCAATCATTTTTCGTCAAATTTTGCTGTACTAGTAGGATCCTCTGGCATTCTTCAGGCAGGCAATCTTTACTTTTTCATACTTTTTCACCCTCACTCAAAAAACACCTCGTTTGCCACAGTCCCGGATGTCACTCTGAAAACTGTTGCGTCCCTTTTTTTGAAAACTGCATCTTGCCCTGGTCTGAACTTGATCCGTAGGATCATTTTTCACTCGGAAGAATACTGCTGTGTGGTCTCGGCAACGTTCTCTGTTTCTCAGCAGTCGCATTAAAAAGGCAGCGAAGAAGATTAAATTTTGACACACATCCAAAGTAGGATAGAAGTTTTTTGGGGTACGCCAGGAAAAATCAAAAACGCAGAATTGCAAAGAGTCTGCCAGCATGACCATGGCTTCAATCATTTGATTTGGATATGCCATAGTGGTACAGCTTCAACCTGTTTCAACATGCCTTAGCATGGGTCCAGCCTGCAGTGACGAAATTGAGCAGTTGAGCAAAAGGACTGTTCGAGAGCCTTAGGCTCCAGGCTTAATTGAACAAGCTATACGCTATACAGGAAAATACCTAGCCACATACCACATTGCCACGGAGCGATGCTCTCCAAGAATAGAGAGACACTAAAGAAACCACCCGCCAAGTTTGCAGCAGCATGCAAAACATGCTAGATAAATGCTTTCATTGTTGGCTGGCGTTGTCAAGCATTGCAAAGGCGCTTGACTTTGCGACATCACTGCTGAGGATTCTTGCCTCCTCCTAGGCTGTCCTGGAACCAGACTTGATCAGATTTGGATATATGGACCCATATATATATTATATTATATATATTATATATATTATATATATATATAAAAGAATGAGGAAAGCGAGCAAAGCGAGGAAAACTGGGTTGCCCTCCAGTCCTGCAGGACTCTAGTCAGCTTCGAACTCCGATAAGGGACATGAGAGTCAACGTTCCTCCCTTTTGACCTGAGCTTGGTGGACCCCAGTGGACACCAGACAAAGGTCTGCAGTGGGCATATATTGGGCATGCAAAAAAGACAGCAAATCTGCAATCGTTAGGCCTACTAGTACAGTGGAAAATGCATTTGTCTCATGTCGAAGAAGGAGAAACCCAAGAAATCAAGAAAAACATATTTATCCAAAGTTTCGAACTGGACGACAGAGTGGCCCGAAAGAAAGCAGGAGGGAGGAGATCAAAATAGTATGGAAAGAAGATGTGACAATGAATGATGATGACGGATGATAGCGATCCTGAGAAGAACATCAAAGGCCATCATGCATTCACAGTTTGAAACATTTTCCCTGCAAACCCTACGTTTGACCGTCGTGGAAGCAAACTGAACCCTACGTTTCAACCGTGCCAGAAGTCAACTGAAGTTCAGAGGGGGTGGTGAATTTGATCCCTTATGAAGATTGGATTCCCCTAGTAGGTCCCTGTTAAACTTATGGACCTGTGGATGTTTCAGCCGGATATCAGGATTGTTTGAAAGCAGCAGGCTACAGTCCTTACTTGTGTCTCCAGAGAGTAGCGTGTTTGGAGGGTGTAGATCATGTTCGTTTCAGACAGTAGAGGAGAGATCTTGTGGGTTATGGTCGAACGTGGGGTTTGGCGCCAACATGTTTTGTTCAATTTGGGGGGTACCACACACATTTAAATTAAATCATCATAAAGGAAGCAGGAGGGAGGTGATCAGAAGATAGCAGCAGAGGGAAGAACATATATTTACACTGATCCTGTCTCGCTGTATGGTTCCTAGCTGCTGTTTTCAGCAAACTTCAACAACTTGACACACACACACAGAGCTGTCTTTGCACCAAGACGTTTCTACACAAAGCTATGTCTTTCTCTTTTTTCATCCCGCCAGACCCTGACCAATCTCTCTAGGCCTTTTTGTTCTGGTGCCTTCGGATTCTGATGGGCTTCCATAGGTTCGCCCTTGGCCTGTGACACTGGAATTGCCTGTACTCTGCTTTGGTCATGGCCTGAGGTTCTTCAAACAGTTGTTGCCACCAATGCCATCAACGTGATTGACCTCTTGATTTTTGGCCAGCCTTGTCCCACGGGCATCTTGATATAATTGTCGATGGAAAGGACTTGAAAAGGCATTTACTATTCTGTCCACCCCCCTCCAGCCTGAGAAGGCTTGTCAGACTGAGAGTGAGCAAGCAGAAAATCATCCATGTCCACAAACATGGCCTTTACAGAGGGCAATTTTTACACATAGAAACTTTTACGGGGGAAGAAGAAACTTTTACACAGAGAAGATTTTGCACAGAGAAGCCTTTAAACAGAGCAGTTCTTACACGCAGAAGGTTGTACACAGAGAAGCTTTTACACAGAAACTTTTGCACAGGCGCCTGTGCACAGAGCAGGTTTTGCACAAAGAGGGTTTGGCACAACAACCTTTCACACAAGAACAACTTTTACACCGAGGACTTTGGACAGAGCAGCTTTTCCACAGAGCAGGCTTTACACACAGAAGCCATTACACAAATGCTTTTACACACAGAAGCTTGTACACACAAAAGTTTTAACACAGAGAAGCTTTGCCTCAGCGAAGCCTTGCCGCATTGGAAAACTGCAATTTTACCTCATTTCCTTCATTTTGCGCAAAAGGGTTGCGTCGGACGTTGCAAAATCGCAATTCTAGACAAGCTTTTGACGTTCGGCCCCCATTTCTGCGAAAGGACGGCGCCAAAGACACAGAACACGCTTGGGCATCCGACGCGCACGATCCGTGCAGAAGGTTGCTCGGGCATAGGACAATTGGCATTTAACTGCACGTTTGGGCGCCCGACATGCACTCCGCAGAGGGTTGCTCGGAGACAAACAACATTCGCATTTCACCACAGGTGTTCTCCGCGGAGGGTCACGTTTCGATGGACGCCGCCTGGCTGCCCTTGACGCCATAAGAGAGAAATAGAGAAACTTGAGATGTAGGAGTTTTGTAGGAATTACCTCATGTGTAACTGTAACAACCCCTGTGTAACCACTCCTGTGCAAATGACATTGTAGGAGTTTTGTAGGATTGTAGGAGTTGAGGTGGAAGTCGATCATCTGCAAGTCAACTCCTGTGTAAGCTGACCTTGCACAACAATTTTTGTAGGAGCGACCTAGAAATTGATCACCTGTGGATGACGTGGATGATGTTGTAAGTGATGTAGATGATGTAGATAATGGATGTGGTGTAGAGGATGTATGTTATGTAGATCAGGTCAGTTTGTGTAGACGCTGTAAAAGATGCAGGTGATGTAGATGAAGTTGATGTAGAGAAGATGGTTTAAAAGATGAACGGGATGTAAAACATGCAGGAAATGTGGATGATGTATGGTATGTATATGACAAAAAGTTGGATTTGGCAGCAATTCTTTGGGAAAAACCCTTCGCAGCAGCTTTCGGAAAAATGTCAAGGATCAGACTTGGCCAATCGATTGATCACCAGCCCAAGGGTTGACAGGCTTTGATTTATTGCCTTTGCCTGAGATTGCTTTCAGATCAGAGCGCTGGGAGAGGTTTGGACAGTTACCATTGCCACCTTAAAGATCTGATACTGCTCATGGGCTGCAAATGGTTCTTCAACATAGAATGCTGCTGTACATCTTGACAGTTCCTAGCCGCGTCGGCACGAAACAAGCACACTATTTCCTTGCAGAGCACAGTGAGCACAGGTACACTTTTTTCAACCTTCACTTGAGTACTGGTTTCAAGCTCCAACTGACGCATTCTGGCCAACTGACTTGATTAGACAATGATGCAACGCAGACATAGATGAAAACAACCCCCAAAACCCCAAACCCCAACTGCGGTCGATGTTAAGGTAGCTAGATCTACCTGCGGCATGTTTAGATGTCTTTTTCTTGGTCGAATTTTTGGGTCTTCACGGTCTATGACGATTAATTACAGAGTTGACCAGTACCCACTGCCTCTTCTGCTGTCTCTTTGTTTGCAGCATTTGACTTGCCAGGCATGTAGATCTTCTTCACGCACTCTGAACCTTCCGAACCGCAGAGCAGGTGGGAACAGTTAGGGCAGAAGTATCCATGAGTATTGTGTGATTTGTGCATCAGCATTGAATTGGCACATATTTGCACCACTATTAATGCATCGCAGGACCATGGCATGTGCAAATGACACAAAGGAACCTGCCAAGTCAACAATGCTAAGCTTTGAGGCTACACCGTCACGCGCCTGCCAAGTCAACAATGCTAAGCTTTGAGGCTACACCGTCACGCGCCACCTTAGAGGCAAAATAAGACCTGGACAAATCTGGAAATTGAATGAAACAGAGACATTGAAGTCTTTGAAGATTGATGCAGATCGAGCACCTCAAATGACAAACCCTTTGCTAAGAGCAAGGCGTGGAGCGTGAAGATGCAGTGTGATCTGCTGCTGCGATCCTCACCGCTCGTTCTAGTTGCGCTGCGGTGCAGAAATCAGAACAACATAGAAAACTTAGAAAACACCAAAACCAACACGTACAAATTAACATACAAACACTAACAGAGAATCATACAAACACACAGAGCTCTGTGTAACGTAGAAGAAAGGCAAACGTTCGTGAACATTCGCTGCGGATCTTGGTCTGCGGCATTCATGCCTGTTGCGGCAGTGATCCTCTGCTGGCGGCCATGATGCCATACCTGACCACAGAAAAAGGCAATCTTCAAGGTCCAACGGGGCAACCTCCATGGTGCAAGGTTTCTGTCCCCACAGTCGCCAACCCCCAAGCTCCTGCCATCGTTGTGATGCGAAATTCTCCGGCGATGTGTTACTGCTGGTCTGCTTGGCCATAGTTGCAATCTCATGCAATTGCAACCCGTTTCCACACAACAGCTTCGCTTCATATCCAATTGTGATCTTGCGATGGCAGTGGTGCCTCCCTTTGAATTCCGTGTTTGAAAGAATCACATTGTGCAACTGTGAGAAGTCTTGGCATGTTTTTGGCAAGAATCTTGAATAAGAATCTTCATTGAGGCCTCCATCGCATGCTGCAGAGTCTGGACAGGAACTTCTTGAAGGCCCCGAACGACAACACCCTTTGCGGGAACACATGGAAGCACCAAGCTTTAATTGGCTCGCTTCCATAAGATTGTCTGGGCAGCACCACAAAATTCTATGCGTTCTCCGCTTGGTACTCACAGTACGACTTGGAAGGCATGCAATGGCAAACTTAGCGAAGGATTTGTTTAAAAATGTTTAGAGATTCCAAGCAGCCTAGTGGCCGCAATCCCTCTATATAAATCCACAAGCAAGACTTCAACTCTGATACCCGCATGCAGAAGAAACCAGGTACAGCTTGAGTATTGTACAAGAATTCACTGTATAAGAATTTGAGGGGCTCGGTTCCAAGGCGGGCTATATATTTTCAGGTATACCAAACACATAGTACGTTAAACATTTTGAAGGACCCTGGAACAGGACAGCCAAATTCTTAAATTACTGCTTATACGTGATTACCTCAAATACTGTATTTTTCCTAAATAACTTGAAATATACTCATTACCATGGAATGACGCCCGGGATGAAACCTGGCCTTGCGACAACTCTGACACGTGGTGCGCGCTGACTACAGGAGACCAAGCAAACGACATATTGACAGACCCTGTTAGCCGTCCAAAAAATCCGGCAGCGGGATTCGAACCTCCAACCTTCAGGATTGAAGTCCGACAAACTACCCGTCACGCTACAGGAGCCTTGTTTTATAGGAATTTTGCCTCTGAATATCTCTCTTTGCTTTGGCTGCGCACTAAAAGTTGTCTTTTGCACACTAACCTTATGAAACTCAGACAAGCCTGGCTCTGCAAAAAAATTCAGGCTCTATTTTTTTTTTGGCACACTAACCTTATGAAACTCAGACGGGCCTGGCTTTGCAAAACTAGACGACGGATGGCCCGAGAGCGTTGAGGAGCAGGGTCTTCTGTTGTTAGTATTGAGACGCTATATTACAAGACAATATATTGAAGATGTGTTATAGCCAGACGAGACAAGTATATAGACACTAGTTTGCATTGTAGCCTTCTTATTGTTTTTCACACACAAAACCTTTTACACACAGACGCTTTTACACACAGAAGCTTTTACACACAGAAGGTTTTACACACAGAAGGTTTTACACACAGACACTAGACACTTTTACACACATAGGCTTTTACACACAGACGCCTTTACACACAGACGCTTTTAGACGCAGACACTTTTACACCCAAACACTTTTACACACAGAAGCGTTTACACACAGAGGCTTTTACACACAGAAGCAATTACACACAGACGCTTTTACACACAGAAGCTTTTACACACAGACGCTTTTACACACAGACGCTTTTCATACAGACGCGTTTGCACACAGAGACTTTTACACACAAACGCTTTTACACACAGAGACTTTTACACACAGACGCTTTTACACACAGACGCTTTTGCACACAGACGCTTTTACACACAGAAGCTTTTACACACCAACACTTTCACACACAGAAGCTTTTACACACAGAAGCTTTTACACGCAGACGCTTTCACACACAGAGGCTTTTACACACAGACGCTTTTACACACAGACGCTTTTACACACAGACGCTTTTACACACAAACACTTTCACACACAGAGGTTTTTACACACAGAAACTTTCACACACAGAAGCTTTTACATTCAGAAGCTTTGACACAAAGACACTTTTACACACAGACACTATTTTTACACACAAACGCTTTTACACACAGACACTTTTACACACACACACACACACGCTTTTCTTTACACACAGACACACGCACTTTCACACACAGAGGCTTTTACACACAGACGCTTTTACACGCACATGCTTTTTTAACACACACACACACACTTTCACACGCAAACGCTTTTACACACAGACGCTTTTACACAGAGGCTTTTGCACACAGCTGCTTTTACACACAGACGCGTTTACACACGGACACTTTGACACACAGACACTTTTACACACAGAAGCTATTACCCACACACACACACGCTTTTCTTTTACACACACACACACTTTCACACACACAGACGCTTTTACACACAGACACTTTTACACACAGAGACTTTTACACACAGACGCTTTTACACACAAACGCTTGTACACACAGACGCATTTGCACACAGAAGCTTTTACACACAGACTCCTTTTACACACAGACGCTTTTACACACAGAAGCTTTTACACACAGACACAAACGCTTTTACACACAGACCTCTTTACACACAAACACTTTCACACACAGAGGCTTTTACACACAGAAGCTTTTACACACTGACTCCTTTACACACAGACGCTTTTACACACAGAAGCTTTTACGCACAGACGCTTTTACACACAGACGCTTTTACACACAGACCCTTTTACACACAGACCTTTTTACACACAGACACTTTTACACACAGACACTTTTACACACAGACGCTTTTACACGCAGATGTGCGCACTTTCACACACAGAGGCTTTTACACACAGAAGCTTTTACACAGAGGCTTTTACACACAGACGCTTTTACACACAGACGCTTTTACACACAGACACTTTTACACACAGACACTTTTACCCACAGACGCTTTTACACACACACACACGTGCTTTTCTTTCACACACACACTTTCACACACAGAGGCTTTTACACACAAACGCTTTTACACGCAGATGCTTTTACACACACACACACACTTTCACACACAAACGCTTTTACACACAGACGCTTTTACACAACACAGACGCTTTTACACACAAACGCTTTCACACACAGACCCTTTTACACACAGACACTTTTACCCATAGAAGCTTTTACACACGCACACACACACACACACGCGCCTTTCTTTTACACACACACAGTTTCACACAGAGACTTTTACACGCAGACGCTTTTACACACAAACGCTTTTACACACAGACGCTTTTACACACAGAAGCTTTTACACACTGACTCCTTTACACGCAGACGCTTTCACACACAGAGGCTTTTACACACAGACGCTTTTACACACAGACGCTTTTACACACAGACGCTTTTACACACAAACACTTTCACACACAGAGGTTTTTACACACAGAAACTTTCACACACAGAAGCTTTTACATTCAGAAGCTTTGACACAAAGACACTTTTACACACAGACACTATTTTTACACACAAACGCTTTTACACACAGACACTTTTACACACAAACACTTTCACACACAGAGGCTTTTACACACAGACGCTTTTACACGCAGATGCTCTTTTAACACACACACACACTTTCACACGCAAATGCTTTTACACACAGACGCTTTTACACAGAGGCTTTTACACACAGATGCTTTTACACACAGATGCGTTTACACACGGACACTTTGACACACAGACACTATTTTTACACACAGAAGCTTTTACACACAGAAGGTTTTACACACAGACACTAGGCACTTTTACACACATAGGCTTTTACACACAGACGCCTTTACACACAGGCACGTTTACATGCAGACACTTTACACGCAAACACTTTTACATACAGACACTTTTACACACAGACACTTTTACACACAGACGCATTTACACACAGACGCTTTTACACACAGAAGTCACAGAAGCGTTTACACACAGAGGCTAAGGGTTGCGACCGACACCTCAATATCGCAATTTTACCTCAGTTTTTGACGTCCAACGTCCATTTGGTGCGAAAGGGTTGCGGCGGACACCTCAAAATCACAATTTTACGTCAGTTTTTGACGTTCAACGTCCATTTCGTGCGAAAAGGTTGCGGCGGACACCTCAAAATCGCACATTTTACTTCAGTTTTTGATGTCCAACGTCCATTTCGTGCGAAAGGGTTGCAGGGGACACCTCAAAATCGCAATTTTACGTCAGTTTTTGACGTTCAACGTCCATTTCGTGTGAAAAGGTTGCAGGGGACACCTCAAAATCGCACTTTTACTTCAGTTTTTGATGTCCAACGTCCATTTCGTGCGAAAGGGTTGCAGGGGGCACCTCAAAATCGCAATTTTACCTCAGTTTTTGACGTTTAACAGTTTAACATCCATTTCGTACGAAAAGGTTGCGGCGGACACCTCAAAATCGCAATTTTACCGCAGTTTTTGACGTTCAACATCCATTTCGTGCGAAAGGGTTGCGGCGGACACCTCAAAATCACAATTTTACCACAGCTTTTGACGTTCAACATCCATTTCGTGTGAAAGGGTTGCGGCGGACACCTCAAAATCTCAATTTTACTTTGGTTTTGGACGTCCGATGTGCACGAAATGCTGCGCCTGTCACGTTTCGTGGCGCTCCGGCGGCACCGAGAGATAGAAAGAAGAGCGAGAGAAAGAAAGGAAGAGAGAGAGAAGATCTGCAGATGCGAAGGTGAGAAGATGTAGACCTGCAGGTGTGAAGGTGAGAAGTTGTAGATCTGCAGATGTGAAGGTGTGAAGATGTAGATCTGCAGATTTGAAGGTGTGACGATGTAGATCTGCAGATGTGAAAGTGTGAATAATGTAGATCTGCAGATGTGAAGGTGTGAAGATGTAGATCTGCAGATGTGAAGGTGTGAAGATGTAGATCTGCAGATGTGAAAGTGTGAAGATGTAGATCTGCAGATGTATTTACAACGGCTGCTTTTTTACGAAGAACCCTTCGCAGGCGCTCTCGGGAAAAAACATTTCAGTCTCTAAAATGAAACTCAGACAAGCCTGGTTTTGCAAAAAAACAACTTCTCAGGCTCCATGGAGGATCATTTTTTCGCATGCCTCTTGTCAAATCTGCCAACTCCACCTCGTTACCTCGTTTAAGCTCGCTCCAATCATGCAGATGCCTGCAATACAAAACTAAGAATGCCCTAGAAATTTGAGGGACCCTCGGCCTGTTGTAGTGTAAATTTGCCTGCATTCAAAAACAAGAATTTCAAGGACCCTGGACCTCAAGCTTTCGGATTCTTAACCAGCGCTCGGGCTGTAGTTCAATGGTCGGATGTGGAACAAACAGTTTTTGTTTGGACGCGTAGGCACTTTGTACGTTTTAATATGTTGCAGCGACCTCTTGGAACCTCTTTACTGCCTCAACATGTCTCAACCCTCTGGTCTACTTGAGACTCATTGGAACTCCGTGGCCTGATGTCTGTCTTCTGCAACACTCAAGTCAGTCCCATCCACCAGCAGGTCTCGCAATCTCTCCTCACGTTTTGAGCTGTTGTTGGTACTGAAACTGGATGAAATTACCAAAATCATTCAACATCCATTAAAAAAAGGTGTATCAACGCAAACTACAGACTTCGCCACACATCCAACGGCTCCATGTAGATCTCGAGCATGGAGACGTGAATAGACAGATCCTGTCGGCTCCGCTCTTGCTTTCGTGGAGGGCTGACATGTGCGGCCACACACACATATATATATATATATACATATATATATAATACTGGTATTATACTGGTATTATATATACATATATATATCGTATATATATATATGTATCTGTATATATATATATGTATATATATATATAAGAGAGAGAGAGAGCGAGAGAGAGAGAGAGGGAGAAAGAGAAAGAGAAAGAGAAAGAGAAAGAGAAAGAGAGAGAGAGAGAGTGCACACATAAATTCGTCCGCACCGGATGTGCGGGGGCGTGGGCGTGATAGTTTAGGAGCCGATGTCATCGAATGAACCAACCGTTCAATGGTACAGCTTCAGCTGGTGGGGGGCCTCTTTCAGGATCGATCCACCACCCAAAAAAAGGGTTCTCACTGTGGTAGTAATTTGCGCGGTTTCATATCGGCGCAACATCGTCCTAGCAACCAACATGGCTCAACTTGGGGTCAACTTTGGCCAACAAAGCCCCAACTCAACTTGGACCCACTCGGTTCCAACTTGGTACCAATTTGGTCCAAAATGGCGCAACTTCACCCCAAGTTGTACCCATTTGGGAGCAACTGCCAACATGGGGGCATTGCCGGCCCAGCACGAAATTATCAAAGAACGCGTTTTCGCTGGTATTGTCCCCTTTTTTTGGCATCGACGAAGCTGCGCGTTTAGCAATGTTCCCTGTGTTGTGCCTGGGTTGTGCCCAACTTGGCGCGAAGCTGCCACCGGCTGCCACCAAACCTCCAAGCTGCGCCAAGTTGAAGCCATGATATGCAGATGGGTCGCTTTGGACCCAAGTTCAGCCTCAACGTGACCAACTTACTCCAACTTGGGCTGAACTTGGGTCCAACATAGCAAAACATAGCGCAACTTAAGCCCAAGTTGGCCGCTTTGAAGGAGGCCGGGCCCAAGCTGGGCCCAACTCGGGAAAAAATGCGACACGCCGAAAACGTACGTTTGTACCGCTGTTTCAATGTTTTTTGGCTTTGGTCGGGCTTCGTGCTAGGGCGTGTTCCCCACGTTGGGCCTGTCGTGGGCCCAACTTCGGCGGCAGGTTCCGACACAGCACCAAGTTGCGCACGTAAAGATCGCAAAGCCTAACCAAGTTGCCCAAGTTGGCACAAGTTCGGCGCAAGTTACGCCCAAGTTGGGCCCAAATTGGCTTGTGTTCGGCCCAACTTAACGCCAAGGCTGGCCAAGGTTGACCCCAATCGGCTTTGGTTGGGCCAAGTAGGCTCGTGTTCTTCACCCTGCATCCCCAACTACCATACTCCTCAACTTCGAACAGTCGTCCCTGACCTGCACAATTTCCATATAATTGGGGTGTGGGCGGTATTCGTCGCTAAGCGACTCGAATATATGTGCGCAGTAAATTACGAATCAATATAGTGAACGGATGGACGGATGGACCCATGAATGCGCGTACCCAAGGATGGACGGATGCACGGATGGCATGCATGCAATGATTTGTGATGATTTATGTATTATGCTGTATGCGCACAAAAAGGCAGGTACGTATAGGTACAGTATGCGCGGATCTAGGGATCTAGATATGTATGCATGAAGCCTTGTGGATATGTAGGCGGCCTGTAGGCGTGTTTTTTTTTTTACATGTTTTTACTATATATGTCAGGTATGTTGGCATGTGAGGTGAGTACGGTATAAAGGGCATGTGATGAGCAACAAATATGGCCGCAGAAAAGCGTCAAACAGTTCAATACGATGCATTGCACGTACATAATATCAAATCAAGTGATCGCTCAGAGAAAACACACCGCACAAAATGACATAAAATAGTCCTTCAGAGGTAAAGGACTCAGCGCAGCGAAGACCTTCGAATCACCAATTCTATCCAATCCAATCTCATGATTCTACCATCTGCAGCCTCACAATGGATCACATCGATATCATCAACATCTGCAGCACATGACATCGCTGAAAGAAGATGTTGTGAACATTTGCTCAGTTTTGCAGTGCTCCTGGATGTGCTTCAATCTACAGGATTTGAGCAGTACCCAATCCGCACTAAAAACAAACAACCTGATATAAGCGTAACCGCCAGGGGTCAGGTCTCTCATGTGTTCTTGGTCTCGGCTCAAATCACTACAAGGGGCCAAACAAAACCTGAACAAACGCAATGCTGCAACATCAGCACAACGAATCGAAATCAAAGCTCTCATCACTAGCGCTGGGCCAATCTGGAGATGTGATACGCAAAATGCAAGGACCTATTCACGACCCCTCAGTAAAGCACACCGTGCTTTGCTGCAGTAAATTTGTGAACGTCCAAGGTGACATTTTTGTGGAAGACCTCCTGCAGGATTTATTCCCCACCTGCCAGGTGAGGGTTGTTAGATTTTATCAGAGTTGTTCTCCTCTTCCTCGGCTAGCTGTCCTCCTCCTTCTCCTCCTCTTCCTCGCCTTCTCCTCCTCCTCCTCCGCCTCCTCCTCTAGTTTCTCCTCGACCATGTCTGCATCAACTTCCACCTCCACTTCCGCCTTGCCAACTCTTCGCCAAGCTCTTTGCCAACTCTCTTCGCCAAGCTCTTGGGACCTTCCCAGCTCAGTGCGCACTGCTGGACCTCAACCTGGGACCTTCCCAGCTCAGTGCGCGCTGCTGGATCTCAACCTGGGACCTTCCCAGCTCAGTGTGCACCGCTGGACCTCAACCTGGGACCTTCCGAGCTCAGTGTGCACCGCTGGACCTCAACCTGGGACCTTCCCAGCTCAGTGTGCACCGCTGGACCTCAACCTGGGACCTTCCCAGCTCAGTGTGCACTGCTGGACCTCAACCTGGGACCTTCCCAGCTCAGTGTGCACCGCTGGACCTCAACCCGGGACCTTCCCAGCTCAGTGTGCACCGCTGGACCTCAACGGCCAGATAGAAATGCCAGAAGATATGCCAGATAGAGTGCCAGAAGATATGCCAGATAGAATGTTAGAAGATATGCCAGATAGAGTGCCAGAAGATATGCCAGATAGAATGTTAGAAGATATGCCAGATAGAATGCCAGAAGGTATGCCAGATAGAATGCCAGATAAAATGTCAGATAGAATGCCAGAAGATATGCCAGATAAAGTGCCAGAATGTTTGCCAGATAGAATGCCAGAAGATTTGCCAGAAGATATGCCGGATGATATGCCAGATAGAATGCCAGATGGAATGCCAGAAGATATGCCAGAACATATGCCAGAAGATATGCCAGGTAGAATGCCAGAAGATATGTCAGATAGAATGCCAGAAGATTTGCCAGTAACAAAACGTATAAATGTCATGGTGGGGATAACTCGAAGTAAAGTAAGTTGTATTTTTTTTTTCGAATACGTTTGCATTGTTTGTATGTTTTTATCTTTTGAAACATATTTTGAATGTGCTGCAAATGAATGTGGCTCAAATGTTGGTGGGAACTCCAAGGTTTTCACTGAGTTTTCACCCCACGCAAGTGGACGGCCCTCCAAAATACCCAGATCAAATCTACAACATCATGGAGGACCCCGTGTTGTTACCGCAGTGATTAAGAAAACATGACCGTGACACTCAATGCACCTGCAACCTACAACTATTTCCAACAAAGTCTCTGGCTGTTTCTAAGGCTCGAGGAAGAATACCACGTCGATCTTCCTGCACATGCAATGTAATTTGAATCTACTGGATCCTGCCAATCATGCAGCCATGTGAAACAGCTTAAACATGAATATATTATATATATATACTGGAATAATGTTCGTTAAAAAATGGATTGCAGATTCTATCCGAATCTGGATCAAACCAGCGTATTATCAATATAGGCGGACAGTGCAGCGTATTGCAACTTGCATGTTAAAAAATGTCAGATTCAGAATAGCTGGCCTCCTCGCCCTCTATTGTGAAGGTCTTGCCTGAGCAACATGAGCTGCCCCCTGGCTCACTTCGAACATCGGCTGCTAAGCCTGTCCTGCAGATGTCTGGCCGTAGCACAAGATGCTACCATTGCCTCCATCTTCAAGCACCTTCGCAATGAGTCTTATGGCATCTTATGGGAGCAGGAGCCCGAAAGCAAAACAGCCGCACAATCAAATCTTCCATCCGTCATCTTAGCCTCCTGTACAACTGGGACTATTTCTGCATATACGTCATCTTGGGAGGCCTCCGCAAGACACCAGAAACATCCAGCGACGAGAGCAGAACCACTCCACACTCCACAAAACTCGATGCTGCGATTTGGTGCAAACTAGGCCCCAGGATCAGCTGGGCACGATTCCACCATGTTCCACCCTTGAATAGAACATAATAGATCTATATTTTAAATATATTTTTGTAATTATTTGTTTATAATATTTTTTATATATATTTTACAATATGCTTTTCTGGGATACTGACTATGGGCTGAACCGACAAAGGCTTTATCAGAAGCAAGAAGCCTTTCAATCAAACAACGAATAGATGGCGATGCTGTAAACCAAGTGCAAGTAAAAAGTACAAAAGCCAAGTGCAAGTACAGTAGTGTACCGCCTCTGGGCCGAAAACACCTGTCACGGGCTCAAGCTTCCGTAGGTTCCCAATAAACCTTGCTTTTACCCTTCAAAGTCATCGCTTGATATTGCTTGATGTTGCTTGTGTTTACAGCGAAATATCACAGTTCCAAGTGACGATCAAATGTATACTCTGGAACTGGTCCAAGAGTTGCAGCGGTGGAGGGCGCCCTGGCGAGTAGAATGCAAGAAGTCGCTCACTTCGCCCAAAAAGGAATCCAGAACAGAAAATTGCAGATCGTGTAAACCGTGATGGGGATTGATTTGGTTTCACTAAGCAAATTGGACGCGTGTGGACTTCAAGCTGCACTGAACATCATGCACAAAAGGACTCTTATGCAAAACACCTACGAACTCAGACGGGTGTAACATCTGCGAGACTATAGATTGAACTATATATAACATTAAAAAATACATGTATCATCATTCATCATGTATCAAGTTCTTTGAGCTTTCGAGGGAATGTCTTCTGGATTGCCATTCAGTCAATTTAATTTAAAGCGTTTGTCTAAGTCAAATGTTTGTAATTACAAACCCGGCCAAACCATTCCAGGTGGGGTTTTTCGAGTGTTTGTTCGGGTACGGGTAAATATGGGGATGGGTCAAAACCCTGGTACCTAGTGAACCCCAAAATAGCTGGTAAATGGATGTTCATCCCACTAAAAATGTATCTATAGGTATTGACCCATACCCATATCATTCTGAGGCAAGTGTCGTTCAGAGGTAGGCTGGCGCTACAGCTCATTTAATTCATTTATGTTCCGCAGCGGTTCTGCTGCTTGGGGAGTTCTGCCGCGCCGGAATTGACCTGGCTATAAATACCTCCCAATTTGGAAGGATGGAGACTCTGCTGAGGAGTATCGGTGCTGTCTCAGTCACATTTGGCTGCTTGAATCACTTTAGGAACCTATGGATCTTTGTGAATGTTGAGACTGCGAAGAGCTCTCTCGTGGAACTACATGGCAGATGTGGCCGCCTTGCCGTGGCCGAATTGAGAGTTTACAAAAAACATGTGGGGCGTCACTCTCTGAATTTTGCCTTGATTGTGGACTTTGTGGATATTGCATTGTCGTTTTCTTCGAGAAGTTGCATGAGAATGAGTGCACGCTTGCATGTCTTTGACGACACTTTGCCGTGTGGAAATTTGAGAATATGTAAATGAATGATTTATCAGTGTCCAAGCAATCAACCAGTGTATGTAGGTGGCTGGCGGCTGATAGATGACCGCCAGCTTTTTGGCTATTTTTTATACTTTTCTCCTCTCTTGTCTTGTGGGGTGGGGTGGGGTGGGATGATAACGTCATGTCTTGCGTTTCACGTACTTGCCCCTGCTCGTCTGTTTGTGGGGTGGGGTGGGGTGGGATGATAACGTCATGTCTAAGTGCGTTTCACACGTACTTGCCCCATGCTCGTCACTGCCTGTTGGGTGGGGTGGGGAGGGGTGGGGTGGGGTGGGGTGGGATGATAACGTCATGTCTAAGTGCGTTTCACACGTACTTGCCCCATGCTCGTCACTGCCTGTTGGGTGGGGTAACTTCTCAGGTAACTTCTCAGACGCTCTTGATGCTACGCTCTTCACGTCTTCAGGTAACTTCTCAGACGCTCTTGATGCTACGTCCTTCACGTCGTCAAGTAACTTCTGAGACGCTCTTGATGCTACGCTCTTCACGTCTTCAGGTAACTTCTGAGACGCTCTTGATGCTACGCTCTTCACGTCTTCAGGTAACTTCTGAGACGCTTCTTCGATGGAAACAAAGCGTGGATGGCTGGAGCAAAGATGCTCGCATGCTGATTACATGTAAATTTCTACTTTGTAAATATTGACTTCACCATCACAATTCCATCTTTGCCCTATTTTGTAAATATAAACTTAACCTCAAACACTGGACGCAGAAATGACATGGATATGCTACCGAGGAAACGGAAACTCCTTGCTCGCCAAGTCATTCACCAAGACAAAATCTATGCCAAGACATTGCGCTCCATTCCTCGTCATTTGTCCCAGGTCGCTGGCACACAATGCATTGATCGCCATTGGCGCAGTCTCAAAGAATTTATTGGCCCTGCTTTCCCTCGCAAAATGAAGGGACAATTTGGTTCAAAGCTTCACACAGAGGTCAATGTGCTTGTGAAGCAGTGGTTGTACAGAATGTGGTCTAAGTCTTCTTCTCCCAAAGATGTGTATACGAAGTTGACTCAAATCCTGAAATGAAAGAAAGACATCTACTTGGAAATGTGAAACATGAAATGAAAAAAAACAAGTAGTTCGAAGCTGGATTTGGAAGAGTCAAAAAACGCAGCAATAGCAAAAAACACTGGTAAAAACCAGGCGAAATCAACTAGCGGTGGTTGGAAAAGCAGGCGGTCGTCTATCAGCCGCCTACCATGTAGGTTGTTAAATACCTATTGATATAATGATACACCATAATATCATGTAACTGATTCTAATTACAATATATGTGTACTGTAAGTGTGTATATATATATATTATGTATACAGTACATATATTATATTATATTATATTAAATTATATTATATCATATGATATATTATATTATATCATTATATTATATTATATTATTATATTATATTATATTATATTATACTATGTTATATATATACACATTATTATATCATAATATATATACAGTATACACACATATACATATATATATAATATTATAAATTAAAATAGATGATTTGGTATTGGCTCACTTCAAACTGTGATTCTTGTGTATGAGCGCACAGGTTCGTGCACGTTTGAAAAGGAGCGCTGGCAGCAGAAGAGCGTCAACTTGTTTTGCAATGGATTTGAAAACATTTGGAAACTGGTCTCAGAATGCTTCAGACACTTTCTGACTTTCTTCCCAAAAACTGCATTCATCTAGCTAGCAACTGCAAACTTTATTCAAGCTACTCATCCTGACACTCTGGCATCCACGAGACTGCAATGCCTTTGGCAGAAAACGAACCCTGCTCTGAAGGCATCGTTGCTTTGGAACTGCCCCTTTATGCACCTTCTACATCCTTTGGCCGTTTCATGAACACTCTGCAAAACTCATCTCGGTCCAAGACTGCCAGTGATACACATTCACGGTGTTTGGAATCGGGGTTCCGGCGTGTTCCCAGACCTGCAGCAAATACACGAGTCGAGCTTGCAGCTACCGAGCTTACACGGGGGTTGCTGTAGTCGCTCAAGTCCAAGTCAGAGTTAACTTGTGCAAACACCGGGAAAACACCCGTTTCTACAAGCATTGCATCACCTGTTAGTAGAACGTGCTGGAAGCAGTGAGTCTAGGCAAACCACCTATATTGCAACATGGCTTCAAGGGTGAGACTGCTGTTGCAGGGTTACACAGCAGCTAAGCTCAAAGATGCCAGACACAATAGAAACATGGTGTAAGAATTTGCAGGACAAGTGTCCTTTTGCAACGGTGCAATTCATCTATCGAGTGTGTATATATATATAATACACCATAGACATAAAACTACTTATATACTGTTCTTGGTGAAGAAGGGAAACACTATTTGGGACAGTAGAAACCGCTGTTTCACCATGATCAAAAATCCTTCATGTTCAAACAAGTGTTTTTCTCCTTTAACTTACTTAAAGGGGTCTTGTGTTTGGCCACAGTCTCGAGACAATTTGTCACATCAAATTAAATGAGTTCTTGGACAGAAAGGATTTCTTGTACAGTATATGTATGTATATCATCACGCAGCTCGACATCTCTTGTGTGCAACATCATGTAATTAGCGTAACAAATATGTTGTGTAACATTATCCCCATGCCAAAGGTGCCGCCCGGAGGTTTATCATGTCACCAACTCTTTAGGGTTGTTTAGGGTTTATCTAGGGTTTCATTTAGGGTTGCTACGTTTTTGTTAAACCACGGTTTTAATGAGATTTTACTTTCAATGCTTACTTAAGGTTTCATGCCAGATTTAGGTTTTAGGGTTTTGTGTTTTGGAAACAAATCTCGTCAGGCATTCGGCCATTCTGCCGACATCCCAAAATGCATATAACACTGGCCCTGCGCAGTCAAAACACACTTCCCCGGGCAGCACCCCCGTCCTGGCCGTAACATTACTTAACATCATATAGCGCAACATCTCGTGCTTTCATCATTTTTTCGCAACATTCCTTTTGTATGTGACATCATGTAGCGTAACAGGTACTTTGTGTCAGCAACGTCATACAGTGTAACAGGTGTTTTCTGTATGTAATATTATGTAATATCACTTGGCCGAACATCGCTTGTGCATGCAACTTGATGTGAGCACCATTAGCTTCTATCATCCTCTATCTATCCCCTTCATCCTACATGTAGCATGACGTCTCTGGCGTATGCAACTTAATGCGAACGTCTTTTGCCCCCCCCAACCCCATATATACCGCAACATACCGCAATATCCCGTAACATCTCAAATATACACATCAAAAAAACTGCAAAAGAGTGCAAAAGGCCAGCTTCGCTCCTCTAACACACACACACAAACAAGGTACAGCAACAACTCACAACATACCTGTGCTGCGGGGTTTGTTCATGTGCATCTGATCAAATCCTGTGCTAGCTCTTGTCACTGTGAATGATCCTGGATTAAATTATTTTGCACTGCATTTATAGCAGTTCAGCTTCACATCATGTCGCATACCCTGTATGGGCTGGAAACCAAAAAGCACACGCTATGTCCTACACCTGAATGTTTCCCACAGTTTCTTAACACTCCCTCCGTATCAATGCTCATCCACGTCCAAACATTCACAACGAGCCAACCGCAGTACTCACTAATTGGATCTAATTGGATCTAATTAGTCCAATTGTTTGTAATTGCGTGATTGAAAAGGGTATCACATCTACGTCGAACATGGATTCTCTACCGATCTTTACTCCTATATGTCACTCTGTGGCTCAAGCCACCTTCTATCTATCATTTTCTACAATCTCCTATCCGGACTCCTATCATCTTCTATCTGATTCCATCCTCATTCTCCTCTCATTCTCCTCTCATTCTCCTTGCGACTTCAGGCTGAGATCTGCAAAGCTGACCTCTTGCCCTCCTCGAAACTCCTCGGAATCATTTTGGGCTCGAAAGCGGCAGTACACTCGAATTGGCCTCAAGGCAGGCCAACAAATCTAACAGATGCAACTAACGTGTGTAATTGCACACAATTACACAGAATTCGACAAACATGGCAGAAATGAGCTGAAATGAATAGTCAGAGAGAGAGAGAGAGAGAGAGAGAAGCAAGGACGAAACAATGCAAAACACCTCTGAGATGAAGGTCATCACATCGCAAACTCGTAGCAGTCCATAGCAATGGAAGGCGCTCAGCTCAGCTTAAGAGTCACGCAGCTCTTGTACACTTACAGATGCCTGCAACTGTCATGCGGGGCAATAATGGATTGGAACACTGAAACAAAGAACATATCAGCGTATACCAGCGCTACAAGAAAGCCTGAAACATCTTGCAACTGCGTAGGATTCTGTAGGTATGTTGTACATCGATGTTGTAATATAAACTGCAAATTGCGAATCATTTTGCACTGCATTGCACTGCAGTGCATCAGAGTGAATCAGTGCACCTCCTCAACTGGCAGCAAATCACGAAGCTGTCGAACCTGCAGACGCAACGAGTTTGGACAAAGCACACTGGCACAGTTTGGCACAGTTTGGCACAGTTTGGCACAGTTTGGCGTGTCGCACATGAGTTGCTCACATAGTTTTGCTTGCCTCACCTCGACTTTCTAAACTGGTCCATGTGTATCCATGTGTCATTTGTTGGGGTCCGGTGGAGAGTCGGGTAGTGAGCAAGTCGGGCAAGTATGGGCAAGTAATATGCATCGAACAGCTGGTCTACTTTAGATTACTTTAGCATGAAACCCAGGCAGGAGCTGGGGTCATTTGAATCTTGCTGTGCTGAAATCCCCAAACTTCAAGAATTTTGGGCAGATGAAATGAACGCACATTGTAAGTTGTTCGATACAAGCATCAGAGGAAGACTGAGGAAGATAAACTTCCGAGACATAGACGAATCAAATCATATCAAATCAACCACTAGTTCAATCGTAAAGTTACTCAACTCTCCGCAGGTAACATTCGTTAAGTGAACAGATTGACCAGCTCGCGAATTCATTCAACTTCCGAATTCAAAAGAACTGAGTTGACGCGTTTGTGCGACTTTTGTGCATGAAGTTTTGGCCAGTAAGCCTGGTCATGCTCTTTCACGTCGTACAGATTCATACAGTAGGACATAGTAAGAAACATAAAAAGGGGGCTGCCATATCTGATAGTTTTTCACATACGTACAGTAAATTCTCGCTAGTGAAGCGCACAAATAATCTCCAAGTTGCGCCTTTACCTCTGTGATGCTAGCCCAGGGGTCACTGGCCCCTGTGTCACCGTGATTGAGCTTTGCGAGCGGATCTTTGTAGCATTTCATACTAGGTAGCTTGCAGTGCGCTTTATATGCATAGTGCTTTGATGTAATTTGATGAATTTGTACGAGTAGTTCACTGTACAACCTGGCAGTACAATTTCCTATGCCGTTATCTTTGTTATGCTAAAGTGCCTCATAGAACAATTATAATATATATATATATATTAAATATAATCATTATATATATATTAAATATAATCATTATAAATTATATATACATATATATAATTATCTAAACACACATCCCTCTCATCCCCTTTTCATAGGCCTCCATTTGCCATGAATGATATGAATGTACGTAGTTCCATGTAGTTCCTATCCTTTCATACACTTTGAAACGCCAATCTTGGGCTCGCCCCAGATTCACCGTGCACTGGCATCAGATGAGGCTTGGCATCATTGCAATTCGTGCAGATTAGGCAAGGCACCGGCCTTTTTGGAGTTTTAGGACCTAGATGGACCTAGGTATTCTTCCATATTCGCCATATATTCGCCATATTCTACCGTATTCCAACTATTGATACACGATTACAATGCCATGGTAAACCAAATAGCAAGATGCGCTGTCTTAGCTGCCATAACCTCAACACCTTCTTGCATTTGCATGGGAAAAAAGCAGTTGAACAGCACAGTGGTGCACATTCATTGCCCTTGAAAGTTGCAAAATGTTGCAAAGACGTACTATGTGGCAGTATTGTATACACTGTAGTGCATTTATGCATATTTGTGCCTGGTGGGCGCTATAGGAATTTGAAGTGCCGTCAATTCGCAAGGACAGGTCGCTCTTGAATGCTTTTGATCGCTTTTGATCGCTTTTGATAATATGTGCTTTGGAGGTGTGCTATCCACTGATACGAGTAACAACTAACTGCAACTCTTTCGTGGCAGCCAGAAGAGGGAATCCTCAGCGCTTTGAGATTCTGAATCTCAAGCCATGCAACACAAGTTGAAGGGGAATGCTGGAAACTGTTTGATATTCTTAGCGATGTGCTGCTAATGTGACTTTTGATAGCAAACATAAACATATGCATGTGGCGCGCGCACACACACAAGCAGAATCCTCGCTTGCATATGAATTAGACAGACTGTAGACTGCGCAACTGATTTTATACATACTTCAGGAGGAACAAAGTTTATGCTTCTTGAGAGCTTGACAAAACATCTATCTCGGTCAACCGCAGATCACATTTCCAAGTCCATTTTGCGTGGCATGTGACAGGTGTGGGACATTGTGGGACGGTCAGTTACCACCCGCTTTTAAATCTATAAGATTATAATTATAAACCTTTTGGAGGGTGGAAATGCGACCGGGGTATGACAAAGCTCCATGCTAGGATTCTAAGGGGGAAAGGGTGTGCAGAAGAAGAAACCAAACATTTTCACTTTCGGAAGCTCAACAAGCGCAACTATTGTCCTACCAGTGTATTATAGTGTATTGTACTAGAATGTAGGACATAAAGTGGAATCCAGTAGAAACATGTAAAAACAGCATAAAGAACATTTTGTTGCTCTGAATCCAGACATCGATTTGCATCAGTCATCACCCTGCTTCACATAGCTCTGCACCTCCAGCGCCAAGGGAGGCAGTTGTCGACGCATTGGGCTACAGGGAGATGCCTGGTACACTTTCTTTATTTTCTTTGTACACTTTCCTGTAGACACTGTGTACGCTTATCTTGTTTCTGTATGTTTTTGTAGTCTTTCAAGATCTTTCAAGCAGATTTGCTACTCAATGAATTGCGAGGTACAAAATGCTTTGATGACTCTGATCCATGTCTGGTGAAAGAAAACCAATGAGAATGCCGAATGTTACACCGGGGCTTATCTGTCTAAATTCCTTGTCCAAAGCTTCTTGTGCAAGCAGCGCTGTTCATATGTGTTGGCTGACCAGTAAACTGTACTACGAGCCAGGTGATTCGGCAGGTTATAACCGGTTAGCCCGAACGCGCATTGGTCTGCGCAGCAAAAAAAGACTGCTCAAGCTGCTCAATTGCGCAGTTCTGAAGTGATCCTGTAAAAGTGATCATTTGAAAAGGTCAGGTAATAGGTAAATAAATAAAACCAAGCTGGGACATGTGCCTTTGGCATTCTTGAACCATCTTGAAATTAGCTGGCACCAATTAACTCTGTGACGAGCCTCCAGGTTTCAGAGGCTGCAAGGCGCAATCGAAAGAGCTCTTCTCTGCATAAAAGACCAATGACAGAACCGAATAGCAGGGTGTTTCTGTGCACGTAATGTCCCTGCTAGCACGTCGAAAGTCATGCGTTCCGCAGTTTTGAACATCCCTGACTGGAAACCACCAAGGACAAGCAAAGAAAACATGCCGTCTCTGGCAGCTTGAACTTCGGCGGTGCTAGCGGTCCGTGTCAAGACTCCTACACAACTCAAATTTGACATATTTTAACATGATTCAAATTCATTTGAAATCATATAATTCAAATTCTCTCGACTGCTTGAGACACAAACACACACACACACAAAGACAACACACACACAGGACTCACAGGACAGATTGGGATAGCTCTCGGGCATTCTCCTGACCAGGAAACCAACAGAAACAACATGACTGCGTGCCATTTGCGCCCAATTCTTTTCTCACTCGAAGGCTGCAATATGGATATCTTTCCGTCGATGCTTTGTGCGGTGCAGCAAACGTTCCACAGCAGCTTCGAGAAATGTAATTACTTATCAATGAGTTGTAACAATGATAGCAACAACTTCATCTCGAACCCAAAGCTTGCACATCAAGTCAACTACAATTCCAAGCTAGTGAACCATCAAGTCATTCTTTTTAAAGAAAGGAAACAAGATGAAACAAGATGAAACAAGTGTATAGCGAGCGCCCCATCATGCTGCACCGGTCGCGGGTTTGAAGTTTGGGTTCTTTTTCAGGATGACGAAGTCCTGGGGAAACTGCTTGAAATGCCTTCGTTGAACCACCTCCAACATCCTCCCATCAGTGCTTGGGAAAGAAATTGATGCACCATAAATCTTCATGTATTCAGAAATATTCAATACACCGTGCACCGTGCCTCTAAGATCGTACCAGGTGTGACTGGCAAGTACTCCTCTGTGGCCAGCTCGGCCCTGTCCTGCAGAGCCAGGCTCATAGTACGGTATGGGCTCTATGTATCTCCAAGTATCATGGTGTCAGTAGGTCCGTCTTTAAATTAAACAATCGATTCAAGCATATGCAAGATCTGTAAAACTCTGAGAAAATGACCTGAACAGTCATAAAATATCATGAAATCACATCCTGGAAATTGAGCAGCACCGGCGTTGTTCTGGTCTGGAAGCCAGTGATTTGCTTCGGCCTGCCGGCCATGCCTGTGACCTTGGTCGAAGAACAAAGCAAAGCAATCCAAAACATATATGTATGTATATATATATAGTTATACGATATTATACGTATGTATATTATATATATATAAATTATATATATATACCAAAACAATCCCAAACCAAACCTCGAAATTCCTACTGGAATGTTCTGGGCTCACTACATCCACTGCCTGACCAACTCGAACAGCCACTTTCAACTCGTTCATATCCTCACGGCATCTCACGGTCACTCACGGCACTGTCCAAACTTGTCAGTACCGCCAGGTTTTTAGGGTCATATCCAGTCATATCGAGACATATCGAGTCATATCGAGACATGTTTATACTCTCAATACTCTCATATTGGTGCACAGTTGGTACACTCAAATATACTCAAATCCTTGACAGTTCGGAATTGAAAATTTTCAGGATGTGGTTCCATGCATTCCCACAGTTTGCTAGTCCTCATCGACTGTTATCAGCCATCTTGGTCGCATGGCCGGTACCACGTTGTACAAGAGGTAGTGGCTTTTACCCAGAATAGTGTTCCTGAAAAGCTGCACGGATTGACATAAGGCCCTTTGAGAAAAACATGGGGAAATATGAAGAAAGTCTAGTTATATCTACTTAGCATCCGTCAAACATATTCACATATCCCCCAACTAGTAGTGCATCTGAGCGGCTTCAAGTGCAGCACCGAATGCGCCTTGTCCAGAAATTGCATAGATGTCAAAGAAACAATGGTGAATTGAAGTGAATTGTGTAGATACAAACACTTGACAAAATAATCACAGGACGAGACTCAAACGCATGTCAAGCAGGAGAGAGTGTTTCACAGGATTCACAGCGTGTACGAGTTGAGAGCAGAACCAGTACCGTCAAGGATCCAAAGGCAACAGGATCGACTAAGAAGCCTAGGAGTACAATTGCATGGTGCTGCACTGCCGCTTTGAAAGAAGAGCAAATGCGCTGCTTCAGAATGCTTCAGCAGTCCCATTGCAGCCAAGAAGCGATCGCTGAACTGTGGATTGATGGTGAGCAAACCCTTTCCCATGTAGAGCAGGCCTGAAAGTGCACTGTCTACAACAATAACCTACCACAAGCTACTGGGAAACATTGAAGACCTTAAAGAATCTTAAAGACACAGAAAACCCCACAAAACACATTCAAACGCTGCAATTGTTGGATGTCTGCGTCAAGGAAAAGCACACCATGACACTCCTCTACTGGTTGAATCTGGTTGACTAGCAGGAACTTGAACCACCATATATAGTAGGTCTTGATTTCCTGAAAACTGCCAGAGGTGTAAGCTCACTTATCCTCTCACCATGTCACACCATAGGAATCAAATGTGATACCAACACATATCAAGGACTGCCACGGAATGCTGAAGTGAGGCAGCGATGCGGCAAGAATGGCAAAGACATGCAAAGACTTGATGCAATCCGCCTTGAGCGATTCTCACCATGAACAATGCATTGGGGTCCTTTGCATAGTAGGCCGCCAGCTGCCTGCAGCCGTTGGCTGTGGACTGTTGGTCTTTGGTATGAGCGAATATATGTGAATCTATATTATATATATATATATGCGAGAAGCCTCTGTTCAGAATCCTTCGCACAAATCTGAAAGGGGCCTCAACAAACCAGCCAACCTCGCGTTGTTGGTGCCAGCACCTGCAAAAGTCTGGAACAGCTGAAATAAACGAACATTTGATATCATTTGATCAACTTACTGCGCGTGAAAAGACATAACGGACATAACTTCAAACGGACAGGTGATCTCAGTGGTAAAACTTGCCCTCGCCGCCTATCAAGCCCATGCTAATGATGGCGCCCATTGCCACATCCTTTCAGGAGCGCTGTTTGAAACCACACGACATCTTTGGACATCTTTGGACTTTGGACATGTTTGGATGCTGGTTCTGTGGCACACAATTGATACCGGCAAATCCAGCAAACTAGTTGACAGATTTGACAGAATGAAGGGTCAAGGCTGGTCAATGAATATGGCCATGGCATGCCACGGCTAGGAATTCTCCTGGTCCGCATCGTGGGACAACTTAGCAAGGGTGTCGATCACCAACACCTGGCAGGTCAGCTTCTCAGAACTGCCATGCCATTGCGCGCCACCACAATCTGAACATGCAAAAGCAAACACCGACATGGCATTCAGAATGTTCTTACGGTTCTTACGGTTCTAAAATTCTCCACCAGGGTTTCACCTCATCTTACCCTATGACGCCTATGACATTGAAAGAAGTCGTGGGAGAAATAGCGAGATGCGACAGATGCGACAAGCACATCGGACGCTTCTATAGCACGTCTTATGGCACGTCTTTTATCGTCTTGTGGCGCATCAGACGAGCATTCGTCTGCCTTGGGGTTGGACAGGTGCAGAATTGCCAAAGCCAAAGGAACAGCCCGCCTCGGCACAGGCAGCACAACGCAAACAAAAACGCATTTGCAAAACATGTAGGCCACCATGTGTTTCCTGAGCTTGTCAATATATTCCGAAAATAGCACAACACACACACATTCATATATAATTATATTATATATATTATATTATATCATTATACATATGAATACGATAAAGTATATGTCATATATGTATATGATTGTATATGTGTAATCACATATATATATATATACACACATAGTTGCGTCAAAATTCGGGTATGGATCGGCCCGTGGTGATCCAGACGTATGGAACGGTCTGGATCACCTGCCTGCGTTTTGGTATGGATCGGGGGTATGGATCGGCCTGTGGGTTCAGGGTATGGATCGGGGCTTTGCATTTTGACTCGCAGTCACATATATATATATATACATTATAAATAATTATAGGTAGATTTGCATATGCGCATTTTGATGTTTTGTAAAAAAAAAGTAAAAACAGTTAAGAATATATATACTTACTGTCCCCATATATCTATATTACGTACGTACGAAATCATACGAACAGCTTTCAGCCAAATGATATCATTTGTTTCGCAAGTACTGTACCTTCCCTCTCGTTCCATTCTGTGCGATGATGCAAGATTGAGCGATCTGTGCAGTCAAGAACCACTTAGATACAAAAGTTTCTGGATTCCCCTGAAAAAGGGTTCATACACATTCATACACTAATACAAGTGTGACGCAGCTTCTATGAAGCTGATGAAGTATCATCTTTGCTGTACCTGCTGATCGAAAGTAGAGTTTTCCTTCTCAGAAGCATTACGTGCGCGGAATATCTTTGGCACATCCACTTTGATTTAATACCTCAAATATCCTTCAATCAAGCTCCTCGCCGGATCATCTGCTCATCCAGTTTGATCAAATTTCTTTATGTCTGCGTGCACTATTATCTGAATAGATGAAACATGTTCGCCCCAACCCGGACGTTTCTCCATATCTACATAACACACCCGGACAGTAACTTGTCACAAGAGGATGAACGAAAACACTGGCTATAAGCAGCGATCTTAACTTTAGGTTTCAGGATTTACGGTTTTAGGGTTCAGAGTTTTAGGGTTGGGGTTTCAGGGTTTGGGGGTTTATTCTTCGGGACAGTTTAGAAAACGCTAGCCTTGCCCAAGGATTTTAGAGAATTTTAGCATGTCAAAGGATATGCTGGAACAGCATGGAGAAACGTCAGGGTTGCAGCGAACATGTTTCAAGACTGCGTGCTAGTATGGACAGCTCTGTGAGTACTTTCCCGAACATCCTTTCACAAATTCTGAACCGCGGCACTACACAAACGCTGCTTAATCGTATTCCATGAAGCACCGTGGACACCAGCGATCAACAGGTGACATGTCTTGTCAAATCCATCGGAATCTTCCACACTGTCAGCAAACAAAGATAAACAGAGCGTTCCAGCTTTTCCTTGTGTCGACACATGTCACCATCTGTCAACCTTCTCTAGATGGATGTGTCAATTATGTCTCCACCCAATAGTGTGCGAACATGAAGTATCAAATTTGAAAGATTTGGAGTGATTCTGAAAGTAACTAGAAGCCATGAAGATGGATGCAATCTCAATCAAGGTGGAACGCAAAAATGTAAGGATTCAAGGCACAGAACAGCTTTGTCCAGCTCGGCGGATGCCGCGTCCCGCCAAATCTTTCCGTTTGTACAAGTCTGGGTTGGTGGGTGGCTGCTTCTTCTTTAAACATTCACTTGTATTAACATAATAATATGATATAATATGATATTATATATGATCGATTGTCTTGTTTTTCTAGATTCATACAATCGAACATCCGTTATCGTTGTCTCGGCTCACTGTGACATGATGCGGAATTTGGTAATGTAGCTGGTTGGCCACTGGTCGGTGTTCAAAGTCCCTGAGGCCCTGGGATTCACAGTCCACATATGTCCACAAGGTATTTTCCTGCCATTGCCTCAACGTCAGCTCGCCATATTGCAGAATGTGGTCAATGGACCGGCAGGCCATTTCGGCACCTGAGAGGCATGTAGAGACCAAATTGACCAAATGAGCAAGTCACAGCAAGTCATGCATGAACAGCATAAATTTATATGAGGAGTGGCCATTGTTTGCGCGTCCTCACTGGCGGGGCAAATCAGTGGCGTTTGTCTCTTCTCCCTGACCCCTCAACCAGCTTCACTTAGACAATTTGTATTGTAATCTGATCCCTCTGTACAATGGCAAGCACACTCTGCAGGACACATGCCAACTGTCTGAGCATGCAAACAAGCTTGTTGCAACTCGCTATATATATATATATGATTATGATTTTAATTAATTGAATATTATATAATATTATATGATATATACTAAATTATACATTATGTTTATTGACTGTTGTTGTGGATCTCGGCTTGCGTCTGCTGCAGGTCTGGGCAGCTTACCGATCTCTTCACCAAATGCAATCAAGGCAATGCCCAACACAGCGGTGGCCTGCGCGTCAAATTTGTAAGACAACAAGGCGATATTGGCGATGCAGTGGCGATGCAGCTTGTTTTGTTTGCAACTTGAGCCACTATCTGTATCTACCTGTCAAGACCTGCATGCAAAACCTACAGAAGCAGTTCCACTACATGCAATGTAGCCAACCCAACCGCACAGCCCCTGCAGTCAGAGATTTTTGGACCTGATGGAAAGATTCTGCTTCTTCCAAGTGATCTGTGCATGCCTGCAACCTTGCAATCAGTAGCTGATGCGTTTGACACGGTACACTGTGAAAGTCCGCATTAAGTGTCAGGTTTCAGTACAGTTTGAGTTTCAGCATGTGCAAACTTGTCCTGAGGATCGCAGCCTCATTCCCCAACTGCAAATAGCGAATGCATGAAACGAGTGCATGCAAGGAACATCTTCTGCACGTGCAGGACGTCGCCAGAGTAGGCAAATGCCAGGCCTGCGCTGCTCTGGCAAAGAGATGCAAAGAGGCATTCACGGGCATTCACACATGAAGCAAATCAATGCAAATTATGCATTTCAAGCAAGCACGTATCACAAACACACTGAACATTAAGTTGAGCAAGATCATTGCCCCCAGCAACTGCCTTCAACGGTCAACTTGGCATACTTTCCCATCGGATGGGTAATTGCGTCCAATGCAGAGAGTGTTGCTTCTGCTGCATCCTGCAATGGGTACAGTAGCAAGATCAAACCGATGCCATCAGATTTTGATTTGCCGAATTCAAACAGTGCTTCTGGCCGGTGCAGGCCTGCTGGCCGAGGTAAAGTAAACCTGAACCATTTCCAGGGCCACCAGAAGTTGTGTTCTTGTGCTCAGAAAACGATTTGAGGGTGAGGTCAATTAGAGCAACCACAACCATAGCGCAACCACAATGACAGCGACAACAATAATAATCAAACAGCAAAGACAACCAAAGCAAGAGAATCTAGAATCTTTTGCACCTACTGAACGTTGCCTCCGTTCATCAAGAGAGCTCCCAACTGCTTCAAGTTTGTATCAGAATGAGGTCCAAACCCAAACCAACGGCAAAGAAATGTGGCCATGTTCCACTCAAAGCATTTTCGACTGCCTCGTCACAACTTCTCAGGACAGAATCAGCATGAACTGATATCAACTGCAACTGCCTTTGACAAGTCAAGCATGGTAAATATTTTGCAAATGGTGCAAATAGTAAGGCAAGTACTTGTCTCTCAATGAGAGTCTGCAGGATGGCCTGGGCAACCTCCAATTCGAACATGTTTGTGCAGTGCATTTTGAAGGGGTCAACGAAGGGATTTACATTCATCATCATTGACGAATCATTGATCTATGAAGAATTTACGAAGCGTTCACACAAGTTTTTGCAAAGAAATGCAAAGAATATGTAGGATGATGAAGGATGTTTGGGGATGCAGAATTTGTGGGCGTGGCCGGTGTGGCTGGCCTCTTCGTTGCAAGAAGATACAAACACCAACCCTAAACTCACTGCTGCCATAGCGGAGCATTCAATGCTGCAGGCCTTAGAAACTTTCAGGGACACAGGGATAGTGAAACATCTGCAGTGAAGGGCCGATTCACTTTGCAGTCAGATGTCATCAGTCTATCCGCTGCCCCTGCTTTTCTTCTTGTTTCACTGTTAAACACTATTAAATATTTTATAACATCATTTTGAATCCACCTGAAATTGCAAGAAGGGAAACTTGGGACAGTGAATCAAATTCATTGCCCATGTTTAGGCGGAGAGGCAGCACATGCAGCAGCTTCACTCTGATTCTGAAGCATCTAGGACAAGCTAGGCTCGGCACCGTATCCACTATCATTGGAGTCAAATTTTCAAGCAGGTCCTACGAGTTTTTCTACAGGCACTCGTAAAATGACCATGTCATAAGTCATCATGTCTTTAGGAACAAACCGACCAGCTGAGCCAAAACTGGTTGGACTGCAAAGGTTTCTCGCCAACACTCTGATCTCACAGAGATAGAATGAATCGTCATGATAACATATGATAACCACAAATCATCACAAATCAATGGAGTTGGGCCCTTTGAAACCGTCAAACATTTCCTCACTCCATGACACAACCAGCCGCAGCAGGCTCCAGCCAAACTGGAGCTATATCAATATAATATCTGAGTATCTGTATCAATCCAGCAATCCACCTGCGCCTATAGTGCAGAGTATGTACAGTTGCTTTTGATGATTGATGCTGACCCACGGTATCTATAGCTGCATGTGAGCATACATAATCCACCTGCATGTAAATCATCAGATCAGAACATTTAGAGCAGGGAAGGAAAGGAACAATGAGGTGAGAGAGAAGTTGCGGCAAATATAAGCACCCTGGCACCCTACTCTGCTCAAGACGAAGCACTACTGAGCCTTGCTTTTTCCACATGCCTTCATGTAAGACACGTCAGCATGTTTGTTAACCGAAAGCCCGAGAGAAAATTCCACTTGAAACACACCGCACAGCTGTGCAAACCACATTCAAATGGTACCCAGGCAGAATCCAGACCTACTCAAGAGAAGCTTATTTGATTTCATTTGTATGGAATATATGGCAGTGAAGTATATGATATATTATGATACGTATGATATTCTACCCACACATAGTTCACAAGTGCAAGACTATACACATTGTATACGTATGTATATGGAATCTGAGACCAAATGAGACATCCACCGCAATCACAACCTGCAAGAGTAGCACACAGGGCGACCTATGGTACCAAATCCTATAAGCACTTCGTCAAAAGAACGTCACTCTTTAGCACTCCTCTCGGCAGCTGCCAGCATAGGCATAACCCAGTCCGACGACGGCCGCCAAACGGAGCTGCGCATCCTGCAAAACAGAAGCGCATCGGCGCATCTTGAATGAAATGAATTGAGAGGCCACATGGCCTCACCATGAAACCAGATGCCAGAAGATGTGCAAAGCCAGTATAAGCCAGTGCAAAACTCTACAAATCCATTGCAGTGCAAGGAGGATCGCAAACAATCGCAGTGTCCGTGTCAACAGTCAACATGAACTCGACCTTTGCTCTTTAACGGCTTAAGATGGCTTAAATCTGGCATGGTCCGACCTCTGCTTCCAACTGCTCGCCCAGCAATGCCCATGCTGGATCACACTCATTCTTAACCTAGGAGATACATAAGACTTCGGTTTAGTCTAGTTGCTTTGAGGTTTGCATTGCCATTTACTTCACCGCTTCCCAATGCAGTGCAACACTCACCAGTCAGTTTGCCACCTCGGCTCGCAAACTGCCTCTGTGAATGTCTGAGAGATCTGAGAGATGGACACCGCACGTCACAAGGCCAAAGGCCAACAATGCTCCAGCCTGCAAGAATGAGCTTGACAAACACATATACACAGAGACAAATATACCGCTTGATCGGATTATACAGGTAGTGAACTGCACTTTACCCGACTGAATTCCCGAGTGCACAACCATCATCGTCTTTCACTTTCCGTGCAGATCTGACTGACTGAATCAGGAGTTCTGAATGCATCTACACAGAAAACGTTGCAGGGCAAGATGTTTAAGGCCCCATCGACTTTCATTGGGATGCGGGGGGTCTAGGATGGTCTAGGCTGCAGTGCCACCTTATGCCGTTTTTTTTATCCTTTCTATCTCAGAATCATACCAGAATATACCAGTAGTACCGCACAAGGCGGTGGCGGAAGTTTCAAAATAGGAAACCTATAGGAGACGTTGGTTGTTGTGAATCACGGATGGCAGAGCGAATCCACTGATTGACCGAAAGGTGGTTGGAGTTGTGTTTGCTGGAGTGGTTGCAATGGTTGCAGTGGCCACCTCACCCACAACTGCTGGATGTAGTGTGATGTACTGCAACTGTAGTTGTAGTTGTAGCGTAGTGGAGTTGTAGTTGTGGTGTAATGTAATTAGTGTAGTGTAGTTGCAGTCATATAGTTGTAACTAGTTGTTTTGTAGTTGTAGTTGTTGTAGTTGTTGTAGTTGTTGTTGTAGTTGTAGCTGTAGTTGTTGTGTGGTTGTAGTTGTTGTGTAGTGTAGTTGTAGTAGTAGTTGTTGTTGTTGTAGTTGTTGTAGTTGTAGTTGTTGTTGTTCCAGTACTAGTAGTAGTAGTAGTAGTAGTAGTAGTAGTAGTAGTAGTAGTAGTAGTAGTAGTCGTAGTAGTAGTAGTAGTAGTAGTAGTAGTAGTCGTAGTAGTAGTAGTTGTTGTAGTTGTAGTTGTAGTTGTTGTTGTTGTAGTTGTTGTAGTTGTAGTAGTAGTAGTTGTTGTTGTAGTAGTTGTAGTAGTAGTAGTAGTAGTAGTTGTTGTTGTTGTAGCTGTAGTTGTTGTAGTTGTAGTTGTAGTTCTAGTTGTAGTTGTTGTGTAGTTGTAGTTGTAGTTGTAGTTGTAGTTGTTGTTGTTGTTGCTGTTGTTGTTGTTGTAGTTGTAGTTCTAGTTGTAGTTGTAGTTGTTGTGTAGTTGTTGTAGTTGTAGTTGTTGTAGTTGTAGTTGTTGTAGTTGTAGTTGTTGTGGTTGGTGTTGTTGTTGTTGTTGTTGTTGTTGTTGTTGATGTTGCTGTTGTCGTCGAAGTTAGGGTAGTTAAGTTAGTGAAGTTAGTTAAGTTAGTCAAGTTAGTTAAGTTAATCAGTGTCTACTTTTTCGACATCTTCACGTCAAAAAAGGCTCAAAACCACCAGTTTTTTACACTTTTGACTTCGAAATGTGCTTCGCGCCACAACGGCGTGCACTTTTTCGACACTTTTTCGACATCTGAACCTCCAAAAGTGGTCCGAGACCGTCAGTTTTTAACACTTTTGACTTGGAAATGTGCTTCCGCCACAACGGCGTGCACTTTTTCAACATCTCAACTTCCAAAAGTGGTCCGGAGCTGAGGTGTTTTGTACATTTTGACTTGGAAATGTGCTTCGCGCAACAACGGCGTGCGCTTTTTCGACATCTCAACTTCCAAAAGTGGTCCGAACCTGGTGTGTTTTGCACATTTTGACTTGGAAATGTGCTTCGCGCCACAACGGCGTGCGCTTTTTCAACATCTCAACTTCCAAAAGTGGTCCGAACCTGGTGTGTTTTGCACATTTTGACTTGGAAATGTGCTTCGCGCCACAACGGCGTGCACTTTTTCAACATCTCAACTTCCAAAAGTGGTCCGAGAATGGTGTGTTTTGTACATTTTGACTTCGAAATGTGCTTCGCGCCACAACGGCGTGCACTTTTTCGACATCTCAACTTCCAAAGTGGTCCGACCATGGTGTGTTTTGTGCATTTTGACTTGGAAATGTGCTTCGCGCCACAACGGCGTGCACTTTTTCGACATCTCAACTTCCAAAAGTGGTCCGAACCCTGGTGTTTTGTACATTTTGACTTGGAAATGTGCTTCGCGCCACAACGGCGTGCACTTCTTCGACATCTCAACTTCCAAAAGTGGTCCGGAGCTGAGGTGTTTTGTACATTTTGACTTGGAAATGTGCTTCGCGCCACAACGGCGTGCAATTTTTCATCTCTCATCTGGCCAGCTGGCTCCGCACCCACCGCTTTAGCGAGCCTACTTTTCGACCCTCCGGAGCCACAAATCATTGGAAAAACACAGTGAATCGCGACGTTCCTACCTTTTCGCGCACCTGTATCTTCTTTCTTCTGATCTCTTCTCTTCTGACTCTTCTCACCTCTGCTTTTCAACTGTCCATATTGTTGGAAGTTTCACTTCTAAACTTCCTTCGACCAGAATATTGAATTTACATGAATTTACCTTGGGTCTGTTTTACGTTTGAAGCCTATTTTAAGACATTTTAAGCAGGAGTCGACTGTCGGGAGATATTTTTGGAGCACGTTGGAGCCAGTTGTTAGTGCTCTTTTCTAGTGGCTTGATGGCTTCACCCCTCATCAAAGCTTCACATTTGACATAGCTTCACAGAGCACAACTTGAATAAACTGAAATGATATATAGAACACATGCTGCAATTGTTCTGTGAAAGGGAGGTCTCAAGCCAATGGACAAGAGACATCAAGCTGCAATGTGTTTGAACAAAACACGGTGATTCAAGCACCCCTCACTTAAAGCCATGGTAATCATTGCACATGACAAGGCTTCTCCCTCAGGTACCTTCAAGTTCGCGTCGGAGCTCCACTGATACCTTGCAATTCGGATCGCTCTTGCCAAAGTGCTTCGAAATCTTTGAAGAATTGATTGAATAAAAATTGAATAAGCATGAACGACAGAGACTAACAGAGAGAGTTGCAGTGTTTCCAAGGAGACACCGAGAGGTTTCGGCGTCCTTGGGCCAAACAAATCTACTCAGCACTCTCAACTTGCGCACTTGTCGATCTGTGTGAGGCCCTCGTCGATGCCCCAAAGCAGCAAGGCACCAAGAGAGCCGACAGTGCTCATCATGCCCTGCTCCTGTCACCGTGCAAGACAAGTAAGCATCCATAAGTGTCGCAGGTATTTGCAGATCATCGCATCTGACCCCTCATGACTAACATCGACAGTGAGCATGGTAAAATGTCTTGTCCTGTGGAGCCAAATCGTTGCAGGTTTGCCCATGGGAACAAAGGTAATTTTTGCACCCAATAGCATCAGTAGCAATCTTTTGGAATGCCGGCCTTGTTCTTGTAGACCCATTTTGAATCAGCAATTGTCATGAGCTCGTCCTGGCATGCTGGCACGCCAAATCAAGCAGGAAATTGCAAGACAATGCGAAATGGTACTCAAATGGTGCTCAAATTCTAACCATTCTATCTCTGAATTATTCCAACTGCCGCAAACCCTGGACCTTGCAGAAGCCAGCATTGACAAAAGCGTTCACGAAGGATGAAGCTAAGTTCTGCTTCGCAGAGTCCAGGACAGCTGTGGAGCGCTTTTCCTCCATGACAGAACACCAGAACCCTAAAACGGTATGTGCTTCTCGGCTTCTCCATAATTAATCAAAGACTTGGTATAGATTTGTGGAATGTACAACAGAAGCTGATTGAACACAGTTAAAAATGTTGAACACCAATGAAAATAACTAGTCTCATTCGACAAAAATGTATATACTCTTGGCATATCTTGGCAGGATGACGCACCTCCAAATGCGATTTGTAGATCTGCTCCGGAAGCTTTGGCTCCAAGACATCCAGCTCCTTTCGACTTCGGCATCTTCGACATTCACGTTTAGCTTGGAAATGTTTAGAAATTCTGAATTGTATTGAATTGTCTGGCAAATTCCAAGAGCATGACTGATCAAGAAGTCAAAGTTGATATACTTGACCTGCTGCCATTCGAATGTTCCTAATGGATCCTAATGGTTCTCTTTTGAAGACAAACAGCAACTCTTGAGCCCTTCGGATTGCTCCATGACTGACATTTGGCTGGTCAAAAAATGTGTTATATTATGTTATATTATTCTTGTATTGTATTATCATGTATTATCATATCATATGATCAAAAAGGGTTGGCCATCCTGCCCACAATAGGGATTCAAATGAAAGTACGAAAGGCTAAACTCTGGTGTCCAGCCACCCAGAGGTGTTTCATGGTCATTGTAGATCCAATATTGATGTCGAGTCCGACAAACAACTCAATGTTTTATCCTCGCATATCCCGGCACATCATCTTGTGCTGATGTTTGCAGCATGCGACGCAGTGTCGAGGCAAGTCCAGGGTCTTGCGAGTCTTGCGAGTCTTGCAGGTCTTTTTTTGGTTTTGGCATGGCCCAAAGCAGGTCCTTGGCCAAGGAGATGAAATGCTTCGAAAGACTCTCACCTGAGGCAATCTCCTTCAGCTCGTCATCCTGGCACTGAACGTTTGAACATGTTTGAACTACTCTGAAATCATTCGAACCGTTGGCGTATGTGGTGCAGGTAAGCTAAGTTGGTGTTGTGATCCGCAATCCAGTGGCGACAAAGCAGCGGAAGCGTTTAATTGCAGCATCAAAAAACATACAGTATCATGACCGAATGCGGTCATTGAAAAATCAAACTTTGGGAAATGATGACCTTTTCCCAGGAGCTGCAACACATGGATGTTGCTAGTATATGACTATATCATGCTACATCCAAGTCCAACCATGGCTGCGACCCCTAGGTTTGCCTGACCCATCCCCCTACAAAATTGGCTGAAAGTGCCCAGGTAATCCCAGGTATAGATGTAACCTAGGATACAGAGCTGGCCAATAGAGAAATGCAGATGAGCCCTGTTGATCATCAGACTATGCAGACTATGCATGTAACATATTGTAAAATCATGTACAGTTCTACGGGCATGAGAGTTTTGAACCTCTTTGACCATTAAAATAGATGCATAATGATGGCATTAATGCATACTGTTTGGAGGCAGGTAATGTCCTGCCTAAATAAGACCAATTACAGTAAATTAAATTGTATCATGTGTGTGTATATTAATCTATTTGGATCTTTTTGGGGGTTGCCAAACGTGAGGGTTTACGCCAACATCTTCAAACATGCTTAAGCACTGGACAGATAGAATCCAGTGCCACTGCTGCACCTCTTCGAAGTCATGGTTGAACTTCCGTCGGGAAATCCTGGTGCTTGACTTGCAGACTTGCAAGAATGTCTCAAAATGTCTCAAAACGTCTCAACATGTCTCAAACACATTCGAATAGACTCAAATACTTTTAGTCATTTCTAGGTTGTCCAAGAAGCTAATTGCAATTGGAATCAACTTGATATCTTTTGCATTCTTTTGCAGCAAAGTAGCATGAAAGCCATCTGCTTCTGCACCAGGCGATCCTTTCACGGAATTCATAAAAAAAATTATGAAAACCAGTGCGATTTACGAAATGCCGCGAAATGCTCCGAATTCACCATCATTAAAGCAACTTTGCCAAGCAAAACACTGAGGTGTCAGCTTCGCATGCACTGAAGACATTGGCAACCAGCGTTGGGTCATTGAGCTTCAGAGCTACTCTGAGGGCTCCAGGGTACTCCTACAAAAGCGAGAAGAATTTGAAATGGGGGACTGAAATGGACTGAATTATGAAACGAAATGAAATGAGTGTGCCATAGTGTGCCCAACATGGCTATGATGCTATATGATGCTATATGATGCTATATGATGCTATATGATGCTATATGATGCTATATGATGCTATATGATGCTATATGATGCTATATGATGCTATATGATGCTATATGATGCTATATTATGCTATACAGTCGAGGGCTGAAGTCAGAGCAATTTTCTTGAATGTGGACAAACCGCTTGCGGAAAAGTCGCCACGACCGGGTCACAGCAGGGTCACAGCAATCCATCAAAACACAAGGGGATTGCCTTCATTTGAAGGATACAAAGTACCATTATAACAAACACGAGAGAGCCCACCCCTCGCACTGCAGACTACTCTTCTGCCAGCACTGCTTTGCATTACTAACAATCATTCTGCCACAATGGTTTGATTTGAGAAGGAGTAAGACTGAGTGAACGAAGGAAACAATGAAAAGAGAAGAAGTAACAGTCTGTGAGAAAGAAAGAGAAGAAACAGCAAGCAAGCAAGCAAGCAGCAGCAAGCAGCAGCAAGCAGCAGCAACAAACAGCAAGCAGCAGGCAAGCAGGCAAGCAGCAGCAGGCAAGCAGCAGCAAGCAAGCAGCAACCAGCGTTTGCCACCTTGAATGAATGAACAAATATAAGCTTTAAAAATCAACGCGATACTAAAAATTGAACTTTTTCCAGGCGCACGGCCTCCCGATACGACTTTAAGAAACTGATGCGACTTAAACCGAGCACTTGTATGGTCATCCAAGAACTCAAAGGAAATACATGGATTTGACCCACAAAAGCCTCTAAAACGATTCAACAAATCACTGCAAATCTCATAAGCACAGCCACAATCGCTACGACCCCCCTGAAAAGCTTCGCCCAATGGTATGGACTCAAAAGCAAAGAATCGCTACGACTTTGACCCTTGACTGTATTATGCTATATGAATCTATACGTACGCCACCTTTAGTGTTGGTGGGAAGACAAACACGATGAACATGAACAAGTTCTGCAAAGAAAAAACAAACACAAAACAGTCTACAGCGTTTCTTTTCCCGCAAAATTCAGTCAAACATATACAATGATATAATGGTTTTTGTTGTTTTTTCCTTTTCGGGTTGCTTGATTACACCAATCTGCCAATCTCGCTATTTGGAGGAAAACACTTGAAGAAAGATTTCATTTGTCTTTTTCAGAGTTCAGAATGTCGTGAGATTCGCAGGGGTTGCAGAACTCCTATGGGAGTGTCAAGGGGATGGCTTTCCAAAGACTAAGAGCAAGTTGATCCACTCCAGAATGGGTGCATTGTGGGCCGCCATGCAAACAATCGATGTGCGCATGATGTTGGATGGATATGGATGGATTACCTTTCTGATCTTTCCTCTAATATTGATGCTGCATGATGCTGCCATCTGATGCTGCCACTGGGCCTAGTCTTTCTTGCAAAGGTGTTCCCACTCCAGAAAGCTTTGGAGAGCTTTGAAAAGTCAGCAGCGTCCTTGTACTTCAAGTAGAGATTCATACACACTTGAAAGTACATGACCTTGTCCGCCTTGGCAAAGACAATATCAAATATCAGCTGAACCTGCTGGGCATGACAGTATTGCTTTGCTCATTGAACCTGTATCTGTTGGGGCTCTTGTCACAAGGCCAGCCTGAGTAGCAGCAAAATTAGCGAGGCCTTGCAAGTAGAGACAAACCTCGAACACAAGGAAATCTGAATAGCAAAGTAATGCCTCATGTGACTCATAACCAACCCACTTCAGCAAGCATGCACACCTTGATTACAAAACTATTACAAAGCCCAGCAAAGGTTCTTAAAAGTTCTTGTTGCACCAGAAAAAACAAACTGGTGAGCCGCGAACTCTGCTGAAAGAAGGCTCTTCACATAGTTTCTCTATCCTGGCATTCCCGGGATTCCCGGGTTTGAAAAAAGGCAAGTACCATCTCAAATCTGTTGATCCTTTTGGATCCGGCCTTGGATGCACTTTAAGATTTTTAAATATCTTTAAGTCTTTAGATGCTATGAGTATTTTGCTCTTGCTGACACTGCCGTTTACTGCCTGAAAGATCTGAAAGCCAGGGAAAAAGGAAACTTAAAGAAACTGAACAAAGAATCAAGCGCTGAAGTCAAAGACATCAAAGGTCCAGCAAAGAGCCAACGACCTGCATAATGTCATTGCAATAATGCACTGTCATATTTTCAATCCTACAGTGCGAAAGCAAAAGTGTCAAGTGAAGGATCAAGGACACTGGGTCTAGGTTCGAGCGAGAAGAGACAAGATGAGAACGTCCGAGTAAGTGTTGACAGGGCTACGTTTGAACCTTTTCAACCTCACAAAGGAGGTCGATGGCATCCTGAGCTGAAGCTTCACAGTGTGCTCATGAAAAAAAAAGATATATATATATATTATATAGAGAATAGAAAGAATGGAATTTTAGCTTTGCCTTTTGGACTTAATCAAGATATATCATATATACATATCAAGATCCTCAGATGATCTTTGTGTCACTTTGTTGTGCTTGTCTTCACTCTGAGCAGTGGGCTACTTCTGCATTGTGCTGCATGTTGAACGGCACAATCTCCTTCGAGTCAAATCCGGTCCACAAACAAGATGGCGAAATCAAAAAAGACATTACATAGTCACATAGTCTTTGCATGTATTTTCAGACATATTCCAGGCATATTTCCGTAGACTCAGACGTAATGCAATGTGATGGAATCAATATGGAATCCGATTACGTTCGTTTCACCCGCCTCGACCAAGGACAGAAGGTCGCCTACATCAGCACTTTTCTCGGTTCGCTCTTTGAACTCCTCAAACGTTGTCAACGTGTCGTCAACAGGTCATCAACATTCATCAACCATTTGTCGGCCATTTGTTGGCATTGAACAGCTGTGAGACAGCTCAGCGACAGCTGAGCGACGGAGCGATTTGCAAACGTGTTGCCTCTTTCACAGTACAGGCTGCATGTGATGTCCTCACCGATCTCTCCAGCTATATTTCGAATGTATTCATGACCTGGAAGCACCATGCTCCGTGACAGAAACAGATGCAAAAGTGCTGAGGTTCCGTGACTCCCCACACAGCAATATATATATAATTATATATATATATATGTTTTATTTATAGTTTATATTTTATAATATAATCTATGCTTCCTGGACTTCCCAGGTTTGCATAGAATCAATAGGTATGCCAATAGTATTCAATAGTAAGAAAGAAGCAGTGACAGCAGCATCAATCACATGCGGAAAGCTTGGGACCTAGCCCCAACTTGTCAGCCCTTCCTTAGTACCTTCCAACCTGTATTTCAGAGCTTGGCGGGACCTTGGCAAGCTGAAAACCATGCAAGAAACTGGAAAATCAAAAGCAAAGTTGAAAAAACATGCCTGCAGTGACTGATAGTCGTCGATAGTCGTTGCATATGCATGATAGTGTTGTTGCCGCTCGTTCTCTCACAGGAGTCACTACGATAGATATGATAGTGCAGCAATGTACAGCATCCAGCAACGACGTCGCACGTCACGTTGAATGATGCCACCATGCTCGGGTCGCTGCCCTTCTTTTTGCATTGTCGTTGACAAGATGGAGAGAACGTCAGCAAAGAAACGCTTCAAGTCGCTCGCAGGCATCTGCAAAGCGGGGAAAATGCTTCAACATTTGCAACTTGCTGGAAGAACCAAATATATCCAAAATATCAGTTCCTGCAAACTGTCCAAGCTAAAAACAAAAAGGATAAAATCAAACAGGCAGAAACGACATGAATCAAGGGATATCAAGGGCAAACTTGCGTATTATTGGCCCCTGTGTCATTTGCTTCTCATCTGCATGATACTGGATTCTTTCCACAGGTTTGTGCAAGGTGCAGCCTGCAAGGAGCTCACTGACAGAACCCCATTTGAACAGGACACACCGCTGGTATATTTTGAATTCTTGTTTGTCTGGACGCATCAGATGTATAAAACCAAAACATGCCAAAGCAGAATGCTTGTGCTTAAGCACGTCTTATACGTCTTCTGACATTTGCGGCAAATGACTGTGTGACATTTGACATGTCGTTGCATCACTTTCCTTACAAACTTGTACAGTGCTGTATCCTTTCTTGGGGTTTGTCTCTTCCTGCCAAGGAATGTTTGTTCTTCATTCTCCACACATTCCACACACAACTTCTATGCCTCCGTGACCGACAAGTTTGGATTGCGGAAAAACTGATTGCCCGCCTTTGCAAAGAGACCACACTTTCGGCTTTTCAAATATGTACTTGTGGGGGGAAGGGGGTACTGTAGCTTTTGTTCTTGCAAATGCGCACCGGCAAATTATTCAAATTAATTCAATTTGTAATTTAGTGTTGAGGTTTCCTGGCCTTACTTTCCGAGGGTACTTCATGAAGTCAGAGTCTCGTCTTGTCAAGTATGTAATAATGACTTGAACTAACATAAATGTCAAGGTTGCTGCTGCTGCATTGTTATTCGAAAACGATGCATATTTGTCTTCCTTTCTTTTTGTGTTCATAGCTGCTACAGTATGTTTGTTGCGAATTCTTGCTGCTGTTCTTGGTCGCACCCGTATTGCTATTGGTGTTGTCCGTTGCTTCCTTTTCGACATGTCATTGCCCCGCCCTTTCGTCAGTTGCTGCCGTCGCCGCCGCAGTGAAAATCACAACAGAGACATAAACCCATGATTTCTTTCAAATCTTTCAACCTATATATATATGTATATATATATATTGTACATATATATATAATTCTATACATATATATTATAACACATATATTATCATATATTTATATATGTAAGTTTAACTTGGTCGCACCTTGGCATAGTGCTCGGTCAAAGTTGAGTAGTGGGGCCGTAGGAACTTCAAGGGCTTTGGTACCTCGGATGTTTGAATTCCAAGTTTGAAGAGCAAACCTTTAGCAAACCTGCAGAATCTTACAGAACATACAGAATATTTGCAGAATGATGTGGAAAATTGTGGAAACTGATCTGCTTCCCGTGCACTGGTACACTCTTTTAGGGCTCCCGGGGGCACGGATGTCATGGAGCTTGTTGACTCTTTGAGCTCTTTGACCATAGCCTCGATGCATCTCACATACTAAACACGGGAAACAAGAAGAACAAAGAAAAACATCATGTTTGCATCTTCGCAATCTATGCAGTATCTATGCTATCTTCGCTCATCAAACTGTGGAATCAGTAGATGAAAGTGATGAAGCAGGATAGCTTCGGATAGATATCGCGAGATATCACACTCCAAGGACCTTGAAAAAACATGCCCTTTTCAAGCTCATATTCCAGAGCCTCCATGGCCATCTTTGCAACGCCTTGATCGGAGTCCTCCCGCAATGTAGTGATAAATGCAGAGATGTACAAGAAGGATCAAGAAAGTGCATGAACACTCCGTATTCACATTTTATTCATTGTACCACTACGTGCATGATCACGCCCACTTTAATATACATGCATAGCTGTGTACATGTCTGTGCAGTATACTCATGTCTGTGTACATGTGTGATTGATTTCTCATGACATCATCTCACATCAACTAGTGTTTTAGGATCGTATCAAAACCAAGCTGACGACGAAGCCACCAATTAAACATGTCCCGCCCGACTTTTTGCAAATAATGTTTTCCCTCCTCAGGAATGTCAGGAAGAGAACAACATAAACATACTGACAATCATGCAAACTGCACGGACTGCATGGACTGCACGGACTGCACCGCACCTAGCCTCAAAACTATAAGTGCTTGGCTTCAGACTTACAAAATTTGCCCAAATATGATCTCGGGTGCTCTGTCTGTAGAATATTGTAGAATCCTACCTGATGACTCAGATGACTGCGAAACACACCAAAATGCCTGAAGCCAATCTGATAGATCCTCACCATTCACAAACCAATCAAGAAGCTCAGCCACCTGAAATTTGAAGCGGCCCTGGAAATGCTTCTATCATGTTGTAAACTTATTGTAAACTCTTATAAAGTCTTGCATCTTGCATCTGCTTGCAGCAGAAGTCAAGCGCTTTGGAGGCACAGCCAGGTCTGCACAGCATCAAGATGCAAAACCTGCACAGATCATCACAGATCTGCAATGACTCGACTCTCAGAGCTTGCGCTTGGCCGATGGATAAAAGCAGTGGTGACATTCCCAGAATCATCACTCAGATTCTAAAGACTGATGAATTTGACTTATTTTGACTTATTTTGACTTGATATCATTTGATGATTGTCCAGAATTGTCCATGCTTTCTTTTTTCTCCGCTCTTCCAATATGCAACCAAGGCGCGTAGATTCGCATGCAACGGTAAATGATCAGACGGCTCATCTTCGCTTGGAAAAGGACCTTTGACATCTTCTTTCTGTGGCAGCTTCTCACCTAAGCGTGAAGGATCGTGAAGGTAAAAAGTTTAGTAAAAAGATGTAAAAAGGATAAAGGATACTCTAAGGAGACCTTGTACCTTGATGTACCTTGACCATGGAAGAATGGAAGAAAGGTGCAGGGAAGACTTGAAGACCAGGCACTTTCAAGCATTCACTGCTTTGGACAGGGGTTTTCATGTTTTGTCGATGAAAACGTTCGGACAACCACGGGATACCGTAAGAAAACTACGCCGTCCACAACATGGAATACACAAACAGTGGTAATTAATTATCTAATGATCTAATATCTAAATTGCCCTTTCTTCTGGCAACCTGGCTTAAATATCAGTGTGACCCAGCAAACAGCAAGTCAAACAGTCGAATGTTGAGATGCCTTAAAACGTAAGCATTTTCTCATAAGGTAAAACCTGAGAGAAAAGGCAGGTCAAAGGATTCAAATGCCGGATGAGAAAGAAAGGCTTGGAAAGAGTTGCAAGAGCAGGTCTTGGATGCTCTGTTTATGCTGCACTCCGGGAAAGTCAGACTTGCAAGAACAGCAAAAACTCTTCGAAGGTAATATGCAGAACTCCATAATTACCAGTAATTAGTTCTTGATCGCCCCCCACGTAGAGAAAACAGCAACCCGTCTCACGTGTCCGTGGATTATGCTTCGCAAATCTATGCAATGTCTTTGAGGGCTCACTCAACACATCCGAAGGGCATGCAACCACTCGAAGCTTTTCTGGGCTGAACCAAATGTAATCCTCGGAAGCATGACTTGCAACTGGGAGTAGGCATCGTAACATATGTAGATTTCAATACATCACAATAGATCGCAATAGTATCATTAAGCCATGCCGGGCCAAACTTTGGGTCCGACACTGCGCTGTCATCGGCCCCATCCCCACAGTGTAGCAGGTGTAACAGGAAAGAATTGCAAGGAGTTGCCAGTGTCTGCCGCCATTTACCCACCACTCTGCATTGGCTCTTTGACAGCTGCTTGATTATATAATACTATATATGTATACATGAATATATTATAATATGATATACAGTAATATATACAATAGTCTCTCCAAAGGGACCCAACATACCAGCCACTCAAGACACTAAGCAAACCCAGCTATCCTGGCTATCCTTGACACAACAAGCGTCAACGACGAACAGACAGATCTAAGTCCTGTAAACCGCAGGTAGATGTGAACAGAAGTGCCGAATGCACTGCCCATACCCAAAACATCCCAAAACAACAATATATATAATATAAATTAATATAATCCATTATCCAATCATCCTTGAAATGCTGTCACATGGGTCAAGAGCGTCTGCTTTTTAAAAATCCACAAAACCAAGAGTGGCAGCTACATAGACAACCTTTTCAAAAAATGCATTCGAAGCAGGAATATCTGGTAGTATGCAATTCGGGGTCGCAAATCACTTCCTCTGAAGTTGTGCTCTTTCAACTCAATTTTTGGCAACAAACTGTTATCCCAACTATGTTTGCGAGCATCCAATGTAGCTGCGAATGGTTCTTGACCTTTTGCTGGCAAAGTGTAGTTTGTGAAGAGAGGTTCTTGGCCATAGAAAACCTTCAAAGAAAGCAAGTTGGCATGATTGCGAAAGTGAACACACGTGATTGGTCAACTCCAGCGCACTGTGGATGATTGGGACCTCTTCAAGCACTTACGCATTTCAAGCGGACCCGTTGGGTCAAGGGAAACATAACCTTTGAATAACAAGAATCGTGCGCACAACTACATTTCTGAATTTTGAATCGTTTGAACAGGTGTTTGCGCCTCCTCTCCAAATGGACCCAGGAGTACACAGTTGGGCGAGATTTGTCAGAAATAATATGTATGTAGAAATATGTCATAATATCTTGTCATTGTTGGCATCTGACTGCTTGGCCCCATGTCCCAATATCCGCCGACCACGGCTGCGCAAAAGGGAACGCGCGGGGGAAAAAAAAATAACTAAGTAGTTGCCAAAGAAACAGCAACAACAACAGCAACAACAACAACAACAACAAAACACAACCAAAAACACAACCAAAAACACAACCAAAAACACAACCAAAAACACAACCAAAAACACAACAAAAAACACAACAAAAAACACAACAAAAAACACAACAAAAAACACAACAAAAAACACAACAAAAAACACAACAAAAAACACAACAAAAAACACAACAAAAAAACACAACAAAAAACACAACAAAAAACACAACAAAAAACACAACAAAAAACACAACAAAAAACACAACAACAACAACAGCAACAGCAACAGCAACAACAACAACAACAACAACAACACCAACACCAACACCAACACCAACACCAACACCACCACCACCACCACCACCACCACCACCACCACCAACACAACCACCACCACCAACCACCACCACCAACCACCACCACCAACCACCACCACCACCAACGACAACGACAACGACCACGACCACGACCACGACGACAACGACAACGACCACGACCACGACCACGACCACGACCACGACGACAACGACCACGACGACAACGACAACGACAACGACAGCGACAGCGACAGCGACAGCGACAACAACAACGACAACAACAACAACAACAACAGCGGATGTCAGAAGACACGTTAGGGTTTTTTTGACGGTTTTTGGGTGCGGTTTCGTGGCTTGTCCGTCCTTCACTGCCATTGTGTTTCAGTGTGACGGTGTGACGGGGAGCTGTTTTCAGCAAAAGTTTCTACGGATGTCAGAAGACACGTTAGGGTTTTTTTGGCTGCGGTTTGTGGCTTGTCCGTCCTTCACTGCCATGCTGCTTCAGTGTGGCGAGGGCTGGTTTCAACATAAGTTTCTATGGATTCCAGAAGACTCATTAGTGTTTTTTTTGGCAGGCCTTCGTTGCTGGTCCGGGGGGTGCTGGTTTACACATAATTTCTTATGAGTTTCAGAAGACATATTAAGGCATGTTTAATACAATTTCGTGGCTTGTCCGTTCTTTTAAGATGTGGATCATGCCCATGCTCCACCCTGTGTGTTATAGCAATTGGACCCTGCAATATGTGGCTAAAGCATCCTGATCTTCCGACAATGTGATTTCAAGAATGGCGTCCCGGATTGGTTGCAATATATTGGCCGAGGGGTTCATTAAGGTGTATTGCTCCAGCAAAAGCCAGACAAGTAATTAGACACGAAAAGGTGCGCAATTCATGCAAGCAGATGAATTCCAGCTCTTCCACCAATTGCTTGAATGCTGCACGTTTTGGAAAAATACCTCATGAGCCCTGCTTCTAATTCTTGCAGCGCTATCTGATTGCAAAAGGTGAGGCTCTATTTCTCCCTGGGGGTCGGCACCAGGGGCGGCAGCCCTTAAATTTCCCAATTCTGTATCCAGTGACTACTCGTGGCCTTGTACGCGCTTTGCAGGCGGCTTAAGTCAGACGGTGGGAGCCGACCATCCAACATGCACACTTCTTGCTTTGCAGCCTGGCATAGTCTGGCGCTGTTTTACAATCATGTCATGGCGCACCCTTCAAATACTTTTGAATGCTCTACGCACAAAACAACACAACACACACACACACAGCCACACCGTCAATAAGTCAGTCTCCATACAATGCAAAACCGAACAAACATGTCATATTATATTTGTGCACAGTTTGGATAGTGGATCTGAATCTCGGAGCTCGGGAAAAAAGGGACATTAATGGATGATAATGGATGATACTGACTGTGAAAAGTAAAGTATGTTGTGTGCGGTGCCTAAGTTCACAGGGACGTTTGGATATGCGTCGGATTTCTTCAATCCTATCCCTTCGCGGACCACAATAATCGATGACTTTGCAAATCATCTCAGATACCGAGCAGTGTGCAGGTACATCAATAAGTACCGATACCTTATGTATATACAAGAAGACAAGCCGCATGGGTACACAAAAATCATGTTGCCTCCATTTGCCAGAAATATCCAGAAATCAAATTCAACATGATTCAACCCATAGTCACCGCAGCGGCCTCTCTTTGGATGCCTTCTGCAGAGCCACCGTTCTCCATCACTTGATACGAAGAAGTGCCTTCGATTTTGGCACTGTCTGCAGCAAGGAGCCAGGATCTCTACACACGAGAACTTGCAGACAGTGCAGTGATCACGTCTAAAAGACAACCAGTATGAACCTCGAAATTTTCCAAGGATTCCATAATCCGGCCTGGCATTAGGTTGAAGTCGCCCATGAGCACAACAGGGGTACCCTGCGCAAATTTGCCCAACCTCTGAAATCGGTATGTGTCACGTCACGCACTGCACAGTTCTGAAAACGAGAGCTGAAAACAAATGAACAAAGATGAACAGACATGAAGAAAGATGAACAGAGAGGAACTGAGACGAACCGAGATGCACAGACTGAGCCAAGCACCTCGTCATCAACAAGCGGGTATGAATATTCAGTGCTCGAACTTTCTCTCTAGTTCCTTGGATTCATTGGATTGGTTAAAGGTGTTAAATCATGGAACATCCACAGGAACCCATTGTTTTACCAGGAAATATGGGGCTTTCCTGCCAAACAGAAACTCCATCCAATTCTGGATACTCACTGGCGAAAGCTGAAAAACTATGAGCATTATGAAAATTATGAAACTTATCATGATCATGGTGAAAACAATGACGATTTCATAATGTTTTCATGATGATGACGATGACTTGACGATGATGATGAAGATGATGAAAAGATGATGAAAACGCTGATCATGATGATGATGGTGATGGTGGTGGTGATGACAATGACGACGACGATGATGATGATGGTGATGATGATGGTGATGATGATGATGCTGATGATGGTGACAATGATGGTGTGACGATGATGATGATGATGATGACGACGACGACGACGATGACGAATGTCGTTGCTGTGCACTCATAACCTAGCCATCCCGTCAAGAACAGTCGAGTTGCCAGTTTACAAAGGTATTTATATGTGTTTTAAACAAATAAATAAATAAATAGATAAATAAATAAAAAACTATATATATATATATAGAGACCGTTCTGCTGAATTCTTCTAATCTGATTTCCCCTCACCTAAATTCACCCCTGATAAAACCCAAAACATCTCGACGATTGAGGGATCAGGGCAAGCAGCCAAACAAGCAAGGCATATGATACGTTCCGACAGTGAAGGTATTTGAAGTTCCCCGCATTTTTAGCTTGGCAAAAATAGCCTCATTGTTACCTGAGCTGCAACAGCGCCGCAACAAATCGGTAGATAGCAGATTGGGTCTAGCGGGATGAATTGGAGGGCTACCAAAAGCTTTGGAATCCTTGGCAGATCCTCCGCCTTCTTAGCCTTAGCCAAAAAGTTGCACTACTCACTAGGCTCCAGAGACTTTAACGAATCTTTGCAGTCTGCGTGAGGAAGTGGACTGACTGCCATACCAACAGAACTCATGAATTGTTTGTGTTTCTGGCTGTCGTTCCATATTTTCTCCATTCCGCCCTCAAACCATCAATGCGCGTTCGCATAAACTTTTCAATGGGATGCAAGGCCCCTTTGAATTTGGGTTCTGACTGTCAATCCCTGCTTGCTAAGGCATCAGGATGAAACAGGCTTTGCATCTGGACGTTTGCGAACTGCAGAGCTGGGATTTCAGGAGAACTGATACGATGACACCCGGAAAAAATTGGAGATCAGGACTCAGGACTCTCTAGGATTCTCTAGGCCTAAATCGCACACTGTAAGATTTTATCATATTTTTGCTGATACACTACGCGTGCAAACATTCAAATTGCGCTACACTGCTACACAAACATCCCGGCGGACCCGTTACCGGTCCACAAAAATAGAAAAAAAACATCACGGCGCCACAGCGCCATTGCGTTTTCATGCTTCAAAATTGGGTTCCAAAATGAGCCCTTCAGAACTGAACATGTCAACCCTTCTGTGGTCTTGTGCTGCAAAATGATGCCAGCTCATTTTCATTTTTTCGGGCTCACGGTTCGGTCAGAGGTCGTTTAAACCTTTGCCAGTTTTGGCCAAAGGGTCATCCGAATTCATCTCCCATCTCCAATGTTCCATGACGTAACATGTTCCATGTGTGTATCTCAACACAAACCCCATGACGTGACATGTTCCATGTTTGTATCTCAACACCCTTCCCATGATGTGACATGTTCCATGTGTGTATCTCAACACAAATCCTATGACGTAATGTTACATGCGTGTATCTCGAAAGTGCCACACTCAACATATCCCCACCACCCTCCTGACCCTCCTGTATATCAGACCTTTTGTTCTGTTGGCCGGAATGCCGCGCATCCTGTTATGGGTTCAGCTTTGCTACCCAGACCCAGGATTGCAAAACATGGTGCCCTGAGTTGGGCGGAACATGGGTGGAAAATGAACTCACCAGTGCCTTGAGCCAAAATGGCCGGAGGCCAAGGCAGGGTGACTAACATCCACTTTCACATCACTGTCATTACAACATGTCATGTTATTACACGACAGTGCCACACTCAACATATCCCCACCACCCTCCTGACCCTCCTGTATATCAGACCTTTTGTTCTGTTGGCCGGAATGTCGCACATCCTGTTATGGGTTTAGCTTTGCTACCCGGACCCAGGACGGTGCCTTCGACACTCCGTCCAGCGCCAAGCTTACCCTCCTGCATGTGTGCGCGTGAGGAATGAGAAGAGGTGGCAGACGATGAGCCTGATGCGGATGATGGGGCGGTGCAGTGGCGGGTTTCTGGAAAACACTTGGACCATTCTGCCTGGGAGGAAAAGACGGCACATTCGGGGTCGAACCACTCGTGTTCAGCAAATTCTTTGCTAAATCGCCATCCGCACGGAGTACGCCATGTCCGAGGATGTTGCAAGCGTCTAAAACTCTATGCAATTTTCCTCCTCCGTTGGTGTTCATTATGAACTCGGAGTTTGACACTGGGAGGCCAACTAAATCTGCAGCTGCTTCGCAGTCTTGCAGCATGTCCGGTTCCGGTAGGGCCAGCGTAGGCGTCATGGATTGAGCACGCTGTAGCAAGGCTAGAAGCTCTTGCTTTACCACCTGGATGGACCTGTGCCAGGCTATAAAGCTGGCTCAGAGGAGTGTCTTGCACGTAGTGAAGGAGGACGCCCGCCCGAACAGTTGAATCCGCCATGGTTCAATCTGAGACTGCGCCATATGACGAGCCCCTGATACTCTGGCGCTGTGGCCTGTGAAGGCCCTGGCACCGTTCTGATGGGTGGTGCTAATCCCCAACCTTTCTGCAATGCTCCGGAAAGTATCAGCCCACCCCGCTTTGGTGGTCTTGTTTCCAGCTGCGTCTTGGACCCTCAATATGCTTCAGCGACCTCAACGGTCTTGGCCCCGGTGGGTTCTCTTTCAAAGGAGAGAAGGAACCGCATGCGGATGCGATCCAGAGCCATCATAGAAGCCGTCCTTGTTGATGCCGTGGCAGATAGTTTCGAAGAGGCCATCGTCCAGGATGTTCGACTTCACTGGAGCAATGATGTCGATGGCGCAGAAGGTCGCCCTCCCTGGGCCTCCCTGAGAAGATCCCCTGGGCTTTCGGATAGCCAGGTTCGAGAAGTCCCTCTCTGGTTTGCCAGTATCCGTACTCCCTTGGCCACCTGACATTGTCAAACTCCGGAACTCTGGGTGTTGCAGCTGTTGCCGAGGAAGAGATAGGAAGAGTCAGAGGCTTGTTCCGATGTTACTGTTCTGCGCCTTCTCAACGGTGGCCTTAGGTCTGCGGCCTTCTCCTTCTCTGGCTCCTTCTCTTTTCGTTCTTCCTGTTGAAGCTTGGCTGCGCTCTTGACCGCTGTCTTCTTCCTTTGACTGAGAATGGCTTCTCTTTGCTCCTGTGTTGGAGAGTTCGTTAGAGACAATGGCCGCTTCTGACCAGCGGGGGTTTTGTCAGCTTTGTGCAATTCAGAGGTTGGTCCCCCACCAACCTTCTGGCGCCCTGGAGATCAGCTCGCCCTCTGGCAGTTCAGGGCTTGATGCGGTCCCAGACAGATATGTTGCACTGATGACTGCGACCTGCCTTGCACTTGCCCTGAGCCTCATGGGTGCTGCACTTGTAGAGCTTACACCCTCCAAGCCCTTGCAGTTAATCAAGAAGCGACCATCGTCACCTTTCTTGGGCGTGTCCTCTCCGGTGTATCGGCGCGCTGCTCTGGTCTTTGCGCGCTTCAGGGGTGATCTGCGGGTTTGGCTGTGGTGTCCTCGTTGTCGTCGTTGGCAACCTCCCGTTTGCTCCTCGACAGAAACAATGTGGCCGGGGTGGATAGCTCTCGATTCCAGAAGGCTCCTTCACGAATGGCTGCCACGAAGCAGGCCGACCACGGGAGGACCTGGTTCCGGATGAATTCCATCCTCTCCGCTTCCGCCGCTTCGAGTAGCAGCATCCCAGTTCTGAAGCGCTTCCAGCAGCGTGTCCATGCTCCTGCTGAGACATTCAGTTCATGGGCTAAGAATGTCTGTCTGCGCAGGAGTCTTTGACCATGTGGGCCAAAGATGCTTAAATCTGCAAAGGGTATGGCCTTAGCCGCCAGGATCTGAGCCAGTGCACTCAACTGGTTCTTGGACACGTCCGATTCTGCGGACGGAAGATCTCCGAATCGTCTCTTGTAAGAAGTATACATCTCGGATCGTCTCTTGTAAGAAGTATACATCTCGGATAATGGCTGGATTCGGCTGGATTTCTGCATCCGCGTGGGATCCAAAATCAAACTCAACTTGAATTTCCGAGCACTCGATGAAGATGCCCCCCGGTGCTAATGCTCCTCCACTTCCAGCCGGAGGGAATGGAGCTGGATGGGGCGCTGAAGACTGGGGCCCTGATTCGCCCTGATGGTGCGTGTGGGGCAGGCAAACCCTTCTGACAGATTCTAGGCTCGCCCTCCACCGGAGTGGGAACTCTGGCAGGCAATGAAGGCCCCCCATGGCATCTTCCCAAACCGGTCTATGAGCGCAACCTCCCTCAACCGTTGTGGGCGCCCCATGAGCGGGTCTTCCAGTCCAGCACAGGCGGAGCACCCGTCCATGCCCTGGGTAGCTTCAAGTTCTGCTCCCGTTGGGTCCATGTCGGGCAAGTCCTTCGTGTCGAAGGGACGATGTCGGGTATCGTGGGCGATGGTGGAACCTTTGGTGCGGCCCTCAAGCCCATGGTGTGGAGGTTCTCCATTGAAAGTAGTTGGGCAGCTCCCTTCGGCAGGACGAAGCCCGTAGTTTCCCAGGTTGTGGGAGGCCAAACCGATAGCTCGCCTCCCCTGAATGAAGCGCACTGCGCGGCGGACCAAACGTTCCCAAGGGCTTTGTGCCAAAAGCCTCACTTGTCTGGCACCGGCTTTGGTGAATTAGATCCAAGCGCCGACGAGGATAGCACCGATGGCGGCTCCAACCACGAATGTGATGGAAAGCAAAACCACTAGCACACGGTCACCTTGAGTGTGCGGTTCGACCGAGTTTTTCCCACCTGCACCTGAGATCATTCCACCAAAATGAGCCCACCAGCGCCTTGAGCCAAAATGGCCGGAGGCCAAGGCATGGTGACCAACATCCACTTTCACAGCACTGTCATTGCAGCATTTCATGTTATTTCACAACACCGTTCCCATGACATAACATGTTCCATGTTTGTACCTCAACACCCTTCCCATGACGTAACATGTTCCATGTGTGCCTCTCAACACAAATCCCATGACGTAATGTTCCATGTGTGTGTGTGTATCTCAACACCTTCCCATGGCGTAACATGTTCCATGTTTGTATCTCAACACCCTTCCCATGGCGTAACATGTTCCATGTTTGTATCCCAACACAAACCCCATAACGTAACATGTTCCATGTGTGTGTATCTCAACACCCTTCCCATGACGTAACATGTTCCATGTGTGTATCTCAACACCCTTCCCATGACGTAACATGTTCCATGTGTGTATCTCAACACCTTTCCCGTGGCACGCCATGTTTCCCGTTCTTCCTCAACGCATTAGTATGTGTTCTGTGTATACTTGAACGGTATTATTGCACCCCTCCACCCCCCCACCCCACCCCACCCCACCCCGCATACCCATCTATGAGACATTGGCACATTTGTGAGAATGTTTGAGCCGCATGCCAAATCCAACATCTGAGTACTCATGTGTGGTTTCCATCGCGAGGTCTAGTCTTCGGCCACATCTTGGACGAGGAACGGGTCTGCGCCAAATTCCACTCGTCGTCACTGCTGCCCTGCACGGGAGGTCTGCATCCAAGGACCTCCTGTGGGCGATGCTTTGGGAAGAGACCAACATCGACCAACAGTATCTGACTATCCAGTGATTAAATGTGATTAATTAGCGGATAATCATCCAATTCAGAACGGAATACGAATGCAGAAAGCAAGGGCTTGTGATTGGCTTCGACTGCCATAGAGTCGGAACCCCTCTGAACTTTGAAGTTTGCTTTGCTGCTATGCTTTGATATGCTTTGCCTTTTTCTCTTGCACAGCCTCGAAGAGAAATAAAACGGAGATTGTGGAACAAGATTGCAAAGGGAACACTGCATACGTCCTTCGTAGATGAGGACTCAACTTGTGAAAAACTGAAGTGCAAAGGGACAGCAGTGTGACACCCTGGCAGAAACCACAACAATTGCATCCTAGCATGAGCATCTGTCGAAACAAGATGAACCAAGAACAGAGCTGGCATACGGGAGGTAATGAAAGCTAGCAGGGGAGGAAGATCAGGGGCCAATTTATGGCTTGAGAGGAGGCAATTACAGTAGAATATGATGTGCACATCCTTATCGTCCTGTTTCGTTTTGTCAGGTGAAGCAATCTCCAGGAGCAGGGAAGTTGTGCCAGGAAACTTGTGGTAGGAAAGCTGGTGTTGTGCTGTTGCGCTGGGGGAGGGAGGCTTGGCCGAAGTACCAAGTCGATATTATGTAGGAGGGTCTGGTGTGGAAATCGACCATGTTGTAATGACACTGGTAGGGGGGGCCTTTAAGTGAAGCTTCACTCGAAACATGATTTCCATCCCTGCCATATTTCTTGCTAAAGCAAGAGCAACTTCAGCTAGCTGAGCTTTGATCTAGCACGTTCTTATAGTCGAACCCAAATCAAAACTGAAATCCAGAAGAATATGGATCGAACATGACCACATAAGTGCTTTTTATGGTTGTTTGAAATCGGCTTCCCAAATCTTGGAAACTTGGAGAAAAATGGAGATATTGCACAGTGGAATGTGATGAAATAACTTCCCGACATACAAAACACGCAAACCGATGCAAAAGACTTCCGAAATCTTCCTCACATGCTGAACCCTGTCCACCAAGCCGTCGTACGTCATGTAGCCAAAGTTTGAAAGAGACTGTTGCTGTGACTTTGGCCACGCATCTTTCGGCGCAGTATCTGTCATTTTGCTGATTTCGACGTCCAAGGCCTTCCAAAGATGCCAGGCTGACTTTCAAAACTCATGACTTCATGTTCGAGAAAAAAAGTCTCATAGCCAGGCAAGGAATCGACACGATCGAACCTCTTTTTCCCACTGCAATAATACATAGCTACTTCATTCTTCCCATCCCAATCACTCACAGTGAGCTTGTTTGATACTTAGTTGACAGGAACGCAAAGTGATAGGTCGAAACATGAACTTGTTCGATTTGCTGTACGAATCTGCAAGCTATGCTGCTTGCTACTTGAAGTGGACCTCCTGCATGTACACACACGCACAAACACACTCATGTAGGACATTGTAAGACCATACTTCGGGCATCAATGGCCTTGCGTTCACCGCAAACGTGTGGCAAACACTACAGTACATGATCTTGCGCCCCGGCCACTGCAACTGAGTGAACATTGGCAACTTATGAACGCTGCACTTACGTGTACTTACTATTACTATCCAAGTGTGCTGAAAAGCGCCCTGTGTGCCGGAGTCACATTAAAATATGGACCTTACAACGCCAGGCAACCCCAGAAACCAAGCTAGGCAGTCTACAAAATATGCAATCGATCTCAATAGGGTTCTCAAGTTTCTTTGCACCTCAACCTGCTTTGTTGCATCCAATATTCGAAGTATTCCAAGCAATGCCTTCCCACTGTCAAATCACTGAAGGCCTCGTAAAGCTTGGTTGGCCACGCAAGCGTTACCCCCATGTATCCTTGGCTGAGGGCGGCTTGAGCCCCAACACGCCCCGCATTGAGCAGGGACTCTCAAGAGATCAACATAGATTTACGGCGATTATAGGCACTTGCAAGTCACGCTTTGCTATTCCATACTATATATTTCAAATCTCTGTCATACGGATAGTTTGTCAGCGGCGGTCCCGTGCAAGAGAAACAGTTTGTAATTTCTTCGAAATGACAATAACGTACAATAACAATAGTAAGAGTACAAGGCGTTCTTGTAATCCTTTGACTATTGGAAAATGATTGACATATATTCAAAGTACTTGTAGGAACGATGTGGAGAATGTAGGCCAACATGCCCAAAAACTAGAGTGGAAAATATCTGGCCGGTGTTCGTGAACTTTTCGAATACACTGGTACGAGTAGGACAAAAGCTGCGGTGCTTGACTTTGTCACAGTGAGCAGCCTTTCTGCATCGAATAGTGACATGAAGTGGGCAGTACTGCGGTTACATTTCCACCCTCAAAAGGTAATTTCATGTGGGGCTTTGACCTTTCGTGAGGTCCAAGAATAGAGTTGGGAGGAGCACGATATGGTTTGATGATGGTTTGATGTTCCTTAAAGTCCTTTTTGCTGAGCAGGCGTCGTGCAGAGATCTGCAAGACATCTCAAGCAATAACAGATTCAATAACATCACCCGCCTTTCTGAAAACATATGGGTGTTTCCATTCCCATATGTTGCTACGTAGGTGCATTTTAAGCAGTCTGAATTGAACACTGGCAAGACGCAACAAGGCGCACAGGTTCCTTATTTCATATGCCAAAAATGCATTTTGCGAATGTGAGCCGGCGCATCTATGATACTACTAAGTATGACAGTCATAGTCTATGATAATCTAAGCTAGTCAATAACTCTTAACGATGCATGTTTATACACGTTGCAAGTTGCAAGGTTGTTTCAAGGCTGCTTGCTTGCAAAGTTTGGCATTTTCATGATGACCCGTGTTCAGCTCTTAGAAGAAAAAAGTACGCAGACTTTCTTAATGCTGAAATACGTGCATGCCAGCCGAGAGCCAAACATTGCAGTAGTCCCACTGTAGATTGACTTTGCCGTCCGGTCTCTCAATTAAAGGTATACTCTAAGACACTTGCGAGGTTACATGTTTGCTTTGAAGTTTTGTTACGCACAATTTTTGGCGGGAATTAGCTCTGCTCAACCCACCCAAACGCTACCACCTGAAGCCTCGACATGCATGGTGTAAGGGTTGGATCAGTGGGAAATAATGGGAATGTGATGAAATAAAGGTTCTAGATCTATCTAGCACAAGAAGAAACTTTGAATAAACATGATCCGACAATATTGAACATGTGTACGTGGCCATGTATAGGCGCAAAATCGCGCATGCGAAGCCTAGCACTCACCGACATGAGTCCAAGTAACCGCTAATCTTGTTGCCGTACTGCGCAAAAACAACAGCATAGCCGCGTTCTGCGAAGAAGGAATGGAGCTTGCCAGCCCACTCCAAGTCAACTTCCTCATCGGCGGGAATCGCATTGCAAGTTCAGCATCATGGATTGTCATGAACAAGACAAATATAGAACCCTCGATCACCTGAGCCCGACAAAAAACCCACCAGAAGCAAGGGACGAAATGGCTCTTGACAATGTTTCTTGCGAACAAAATGCTGAACTGTTTGATGCCTTCGGATTCACGTCCAGACTAGCTTCTTGAAATACCACTAGGTGCTCATGCTGTTACAACCGTGCTCCCTCTCTTCTTGTTTTGCTTTCAAACACTGCGACAAACAACTTTTGGGCAAAACGTCAAACTTGCCTGGACCAAGGCACTTGCAGTGCTATGATACGATCTTCATCAGCTGCTTTTTGGAGGCGATCGCAAATTTTGGGCCAGCGCACATCCTTCTCCAAATCCTGCAAATGTGAAAGCATGCCAAGAGAAGATCTTGTTTGTATACACTTTACAGAACATGACAACTCTTGCAACTCTTGCAACGCAAATCCCAAATGCCAAACTACAAACAAATGCTTTCAATTGGACTGCAACACATGTACTACGTTGCTGACCGTGAATACACATTTTCCATCACCTATGGCATGCAAATTCAACAGAATATTTGCAAACACACATCTGGATTCGAGTGCCTGGCTGTTGACAGCCGGAAAATTTCTCTGAGATGCAAGTTTTGGAGATAAGACATTGTAGGTGGTCAACTTCACATCGTCATCGCACTTCACAATGATCGGCACACACCTGGCTAGAGTCTCAAAATGCATCAAGGATCTCTGTTCAAAAAAGGTCAACTAGACACAACGTAATAAAATCAAACCTGCAATTGTCTGTAGTTCCTTCCCATCCTTCTCTCCTTCCTGTTTCCTTTTTTCCTGGTTTGTTTTATGTGGGTTTGCATTGGTTTGGTATTTTTGTTGTTTCGATCGTCGCCACAAGGGCAGTGGTGATGCGTCAGCGAAGACAATGGCAGGCACAAGCGCAAACGCTGCTACAACATCACCGTAGATCCAGAGCAACATGAACAACATGTTTTGGGCCTGCACCCAAGACAATAAGCATTCAGCGGTTCAAAAAAATCCGCTGATGTCCGAGATGAACAACGAGACTGGATTCCCTACTTACTTGTTTGAGAGCACATTAGATTAAAAGAAACCCAGCATCCAACCCCAATAGCAAAAGTTTCACGATTCCTCAACGCCAATTTGGTATTGAGAGGTGAGCCAGCTTAGTCAAGAAAATCAAGAAAATACCATTCCGTCAATACCCCCAATACACCACGGGAACAGTGCTGAAGCACCACAGAAACACCACTAAAACATGAGCAAAACACCCAAAACATCACCGAACACCGTCACAACACTACGGACACATTACCAAAGTGCCACCAAGACACCAACGACCACCGAAACACAATTGACAATACCACCAAGACACCAGCAGGACAGACACCACCAATTTCCGAAAGGACTTGTAAAGGGTTTTTCCCAAAAAGTTGTTGTCAGTATACTTTGCCATTCCCATCACCATCATCACAACACCGTCACAACACCATCACAGCAACATCATAATCACCCTCCTCATCATCATCATCATCACCATTATCATCATCATCATCATCATCACCATCATCATTGCATCAATTGTATCTTTATTTTGCACCAACCATGCCCGTACCATCTTCATCATCACCATCAATAATATTAAGAGTAAAACAAATATAATATAATATAATATAATAACGACATCCTCAGAATCAGGTGTGCATGATCTTCATTAATGCACCTATATGATGAGATGCGCAGGTGTAGACGCAGGTAAATATCTTATTGACGCAGGTGTTTAGGCGCAGGTGCATAGATGCAGGTACATAGGATCTTCTTAAACGCACCGAATGAATATACCAACGCACTACTTCTTTAGGTGCAGGTGGGGATCAAAATCTTTAAAAACACCTGCAAATTAAAAATGCAGGTGCAGATCAGCTTCTTGAAGACACCTACAACTTCAAAGGTTTTGTAAATTTCTGCAACGAAACTGCGATTTTTGTGTTTTGATGGTTTTGCGTAGCCCCTCTCGCACCAAATGCGTCTCGATCGTCAAAACTGAGGTGAAATTACGGTTTTTTGCATATGGATGATTTTGCGTAGATGCTGTTGCACTTAATGCGGTTAAAAAAAGGTGAAATTGTGATTTTGTTTGTGCTCGTGCCACCCTTTGGCACGAAATGCGTCTCGATCATCAAAAGCTGTGGTGAAATTGCGAATTGGCATCTACTTGCTGAACTCTTTCGTGCGAAATGCGTGTCCGCGGCCGGAAGTCATGTAGAAGTATGTCTGCGCAAGAACGTCCGTATTTGAAAGCTCCTCGTGCACATGCGTTCCTTTGCAAGAGAACCTCTGTTTGTAATGGCATCTGTATGTAAGAGTATCTCTGTGTAAAAATATATCTGTGTAAAACATCTAATTATGTTGAAAAACATCCCCGTGAAAGAGCCTGCCCGTGTGTGTGTGTGAGAAAAAAAGTCAGTCTGAGAAAAAAAACGTGTAAAGTATCTGTGTAAAAGCACCTGTCACCGTGTGTCAAAGCATGTCTGCGTAAAAGTACTTGCGTGTAAAAGAATCTCCGCATAAAAGAACTTGTATGCAAAAGCAGTGTGTAAACGTATTAGTGTGTAAAAACACCTACCAGTACTAGAATACAACTTAATACAATATATTAACATACACTGTAATATAAAACATACAATGTGATATAGTATAATATACAGTAATGTTATATATATAGTAAAATACAATATGAATTAATAATATATCTCATATAATAGTAGGTGTAATATATAATATAATATAAGATTAAAAAAAAAAGATAATATAATGTAAAAAAATATAATAATACAACAAAAATATTTTGTACTATATTATATTATATTATATAATCTAATATAATTTATTATAATATAATATGATTAATCATAATATAATATGATTAATCATAATATAATATGATTAATCATAATATAATATTATAATATAATATAATAATATGGTATAATACAATAATAATATAATATAATAATATGGTATAATACAATAATAATATAATATAATAATATGGTATAATACAATAATAATATAATATAATAATATGGTATAATCTAATAATGTAATATAAATAATAATAATAATAAATATATAACATTATATAATAATATAATATACTATACCAGTACTAGAATACTCTATAACATAATATAATCTAATATAAACATGATATTAAATAATAATACTATATAATATAGATTATTATAAATCAATATACATAATATAATATATATATAATATTTGAAATAATATGATATAATATGATATAATACGATATAATACGATAAATAACATCTGCATATATTTCATTAAACTTCATGAAATTTGAGTGTCTAAACTCCGTGTGACGAAGGCCTGAGACATAAAGAGGGCAGCACACAGTAGAGTTAAGAAGGGAGGAATCGGGAAGAGAAGAGTAGACAATTGAAGAGTAATCGCGGGAAGGGAAGCGTAATTAGAGAAGAGAAGAGCGGACAAGAAAAGGGAAGGGTGTACAAAGAAGGAGAAGAGAGGAGAAACGAAAAAGAGACGAGTGGGGAAGGGAAAACAGGAAGAGGGAGAAGTGAAGGGAAGAGAAAAGTAAACGTGCTTGGCTTTCGCATTGCTTTCAGGCGTTTGTGTTTAACTTGCAACTTTTAAGGTCTGGCAGAAATGCTTCGGTTTCGCAACTTCATCCGTTTTGCTGTGTCTCATCCTCAAAAGGCAGTTTGCAGAAGTTGCGGGCGAAAGAAAGCGTGAGTTTTCTCATAGAAACCGCATTTCAGAAGACATTCAAATACAACTATTCAAATAGAGTCTCTGGGGCAAGGAAACGGTCTCCACTCATGCTCGGATCATGTTCGGATCATTCTTGGATCCGCCGCGTGTTGGAGTAAGTAAGCCTGTGGTTGCTTTTTGCAACCGAACTGGTGCGGCACTTGCTTCGCTGTCATATCTTCAGCTTCCACGTTTGAAGTAGGTCTCGCAGATTCGCTTCGTTTTTCACATCTTCATCATTCTCCATCTTTCATTTTTGTGGGATGTCTCACACGCCGGGTTTTTTTTTGAGAGATAGCCCAGACAAATGCTTGTCAGAAGAACTTCAGTTCAAAAAAAGGTCTACCACGTGGCAGTTTCAAAAATGGTCTCAGGGAATGGTTTGCGACCCCGCATGAATATGCATGAGTTCAGGTTTCATATGTTTCATTGGCTTTGCCTTGTCTTCCTGAACGTATTAGACTTAGTCTTCTTTTGTTTTTGCAACTCCGTGCTCGCAGATCGCAATGGAATGGGCGGATGTGTTGAAAATGAATTGCGGTTCTGCTGTACATGTGAGCTGGAATTCCTGAATTCATATAACTTCATCAGTCCCACCATTGGCTTATACCTCTTCCCCGTGCTCTAACAGAACCTCTTGGACATTTAAGGTACATTTGCTGTACATCATCTGCTGAAGAGTCCAGTGACCAATAAAACTCCCTTGATTTGGGATAAGTGAAATGTGCACGTGCACCATCACCAATCAAAGAGGGCTCTTTCTTCTTCGAGTCTCCACTTGGGTGGTCATACAACCAATCTCACTCAGTATTGTTTGGATCCAGCATCAAACATCTGTGCACATGTACATGAACGTTCTTGCTCCACCCCATCCCCCACAACAATCCCCAACGCGCTTTTGCAGGCCAGTAAAAGATCCATCTGTTTTTTCCCCAGATAGCTGGCAAGCTATAGGGGTTCTTACTTCTCAAAGGTGGGGTCTTCGGTGGCGAACTTTTGAGCAGGGTGCTGTGCAGGGTGCTGTGCAGGGTGCTGTGCAGGGTGCTGTGCAGGGTGCTGTGCAGTGCGGTGGCGAAGTCTGTGCAGGGTGCTGTGCAGGACGCTGTCCAGACTGCGGTGGCGAAGTCTGGCAAAGGTGTTGTGCAGGGTGCTGTGCAAGGTGCTGTCCAGACTGCGGTGGCGGAGTCTGGCAAAGGTGCTGTGCAGGGTGCTGTGCATGGTGCTGTCCAGACTGCGGTGGCGAAGTCTGGCAAAGGTGCTGTGCAGGGTGCTGTGCAGGGTGCTGTGCAGGGTGCTGTGCAGGGTGCTGTGCAGGGGCTGTGCAGGGTGTTGTCCAGACTGCGGTGGCGAAGTCTGGCAAAGGTGCTGTGCTGTGCAGGGTGCTCTGCAGGGTGTTGTCCAGAGTGCGGTGGCAAAGGTGCTGTGCAGGGTGCTGTGCAGGGTGCTGTGCAGGGGTGTTGTCCAGACTGCGGTGGCGAAGTCTGGCAAAGGTGCTGTGCAGGGTGCTGTGCAGGGTGCTGTGCAGGGTGCTGTCCAGACTGCGGTGGCGAAGTCTGGCAACGGTGCTGTGCAGGGTGCTGTGCAGGGTGCTGTGCAGGGTGCTGTCCAGACTGCGGTGGCGAAGTCTGCTGTGCAGGGTGCTGTGCAGGGTGTTGTCCAGAGTGCGGTGGCGAAGTCTGGCAAAGGTGCTGTGCAGGGTGCTGTGCAGGGTGCTGTGCAGGGTGCTGGCAGGGTGCTGCGCAGGGTGCTGTGCAGGGTGCTGTCCAGACTGCGGTGGCGAAGTCTGGCAAAGGTGCTGTGCAGGGTGCTGTGCAGGGTGCTGTGCAGGGTGTTGTCCAGAGTGCGGTGGCGAAGTCTCACCAAGGCGCTGTGGTGCTGTGCAGGGTGCTGTGCAGGGTGCTGTGCAGGGTGCTGTCCAGACTGCTGTCGCGAAGTCTGGCAAACTGTTCAGGGTGCTGTGCAGGGTGCTGTGCAGGGTGCTGTCCAGACTGCGGTGGCGAAGTCTGGCGAAGGTGCTGTGCAGGGTGTTGTCCAGACTGCGGTGGCGAAGTCTGGCAAAGGTGCTGTGCAGGGTGCTGTGCAGGTTGCTGTGCAGGGTGTTGTCCAGACTGCGGTGGCGAAGTCTGGCAAAGGTGCTGTGCAGGGTGCTGTGCAGGGTGCTCTGCAGGGTGTTGCCCAGACTGCGGTGGCAAAGTCTGGCAAAGGTGCTGTGCAGGGTGCTGTGCAGACTGCAGTGGCGAAGTCTGGCAAAGGTGCTGTGCAGGGTGCTGTGCAAGGTGCTGTGCAGGGTGCTGTGCAGGGTGCTGTGCAGGGTGCTGTGCAGGGTGCTGTGCAGGGTGCTGTCCAGACTGCGGTGGCGAAGTCTGGCAAAGGTGCGCTATCCAGACTGCGGTGGGGAAGTCTCGCAAAGGTGCTGTGCAGGGTGGTGTGAAGGGTGCTGTGAAGTGCTGTGTAGGGTGCTTTGCAGCGTGCTGTGCTTTGGTTCCCACGTTGGGAACCATCAGTTCCAACCTCTGGTAACCGGCAGTTTCTTGCAATGGCAACCCATGGTTCCCAGGTTGGCAACCAGGAGTTCCAACCTCTGGGAACCGGCAGTTCCTTGCAATGGTAACCTGTGGTTCCCACGTTGGCAACCGTGAGTTCCAACCTTTGGAAACCGGCAGTTCCTTGCCATGAACCAAACGCAAACATTCCGGTACCGGTCCATTAAGCAAAACAAAGCGTTCTTTACCGGTCCATTAAGCAAAACCATAAAGTTGTAAAGAAACTGTTTTCATATCATTTTGACATGCACCTTTTTCGTGCAAAAACATTTTTATGCCGGCCCAGCAGCTGAACGCAAACATTCCGCTACCGGTCCATTAAGCAAAACAAAATGTTCTGTTACCGGCTCAGTGAACGAAACAAAACAACATTAAGCACCATGAGTTCTAACTGTTTGCAATCAACAGGTCCTTCCACTGGTAACGTTACTTTTTCAGTCTTGGAACCATGAGTTTCAAGCTATGGGAACCCGCAGTTCCTTACAATGATAGCCGCTTAGCTTCGAAAACATAAATTCCAACTTCTGGGAACCGGCAATTCCTTGCAATGGTAACCTCTGGTTCCCAGGTTGGGAACCGTAAGTTTCAAGGTCTGGGAATCGGCAGTTCCTTGCCATGGTAACCTTTGGTTCCCACGTTGGGAACCATCAGTTCCAACCTTTAAGAACTGGAAGTTCTTTGCAATGGTAACCTATGGTTCCCAGGTTGGGAACCATGACTTCTAACCTGTGGGAACCGGCAGTTCCTTGCAATGGTAACCTGTGGTTCCCACGTTGGCAAGCGTGAGTTCCAACCTTTGGGACCCGGCAGTTCCTTGCCATGAACCAAACGCAAACATTCTGGTACCGGTCCATTAAGCAAAACAAAGCGTTCTTTACCGGTCCATTAAGCAAAACCATAAAGTTGTAAAGAAAATGTTTTCCTATCATTTTAACATGCACCTTTTTCGTTCAAAAACATTTTTTTGCCGGCCCAGCAGCCGAACGCAAACATTCCGCTACCGGTCCATTAAGCAAAACAAAAGGTTCTGTTACCGGCTCAGTAAACAAAGCAAAACAACATTAAGAACCATGAGTTCAAACTTTTTGGAATCAACAGATCCTTCCACTGGTAACGTATGCTTTTTCAGGTTTGGAACCATGAGTTTCAAGCTTTCGCAACTGGCAATTCCTTACAATGATAGTTGCTTAGCTTCGAAAACATAAGTTCTAACCTCTGGGAACCGGCAATTCCTTGCAATGGGAACCTCTGGTTCCCAGGTTGGGAAGCATGAGTTCCAACCTCTGGTAACCGGCAGTTGCTTGCAATGGTAACCTCTGGTTCCCAGGTTGGGAACCATGACTTCTAACTTGTGGGAACCGGCAGTTCCTTGCAATGGTAACCTGTGGTTCCCACGTTGGCAACAGTGAGTTCCAACCTTTGGAAACCGGCAGTTCCTTGCCATGAACCAAACGCAAACATTCCGGTACCGGTCCATTAAGCAAAACAAAGCGTTCTGTACCGGTCCATTAAGCAAAACCATAAAAGTTGTAAAGAAAATGTTTTCCTATCATTTTAACTTGCAACTTTTTCGTGCAAAAACATTTTTATGCCGGCCCAGCAGCCGAACGCAAACATTCCGCTACCGGTCCATTAAGCAAACAAAAGGTTCTGTTGCCGGCTCAGTAAACAAAACAAAACAACATTAAGAACCATGAGTTTTAACTTTTTGCAATCAACAGATCCTTCCACTGGTAACGTTACTTTTGCAGTCTTGGAACCATGAGTTTCAAGCTATGGGAACCCGCAGTTCCTTACAATGATAGCCGCTTAGCTTCGAACACATAAATTCCAACTTCTGGGAACCGGCAATTCCTTGCAATAGTAACCTCTGGTTCCCAGGTTGGGAACCGTAAGTTTCAAGGTCTGGGAACCGACAGTTCCTTGCCATGGTAACCTTTGGTTCCCACGTTGGGAACCATCAGTTCCAACCTTGAGGAATTGGAAGTTCTTTGCAATGGTAACCTATGGTTCCCAGGTTGGGAAGCATGAGTTCCAACCGCTGGGAGCCGTCAGTTGCTTGCAATGGTAACCTCTGGTTCCCAGGTGGAACCGGCAGTTTCTTGCAATGGTATCCCATGGTTCCCAGGTTGGGAACCAGGAGTTCGAACTTCTGGGAACCGGCAGTTCCTTGCAATGGTAACCTGTGGTTCCCACGTTGGCAACAGTGAGTTCCAACCTTTGGGAACCGGCAGTTCCTTGCCATGAACCAAACGCAAACATTCCGGTACCGGTCCATTAAGCAAAACAAAGCATTCTTTACCGGTCCATTAAGCAAAAACCAAAAAATTGTAAAAAAACTGTTTTCATATCATTTTGACATGCACCTTTTTCGTGCAAAAACATTTTTAAGCCGGCCCAGCAGCCGAACGCACACATTCCGCTACCGGCCCATTAAGCAAAACAAAAGGTTCTGTTACCGGCTCAGTAAACAAAACAAAACAACATTAAGAACCATGAGTTTTAACTTTTTGGAATCAACAGATCCTTCCACTGGTAACATATGCTTTTTCAGGTTTGGAACCATGAGTTTCAAGCTTTCGCAACTGGCAATTCCTTACAATGATAGTTGCTTAGCTTCGAAAACATAAATTCTAACTTCTGGGAACCGGCAATTCCTTGCAATGGTAACCTCTGGTTCCCAGGTTGGGAACCGTAAGTTTCAAGGTCTGGGAATCGGCAGTTCCTTGCCATGGTAACCTTTGGTTCCCACGTTGGGAACCATCAGTTCCAACCTTTTCTATCTGGGGTCTATGCCGGTGTAATTTCGTTATATTATATACATATATCTTATAAATAAATATATATATATAATATTTTATAGAATAACAACCAGCTCTTAGTCGCGCCACATCTGTTTCAGACAAGGCGCAATCCTGCTGCTACAACAGGGCCCAATCTTCTGCCGCGCACGCCGCGCAGCTCCTTAGCTAAATTCAAATCAAAGCGCCACATATCCAAAAATTGCAGCAATGACAAAATATGACGAATTACCTTTTTCTGGCTCCACTCACCCACGCAAGTGTCGTTTCATGGAACTTGGCGAATTAATACAAGAAGCCTTCCTTAGTGCTGCTGATGCAGAATTCCAGACTTACCCGAACACATGGCAAGTTTTTGGCAAATCAGAGACTCTTAATGTAAGATTGGACCCAGCTATGTTTCATTTCCGAAACCCTTAGTCCCTGAGTTGCAGCCATGCGCGTAAGCAAATACGAAGTCCATGTCATTGGTCCAAGAGCTGAATGATGCAGAGCACGCAAATCGTTGAGCTGAACGATAGCGACTTATTGTGCTTGATTTTTAAGTGAACATTGAACATGAGTAGACTCTCACTGGCTCTAGCCTGCTTGTTCTCATAGCTCTGATTCATTTTGCCATTTCGGGAATCAAGGCTTCAAGGTGATCGTTTGTGACCATGCTGACCGTGCTCTCCTGATCTCCCCCGCATCTAAAGTGAGCTTTGGCTATCGCGGTTGGACCACTACTCCACATGGAGGATCTTGCATTCGCGATCTGGGTTGGTGCTTTTGCGAGCATGAGTCAGTGTAAGGCCACCTTTAACTCTCCATACTCTATACCTAATATTACCTAATTACATACTACTTTTCAACCCTGCTCAGGTTTCACATGCTGGATGCAGCCCGCGATATTCTGTTCAGTGCAGTATGACTCTATGGGGCAGCAAAAATACAAAATCGCAGGCCCAAAACGGCCCAAATAGTGTCTGCAATTAGTCTGCAATGCCTGCTTCATCCCACCTAGTGCATCTTAGTACTGCACAAAAAGGCAAAGTTGCGTCGCGTGTGTTTGATGGCGTTTGGTGATGTTTGTTTCCTGGATGTTCTTGGTTTTCTGCGCTATGCAAAGGGCGGTGCCATGATGTAACAGTAGTCATATTAGGCAAACTCCAAAATGTACAAAGCCTTAAAGCAGTCTTTAAAGCACCCCGCACTGGTCCACACTGGTGGCACCAGCGTGGCACACTAATTGAAAGACCCCAAGCAACAACGGAAAAGAATCGAAAAGAATCGAAAATATTCGAAAAGCGCAAAACGACAGAAACGCGCACCCGCTCAGATAATCTACGAGTGCCACTTCTCGCAGACTTGCAACCCTGTCTGAACATTGCGGCAGGATTGAAACCTCCTCTAGCAGAAGCAAATAATTCTGGAATGCCAATGTGTTTCACGCAAGCAGATGCAGTATTGCATAGTATTGCTATTTCTTGCTGATGCTTACCACCTCAAAACCATCGCCAGAGTTCCTTCCAGAATCGCGATGATCCCCGGAATTTCCGAAACATTTTTCTTCCAAAGGCCTGTGCCAAGCCATCGGAAGTGACAGACCCCAAGATATATTATTGTGATGGTTGACAAAAAAGGTGAAATGACTAAGAACTATCTATCTGTGACCTTGACAAAGTGATAGTCCGAGTTCTTTGTTCCGATAAAAAACAATAAAGTAAAGTATATAAACCTTGCTGACGAACCGACTGGAGCTCGCTACCTGCCAGTATATCAGGAGCTGACCATCAAAGTTCTCGCACCCCGGCTGGTTTTAGGGGGAAAGGGTGCTATAGTTGTTGCCAAAAGAACCTTGTTGTGAATTTGTGTGAACTGGAGGAATGAAGGGTTCAAGCATGGATATCTGGTAGTGCTTTAGCCCTGATATTTCTGGGTAGCCCGACCCCCGGTTCTCTGAATGTGCTGTCTCTAGCGGGGTGAAAAAACTGTTGCAAGCGGCCATGTTCTCTCTTGAAGCCAAAAGCTGCAAGTGATCGAACGCTCTAGGAGCAGACAGGCGGCAGCCAGCTCCCTATTTGCTAGAAAAACTGCCGTGATCTTTCGCTTGATGCTGTGAGATGTTGTTCACTATTGTGCGTGGCCGTGGTGATAAGCTCTCCTGTGCTCTCTGAACGAGGAGCTCCAACTCTTCCTTCTTTTGTCTATCCTCTTCAGACAGTTCCTGGAGAACTGCGCAAGAACTGCGCAACATCCAAACACCGAACTGCAACAGGTCTTGTGTGAAATGCCTCACTTGACAAACATCCGAAGGAGATGATACAACTGAAACCCAATAAGCTTGATCAAGCAAATATTGATAAATTCTTTGCCTCTTGTTTCTCTTTTGCGTTCTTCTTCTTTACATCTTTCTTTGCCTTGCATGCTCAGGCTGACCCTCTTTCAACTTTTAAATGAATCCGTCAATTTGCGCATGGCGCATTCGATTAAGGAAGTGGCACAGTTTTTAATTGTTCTGAGCTTTCTCAGTGAAGTCTAAGGAACATGAGATGAAGAAACAATGCTGCAGAAATACACTGTTGAAATATGTTGAACATGCGCAACTACCTGGAGTTAACACATGTTGAAGCATTTGGCACATGTGCTGAGCTAAAAACCTGGTCTGTTGGCTCCCCCCCTTTGCTAGGCACGGATAGGGCAACTGCCTTAGCTCTGCATGAAGAGTTTCAAGTTGAACCATCACTAAAAGCCCCGGCTCAAGTGAAGGGAACAACAAACAAGTTAATTACATAAGTACATAGTCATAGAAGTCATAGAAGTACTGTATATCCAAAGATGTTAGGCTGGCACTTCTTGGTTCATGTTTGATGTCAGCATATGTCGGCATTCTCTGCCAAATTAACTATTGTAACTCCAAGCTCATGGCATCTTTCTCGTTCTTTCCGTTTGCCATACCTGCCGCCCTGAGGATGCGCATTGTCAATTCCACGACGAGCAGCACAGCATTGAATGACTTAGAGAGCTATGAGTCCAAGCACATGTGCAACTTGACTGCAACTTGATCGCCTTTGCCCACAGGAGTAATGCAACAGCTGGTGCGCACGGTGTAAGTAGCGCAAGCGGAAAGTAGCTAAGTAGCACGGCGCAAGCGGCGCAAGCCAGGCGTGTTGGACTTTGGGGCACTGAATTCAGTGGCTTCAGCCAGATGCTGCAGTCAGCCAAGTTTAAGTGTCCAAAGATGTCCAAAGCAAAAGGCGTTGTATAATGTTGTAGATACTTTTCTACGTCGAATCATCTCCAAAAGGCAGGTCATGTTGCCGCCTTGGAAGGATCTGTTTGGAATCATCGGAGTTGCGGGGAAGAATATATTAAAACAGTCAGCTTCTAGCATTTCTGTATCCTCCAAGCACCCCCAGCTTAAAGGCATGAAAAATGTGAGACGAGTCAAAATCTACTTGGGTATGCATGCAGAAAGGAGCCAAGAAATTGGCAAGTTGTACACAAGAATGCTACAATAGCAGATTGCACGTTGCATCACATTGCAACATGTGAAACTTGCATCTGAAATTTGTCAAATACAGCCAGTGGAATTGTGGCATGGGAAATATTTTGTTAGTTTGAACTCACAATGTAAAGTAAAGGCCGCATCTTTGTTGAATAAATTCAGTGTCCTTGTGAATAAAATGGTGATTTCAGAGTGACAGAGTTATGAGGAACATCTTGCATCTTGTACAAGAGAAGAGCTTCCGGAGACAGATTTTTTTTGGCATTCCCGCAACTCACTTGCTCTGGTTTCATGCCTCAGGAAATCATATGTGAAAACATAGAAATTCCCTGTTCAAAAACTTCGACCAGAATTCAGTTCTATGCAAAATCGAAATTCATAAACGTGCCTGGGGGCTGAAACCCAAGTCATCGCTGTCCTGACACAGGGAAAACTTAAATATATTTAATTCTACGTACATACATATATATATAATTATATATATATATATATACATATATTTATAAAAATACATATATCTACACTGAACATATCCAGATTATAGACGCATGCATCTATATCTACACTACACATATCCGGATTATAGACGCATGCATCTACAATATCATATACAGTATAATAATGACATATTGCGCAACTAGCCGCATGATATGTGGACGTATAGATAAACATGTACCTATATATGTACATACACACATATTGTATAATATACATACACATAGACATACACATAAACGCAAGCATATTTTTATATATCAAAATATTATGATTAGATTACATTTTATTGTATTGTATTGTATCATAGCTATACTATATTCCACCATATTAGTATCACATTGCATCATATCATATTATCGTGTTACTAGTATATTGTATTATGTTGCTATGTTATATTGTATTTTAGTACTGTCGATTGCCCATGATTGCCCCACTGGCATGATTCTCAGGTGTTTTCTTGAGGTACACATATAGGGGGTTGTGGTGTCAATTTCAGGCCGAACACCAGCGCCTGGCCTTGACCTTAATTTCGTTTGTGCAAGCATTTCAAAAAAGCTCAAACACCATCCTTTAGAATCCTTTAAAATCATTTAAATATCTTTAAAGAATCTTTAAACTATAGACATCTATAGACTATAAGCTATAAGGAACTATAAGGAACTACTCTGTTGTGCTGCAGGCCAGCAGGCTTTGCCGCTTTGAGAGACGCTTTGTCTGTCTGCTTGTCCAGTTAGAAGATACTACAAGCATCTACAAGCTCAGTTCATCTTGAAGTCTGTGCAAAACCCAGATCGAACATGATCGAACAGTACTATGAACCTTTATGAAATAATTACTACTTTAAGACATTCTGACATTGCGACGTGCAGCCCCAAAGACTATGACATCCCCTCTGCAAACACTACCAGCGTCCCGGATAGCCAACTTTTCTCACACTCAAGCGCACGCATTGACGGCCGCAACAAACCTATGGTTTTTTTTAAGCAATGAGCATCCGTGAAGTCAGCATGTATTGGTTAAAAATTCAAATAGTTGCATTTGCATCACTTCATGTCGACAACTTCTGCTGCAGAGTCTCAAAAAGTCAAAGATTGCAACATTGTTCTGACGAAGGTCGTGCTTATTCTGTCTAATACATACAATGCAACTCTGAGTTACGCTTCATCAGAACGACTATGAAAGACTCTCCCTTTTCTCAAATGGTTTTGATGGCTTCCCTTTGCCATCTTTCTCGATTTTGCCCGAGTCAGTTTGCTCTGAGTCCTCTTCAAGGGCGTCCACATACGCATCAACAAACGCATCCAACTCTGCATCCTCAGGATTCTCAGGCTCAGGTCCAGATGCGCCAGGTGCAGCTTTCTCAGCGAGTGACGCAAATTCACCAGCTCTCATTCTGGCCTGAAAGACACGGTATAAGGAAGTGGACCGTGGCTGGCCATCCTGAAACTTCTTCGGTTTCAGTCCAGCAACCCACGAAAGGCCAGCAGCTATGGTTCCAAAAACCAGCACCACGGAAAATATCAAAGTCGGATCCAGCTGAAAGTCTTCACTTTGATCACTTTGTGCTTGTGCACTCAGTGGTGAGACAAACGCCAATGCAATGACTCCGAACGAAATGTGATCTGAATTTTTTGAACTTGAAGCTGCTCTGCCAAGCGGCATTCTGACATTTTCAGTCACAATTTGACGCGCCAGGAAGTTCAAGCTGCCAGAGCCAATCAGAAAAAGAGCAAAAAGAGCAAGCACCAATTGTCGCGCGGACCTCATCCTGGGTTCCGAGATGTTCCGAGCGCATCCCATTGCTCGCTGTATAAAGCCCTTGGCCCTTGGCTATATTATAAGTTTATAAAAGTGTATATATATATATAAAGTTATATATAAGTTCTATATGTTCCAATTTACAAGATGAGACAATCTGAGTCTTCTCAATGCCCAAAAATGCCCCAGACTCCAAACATACTCTAGCTTCTGCAAAAGTGTGCCGTCGATCTGCTCAGTCTCCGTCAGTCTCGAAACATCTCTATTTTGCTTCAGTATGTTGCAGTACATTCTACTGCTAGACTTGAGCAAAATTTGGCAGCGCTGTGAAACTTGTCATAAATTGACCCAATAGATTCTGCATCAGCTTTAGATTAATTTAGATTCAATATGTCCCAACCTTAAGGCATTCACAACAAATCCGCAAAGACAAAAATGACAAAGCCAGTCCTCCGCGCGCGAGACTTGCAAGCCTGGAATACGTTCGTAATCCACTGCCGAAGGAGCCCGTCTTGCAACCTCACACAGTTTGGTGAGTTTGGTGTGGTGACACCTTGGTCACATGCACCGCCACATTGCTAAATACGAAAGGGTGATGACAGGCATGATGCATGTTTTGCCTCACACTAGCTACGTCAAAATACAACCGTAACAAGCTTCAACGACTTCACACCCAGGCTGATGTCACTTCCATGAACCCTTCAGATCCTTCATTCAACATCCACCTTCCACGCAACCCTCTAACATCCTTCATCCGAGGTTGCAACCGCGCGAGGGACAACAAAACTCTGCATGAAGAGGCACGCGAACATACCCTGGGCAGACTGGGAGGATCACACGACTCTATATCAAAATAACCCAGTTTGTCAAACATGCGTTAACAATCTTCAACAGACTTTAAAGAAAAGTAGCTACGAATAGCCATGAGAACAACTAGCTGCCACTGAGCACTCACTGAATCGATCAAGTGAGTTTCAGCCAATCCTGTCCTCTGATCGGAGTTTGAGAACCCAGCGACAAATGTAGCACCCAGGGCCAGAAGTAGCCACGTTGCAAACACCGCCTTGCAAGTGTTCCATACAAGTAGGCTGGATGGCAATTCCCCCTAGTAGTGTAGTCCCATATCAATGCCATATCACTGTAGAAATACTGGGTAATTTATGATATTTATGGAAATTCCATGAAATTTCATACAAAGCAGCGAGTCTGAATTTATTCTGCATTTCAATCTGGGTATGTGCAAATTGTCTGCTGTCTTCGGTGTCAACGCCAGTAAGGGGCCACGCTCCTGGTGTTTTTTTTGCATTTACAGTTACATAGTGTGGTAATTTTGTACGAGTGGGGTGGAGTTGGCTAATAACCTTCATGTGGGTGTGTTTTTGGACGTGATTTTTCTAGCACACTCTGGACATTTCATTCTACCCATTTCCATGCTTGTATATAACTTTCTCTTGGTACGCCGAATGTCATGATGCTATGCGCTAAGGATGTCTGTCGTTGATGATGCTACGCTACAGATGTCTTTCGTTGATGTGTATGTCGTTGATGATGCTATACGCTACAAATTTCTTGGGAGAAGGCAGTTGCCCACACACACACACAACTTCACAAGCTCTGGAAGTACTTGTACGTTGGTATGCAGCGAAAAACTCTCACAGGCAGGATCCTCAACACACTTGGCGGACTTTGTGGTTAAACATGTGCAAGTGAGCACAGTTTTGAAGGGTTGAAGAATCCTACTGTGACTGGCCGATGTCATCACCGACACGGCTTCTTACAAACGTTGTTTCCTTGTTTTTGGCTTTTGTGGCTAGGTTTTGGAATTGCGATAACGAGACTTCAGCTTCAGTTGGTATATCCAACCTGTATTAGAATGGTGGGGGATGGGGGGGTCAAAACCGCACATGTATTCTTATTTTCTTCAGCCCAAGGTATCAGAACAGAGTTAAACAGTGTACCAGTAGAAATATCTTGGCCGTTTCCACAAGTTTCATCCTTTGTGGGGCCACTAAGCTGCTGGTTTCGAACCCCACCTAGCCCCTGCATCCAAACATTTCAGTGGTCTGGAACTGAACTAGCGTTGGCTCTGACAGAGCTAAGCGCGAGTTGGAACTGGGGGAAGGCATGTGGGCACCAGACATCATCTCAAAATCAATTCGGTCTAGTCCAAATTGGCTCCTTGTGCCCAGTCACTCAAAGCATTTCAAACTTGATTCTGAGTGGCAATCTGTTGGGAACAAAAATATGAAATTAAATGAAATTAGAAATGAAATGTCATACGTCAACCCAGCCCCGGATTTCATTTTAATATAGTGGGACGTGGGTATTTGGCGTTTTCACTACCCATACTCGACTTTGGTCGCAAAGGGAAAATGCCTGGCTTGAGGATGAAGGATCCCAAATCAATCCTGGGCCTTTGAGTCCTCTGGTATCTTCGTCCGCTTCCTCTACTTTCCCAAGAAAAATAATGAAAACGAAAGAGATATGCATAGAATTACATAGATAATTATGATAATTGTAGATACGACGTACAATATCTGTTCGTGCCATTTGCAGGATGCTACAGTTCAAAAATTAATGCAAATGGGATAAAAATTGATAAAATATGAGCAAATAGCTTCTTTATGCTTCTTTTATATGCTTCATTATGTTTCCATGGCTGGCAATAAGTCTGCGGCCAGACTCCGTGGCGGGTGTACTGTAGCATCTGTAGCCAGCACATGTTTTTTTCGTTTGAAGCTGACACGTGTTACGAAGAGTCGAGCAGTGCTTTTCAAATCCGCCCTGCAGTGCAAGACTTCCGAGATCAAGAAAGTTCAAGGTGGAAGCACGTCTTCTTTAGGCTGCGCATGTTGGATGATGCTGCTTCTTCTTGTACAGAGCAGGAGTCGAAAGATGCTTGCAATGTCTTGCAACCATGTTTTTGCTCTGCTGAAAGCTGAGATGAAATGAGCGAACCATGCGGATGTCGGGTGAAACACGAAGCAATGACAGGAAACGTCAACCGAGATGGAAGGCCTGGCTTTCTGCTTCACCTAACAAATCGGAACACCACTCAACATCACTCGACATCACTCGACATCACTCAAGCATTTTCATGGCTGCATATTACCAATTCAAAAGGGGCAGCATATGATGGCGGTCTGGCAACAGCGCGTGCAATCAAACAGCGGCTCACACCCTGCCCATGCACTGACAGCAGCCTTTAGGCAGTGGAGACTTTATGAGCGACTGTTTTCCATGCTTTTCTCCTAGCCTTAGCGCTCAGGGTCAAGTGACACCAAGGAAAAACATGGGACGCCAACATAAATAGAATTGTAAAAAATTGTATAAATAGAACTGCGGAAACAGTGGCACAATCTTCGTGTTGTCACATGTTGTCGAAATGCTGTCACTAGGTGTAGCTGCACGGCTGCTGAGAAGCTGCTGAGAAGCTAGAGGTGCAAAAGGTGAGCAAACTGACAAAAGTCGACACCCGGCTGAGCCCTGTTCAAGAGAGTTGTGCCGGATGATGCAATTTGAAAGAAAGGCCTGAAAGGACTTTGAAACACATTCGTCATGGCAGCTGCTGCATACATGCATTATTCATCAAATACTCGCCAAATGTCAAAACCTCCAAAAAACATATTTATATTTTAAAAAAATCGGCGTCAAAGTGTTCGCAACTTACGTTGCTGAGGTGCGTTTTCCTATCTCAGCTCAACACTGATCTGCTGTAGGGGACATGGTTGTCGCAGAAGTCCTCTCACACTTGAGGCACGTCATGTGCAAGAGCAATATCTTGGCTGTGAAAATCAACGTGGATACGTATCGGGTATGTCCATGGTGACAACTCTCTCGTGGTTTGCAATCAAGACACAGGCTATCATTGCAATTCAATTCTCCGAGTCAAACTGCGCACCATGCATGCAATTGTGCATGGTATTGTACGGTATTGCATGGTATTGCATGGTGTTGCATGGTGTTGTATGGTATTGGATGGTATGTATTGTACGGGTGTTGTATGGTATTGGATGGTATGTATGGTACGTTTATTGTATGGCATTGTTGTATGGTATGTCGGTATGTTTGTATTGTCTTGTATTGCATTGTATGCATGAATGATGCATGCATGTTATGCTACCTTGTTTCATGTATGTTTATGTTACACAGTATATTATGTTATGTTATGTTGTGGTGCGGCACTGTGTGGCATAGTATTTTATGTATGGTATGGTATGGTGTGATGTGGTATGGTATGGTATGGCCGCAGGGAGTTTAGAAGTTAAACTTCCGACAATATGGACAGATGGAAAAGCAGAGGTGGGAAGAGATAGAGAAGAAAAGAGAAGAGAAGAGAAGAGAAGAGAAGAGAAGAGAAGAGGAGCGGAGAGGAGAGGAGAGGAGAGGAGAGGATAGGAGAGAAGAGAAGAGAAGAGGAGAGGAGAGGAGAGGAGAGGAGAGAAAAGAAGAGAAGAGAAGAGAAGAGAAGAGAAGAGGAGAGGAGAGGAGAGGAGAGGAGAGCAGAGGAGAGGAGAGGAGAGGAGAGAAGAGGAGAGGAGAGGAGAGGAGAGAGAAGAGAAGAGAAGAGAAGAGAAGAGAAGAGAAGAGAAGAGAAGAGAAGAGGAGAGGAGAGGAGAGGAGAGGAGAAGATGAGAAGATGAGAAGATGAGAAGATGAGAAGATGAGAAGATGAGAAGATGAGAAGATGAGAAGATGAGAAGATGAGAAGATGAGAAGATGAGAAAGAGTCAGAAGTGCGCCAAAAGGCAGAAAAGTGGCGATTCACTGTGTTTTTTCCACTGGTTTGTGGCTCCGGACGCTAAAGTGGCGGGTGCGGAGCCATCTGACCAGATGAGAGATGAAAAATTGCACGCCGTTGTGGCGCGAAGCACATTTGGAAGTCAAAATGTACAAAACACATCCCTACCGTTTTGGCAGGGGTAACCTCCCCCAAATGTAACTTACATTTAGGGTAGGTAAAACCTTCGAAAATGTAACTTACATTTTGTAAAAAAACATACAATCAGCACCTTCAAAAATGCAAGTTACATTTAGGGTAGGTCCCTCTGAAATTTGGAGGGACCTGAAAAATGTAATATTACATGTTTGAGGTAAAACCTTCCTAAATGTAACTTACATTTTTGAAGGTGTAAAATATAAATTACTTCTTGGGACGTCACCAAGCATTGGGCCCTCATGGGGTTCAAGAAAGAAGTAAAGGTAACAGTTACCCCCAAAAGCAGATAGTGGTACCCCCAAAGGGAGGGGAACTTACATTTCCCCCCCGCCCCTCCCATTTCCATAGTCACTACGTGTGTGGCGTATCCCTGGGGAATACCTTGAATTTGCTTTGACCAGGACCATACCTAGGGGGTCATAACTTAGATTTTTTTACCCTTCCAAAACCTGGATTTCTGGTACCTTATAGATTTTAAGTTACAATTACCCCCTCCTAAAAAGTGAGCAAAACCTGAGGGTTTTGCAGCAGTTCCAGAAACGATGACAGGCGTGGGACATTTGAAGAGGGTCTGCCAAGATGCATTTTCCGTGGCAGGTGCAGTACAAGAGACATGTTCATCAGAGATGTTAGGAGGTCAGGGCGCTGATTTCCTGAGAGGGGTTGCATTTTGGAGCATCAGATCTTCAGGTTTGCTAAGATGATTTTGCGTGACAGGTGCAGCCCTTTGTATGACCTGGCATCACTTTTGCGTGGCAGGCGCAGCACTTTACACAGATGGAGTGGAAAAATTGCAAAACGCATTGTTACGAGGCCGTCAGCTCTGCACTCAACTTTCCATTTTTGAAAGAAGCCTCGCAGAATTGCTTAGTTTTTGATGTTGTCAACTTCGAAAATTGAAGGAAAGTCTCGCAGAATTGCTTAGTTTTTGATGTTGTCAACTTCGAAAATTGAAGGAAAGTCTCGCAGAATTGCTTAGTTTTTGATGTTGCCAGCACTATGCTACACTACATTACACAACACTACGCTACACTAGTTACACTACACTACAACTACAACTGCAATTGCAACTACACTACACTACACTAATTACACTACACTACGCTACGCTACACTAATTAAAACAACAGCTGCAACTACAATTACACTACTTTACGCTACACTACACTACACTAGACTCTAGACTACACTGCAGCACACTACACTACATTACATTACACTCGTTGCACCATACCACAACTGCAACTACACTACACTAATTTACATTACAACTACAACTACAACTTCACTACACTACAACTACAACTACAGCTGCACTACACCTCACTACATCCAGCAGTTGTGGGTGACCACTGCAACCATTGCAACCAACAACCTTTCGGTCCATCAGTGGATTCGCTCTGCCATCCATGCATCACAGCAACTCACCTCTCCTATAGTGTCCTATCTTTGAAACTTCCGCCACCGCCTTGTGCGGTACTACTGGTATGGTATGGTATGGTATGGTATGGTATGGTATGGTATGGTATGGTATGGTATGGTATGGTATGGTATGGTATGGTATGTAACCTAATGTTACGCACAGACCCCGTGGTTTGCCCGGACTGCAACATTGAGGATTCCCTGTCGTCGAACATGAGAACAGAAATTGCAGAAAATACTGCGTATACGCAGTGTTTTCTGCTTTCGGATTCAGAGTTTTCAGGGTTTTAGGGTTTAGGGTTTTGGGGTTTTAGGGTTTAGGGTTTTAGGGTTTTAGGGTTTAGGGTTCGTCGTCTGATAAATACCAAAACACTGGCCCTGCGCAGGTTTTTGAGCATGTCGAAGGATAATATTTGAACTCCATTCTAACCTTGCGGGCAAACCATAGGGTCTTGCCATAGTGTTATGTAATGAATGTCATATTGTGCATACAATCATACCCATCTCAAACAATGCAATGGACAACACCAACAATTACACAACATTTCCTTGAATCAAGAAAGCATCAACCTGCCCAACCTGGAGTGCATGCGTCCTTGAGTCCAGTTGCAGACTGGTTGTAGGCGATGTATGTGGAGCCTCTTCAAAAACACTTGCAACATGTTGCAACATGTTGCAACTATATTTTATGGCTAAGTGTAATGAAAGTTTGAAGCCAAAGGCCAAAGGAGAACAATCAAAATCGACATGCCTGTTGCATCAAGTTCCATCTGAGCGTTTGCAAAGACTTTCTAGGAAAAAACACTGAATCATATCGACACAACTTTACGTCTTCTGATCGCAGTTTTGTGCTTGATTTCATCTGAAGTTGTTTTTTTGGCTTGAGACCTGAGTCCTGTTCGGAGATCCTTTCATGTGATTGTTCCCCACCTGCCAGGTGAGGGTTGTTAGATTTTATGTCAGTTGCCTCCTCCTGCCTCCTCCTGCCTCCTCCTGCCTCCTCCTGCCTCCTGCCTCGTCCTCCTCCTCCTCCTCCTCTCCTCCTCTCCTCCTCGTCCTCCTCGTCCTCCTTGTCGTCCTCGTCGTCCTCGTCGTCCTCGTCCAACTGCGACCCGCGATCCACAGTGTTCTCTGCCGGACCTCAACCACGACCATCCGCGCCCAGTGTTCCCTGCCGGACCTCAACCACGACCATCCACGCCCAATGTTCCCTGCCGGACCTCAACCACGACCATCCTCGCCCAGTGTTCCCTGCCGGACCTCAACCACGACCATCCACGCCCAGTGTTCCCTGCCGGACCTCAACCGGGAGTATCCACGCCAAGTGTTCCCTGCCGGACCTCATGTAGGAAGATAAAATGTCAGATAGAGTGCCAGAAGATTTGCCAGGTAGAATGCCAGAAAATATGCCAGAAGATATGCCAGATAGATATGCCAGAAGATATGCCAGAAGATATGCCAGAAGATATGTCAGATAGAATGCCAGAAGATATGCCAGATAGAATGCATCAGATTTGCCAGATAGAATGCCAGAAGATATGTCAGATAGAATGCCAGAAGATATGCCAGATAGAATGCCACAAGAAAATGCCAGAAGATATGCCAGATAGAATGCCAGATAGAATGCCAGAAGATATGTCAGAATATATGCCAGAAAATATGCCAGATAGAATGCCAGAAGATATGTCAGATAGAATGCCAGAAGATATGCCAGATAGAATGCCAGAAGATTTGCCAGATAGAATGCCAGAGATATGTCAGAATATATGCCAGAACATATGCCAGAAGATATGCCAGATAGAATGCCAGAAGATATGTCAGAATATATGCCAGAAGATATGCCAGATAGAATGCCAGAAGATATGTCAGATAGAGTGCCAGAAGATATGCCAGATAGAATGCCAGAAGATTTGCCAGAAAGAATGCCAGAAGATATGCCAGAAGATATGCCAGATCATATGCCAGAAGATATGCCAGATAGAATGTCAAATAGAATGTCAGAAGATATGTCAGATAGAATGCCAGAAGATTGCCAGTAAGAAAATGTATAAATGTCATGGTGGGGATCACACGAAGTAAAGTATTTTTTTTATACTGTTACACTTCGTTTTCTCATGTTTGTCTGCACCTCCCTTGTTTTCTCGTGCGTGCCAGGTATTGTATTCGTTCCCAAATGCTGACTGTGAAGTCTTTGCCTTGAACAGAAAACATCTTTATATAATATCACGATATAAATATATATATAATTATATATAATTTGATACATTATCTCCATAGCATCTCCATCCAAACCTAGCAAACCGTGCCGAGACAGGACTCAACCCATCCTTCAGCTCAATGTGCCTCTTTAATCGTTGTAGCAAGCGGAGCAGTGGAACCTGCAGGTGAGACACCTGCCAGAGTTTTGCCTTTGATCAAGAAACATCATGAAACATCAATTTCATCAATTTCATCAACTTCATTCTGTATTCAACCTATTTCAACCTCATTAATTTCATCAACCTTTGGTGAGGCATGGTGAGGCCAGCCCACAAAATGGGTTAAATCCTGAGACAAACAGGACACAAAAACGAGATAAAACGAGACAGGAAAATGAACAGGGAGCCCACCTTATGTCCAGCATCACTCCATGACCGCTCAAATGACATCAACGCATATCAAAAATTATCAAAACCAGAAGCATCCAGAAACCCTGTGGTGAAATGAAAGCAACAGGAATCAATTCACATCAGTTCACTCTATATCACTCTGGAACATTCTTGAAAACATTCTTGAACAGCCTCCGTGCAAAGCCGCAGCGCAAATCCTTGAGTCCAGCCTGTCAAGACCTGAGTCGGTCTGTAGGATTCTTTAGGCAAGCAATGGCAAGCAACAAATCATAACAAATCAATCATCCTTTGGTAATCCTGAAAGAGTCTGAAAGAGTCTGAAAGGTTCCCAAGGCACTGACCAGCAGTTGCATCTGGGAAGGCAAAGGACTCTCTGCCAGACCTTTGCTGTCCAGCATCCAAACGAGAAGGTCTCGAAGATCTTGTCCCTTCAATATGTTGTTGTCCCTTTCACAAGCAATATGAATAGTGCGTCCACCACTGGATATACAAAAGAGGTGTGCGGACTCGTTTCTTCATGTTCTTGGTTTCGTCGAAGTCTTTTGAGATCCTTCTGAGTGAAAAAGACATGCAAAATCAATGATGAATGAAGAAAAAACACACAGGCTCATTCACTACAGAACAAACAAGGTCTTGAAAGGAATGCCACAGAAGATAACTTTGACTGGGATATTTTTAAAAGCTGAAAATGCTGCCATGGACGCATTGAAATCGAGTTGCTGGTTCGTTTTTGAGAGCTGATGGAAAAATGCTGGTCCAACACAAAATGAATTGCAACAAAATGTGAACCTTGCTGGTGTTCAACGTGGTCAATATCATTCACTATCACTTGCGACAAGCTGTGTGTTTTGAGAGGACTTGCCGGTGCATGTGTAGTCTGTTACTGCATTTGCGATTAGATAGCTCCATGATTAAAATCAGTTGGTTGAACTATAATTTAACTGCATTCACACATACAATCAACATACAGTACCACCTTTTGGGGACACCACCACCCAGTTGATTACAAGCTTAACACTTGTGCGGGTCTAAGATCTTAACGCTGAGCAATGGCAAATTGCGCGGATTGAAGAATCAGAGTCAACCTTGCAGTGAAAATGAAAGTGGTAGGAAAAAAAACATAGCATAGCTGACTCTCTTCAATTCTTAAGGATCTCCCGGAATCAATTAACAGAAGTGGTGGAAGCGACCTTTAATTGAATTTTGCAAAATTTTGCCGCATGATGGCAAAATACGCAAACACTCATAGGCAAGGTGTGTCTCAAATCGGAACCATGTTATGAAAACATTATGAACACATTATGAAAATATTATGAAAACGTATGAAAGCCATCAGTTTATTCACTTCCATGATCCGACTCGCCCGTTGCCCGATCGTATTTTATCACAGCTGAGAAGCCATGGAAGCACATTTCACTGAATTTAAGGGTTTACAGATTCTCGTGCACTCAACTGTGGGAAAAATACAACAGCAAAAGCATGCCGCGATGGTGTTGAAAAACAAGACAGAAATCATCAAAAATTAGCAAAAAACATCAAAAATCATGAGACTAATGAGATCTGATCAGGCTCCTCTACACTAGGTCCATATCTGGCCTCAGACACGCAAACCGTCATCGCTCCGAGCTCAATTTCCCAAGACCTCGGACCAATTCGCGAATGTTTGCAGATCAGGCAACGCCTTGAAACGAATGAGATTTGAATGAGATTTGAATGAGATCTTTCCCGCAATTTCTGTGACTTTAGTCACTTTAGATGACTTTAGCATTCAGCATCTATCAACGGAAGAGAGTCAGCATATCTCAGTGTCTGAATGAGTAAACCACCTGGCCAGCTTTTGAAACTTGTGAATCCTGAAGCCGGGCCTTGCCGGAATGATCCAAACTGTCTTGCTGCTGCGCTTGTCAATCGAGTTGACCTGCCAAAGAATAATGCGTGACACAACTTCGATGCAATCATGAATTCGAATTCGTGTGGCTGTTTCGGGAGGTGCCAAACTCGTACCTATATAATTTGAGTTTGTAAAGCAGTTTTCAATGGGCAACATTTTCCCCAGAACATTCCGAATTTCTGTACCAGAGTTGCTCAAAGATCAGAGAATGCTGGGCAAGAAAGGCAAACAAATCGCTGCTTTGCATCCAGATTTGTTTTTTGTTCACATTTCTTGTATTTACTGATAGAAGGGGGCTAAAGTTTTAGTGTGAGCAATCCACACACTTGCAGAGATTCCAATTTCGCTCAGAACATTTCTGAGCATTCCTCAAGAAAGCACACGGACCAAGCAGCATTTTGTGCATATTGTTCTGATCCTTTTTCCCTGATTTCCAGTAACAAAATTGTGGTGCATGGATCATGGACTTGTGAGATTTGTGAGTCATCTCCTAGTATGTTTGAAAACGCCCTCGCAGAAAGGACAGTTTTCAATCGTCAGGATTTGCTGGCACCACTTGCAGCATCTACAGAGTACTGTGTCATAAAATAGTTTGGAGATGTTTGGAGTACTAAGCTGCTAGGCTATTATGGCCTGAAGTGAGACCGTTCCATCATTGGCAGCCAACTGCGTTGTTTTGCCATCCTTCAGGTCAACGCTGCTCTCGAACAAAGCTGAAAAAGAGAAATGGTTCCTTTCTAAAAGATCTGAAAAGCACTCTTGACGTTTGATCTATTGCTGATTTATGCAAAGTTCATGTTTAGATTCTTACATCTGGTATCATCTGGTGCATTCTAGTTCTTTCTCCGAAGGTGTAACACGCTATACATCGGTATACTAAGTCTTGTCCTGAAGCAGCAGGCCAGGGTCACCTGTAGCCAGGGCACCGAGACCCAGGCTGTGTGGCTTGACATGGAAACAATGCAGCTTGGGGGTCCAAAATGGTCCAAAGAATTCATTCCGACTAATTCCGACTAATCCTGACTTCAAGATACTTCAAGACTGTCGTCTCCTGTTTGGAGCGCAAGTGCATGTGATGAGTTCCACAATATCCAAACAGGATGAAACAGGTGAAATTCGGAAAACACGTTGCTTGTGCAGCTTGAATGATTTCTGTGCAGTAACTATTCAACTGTTTTGGAATTCAATGTGCGTGTGCAGCTTTGTGACCTGGGGTTCCCTTGACAGCTCCGTGCACGCCAACTCGAAGTACCTGCGTCGGGCTTGGCGCTTTGGGCCCCTGAGATCCCTGCAGTCTGTGATTTGTCACATGTGATCTGTTTGATCTGTTGAGATGGCAGTCCCTTCTTGGTCGGAGCCATATATGCCATACTCAAGCTGTACTCAAGCTGTACTCAAGCTGTACTCAAGCTGTACAGGTGGTAATTTGCACCAGCTCAGTGAATCAAAAGAAACAGCTTCAGTCACCAAGCTCCCCTCTTCAGCCTCTCTGTAAATTACATAAGCAACGAAAACTGTGAGAGTCAGCCTTTGGATGTCTTTTGGTAGTTTGCTATGTCGCTCATGGACTCTGAACACCTTTGGCCTGAGTGGCCTTTGTAATGAACCTGTGCAAAGTGTGTTGAGGTTGCGGTGGCCATGCCTCTTCACTACCAATAATATCGTTGCGCGGCACTGACTTGTGCCAACTTGGTTACAACTACAACTCGACGGGTCAGCAACGAGTGCACTTAAACTTTAAAGTTTCCTTTGCGGATTTTGAAGGCGCACAAGACCAAACGAAATTAGAAAACATCAACCTGACAAGTGAGGCTGCATGCCAGTCTCTGGCAGGGAAGCTGCCAAAGGGATTAAAGTGGAATAAAGATGAATAAAGAGGATATGTTTTTGAGCGGAGTGAATTGAGACACGTCTACTTGCTCTACCTCACGAACGCAACAAATGGTCACCTGAAAAGGCCAAAAATAGTATAGGGACCTAAATGAACTTAGGACAGAATCAAAACCACGCAACAGCACAAAACAGCAAAGTCGCACCTTGTATCACCTTGCTAAATGCACAAAAAAAACGTCAAAGACTGCCACTTGATTGCAGAAGTATCACGTGCTAGCTCTGCAACCCGGCAACACACATCCGATTAAAAGATTGTGGAAAAACTTCCGCATTTAAATCTCCACTTCCCACAGAAGATACAGAGGCACAATCCTGATCCTTTGGGAGTACACTTGGATACACGTCCCTCCCAAACTGCCTCTCTCTAAATTCCCACTTTATTTGCCCACCATGACCAGCGACTTCTGCCTGCCCAGAGCTTGGAGACAGTCCGAGGTTGTCAATCCTTCCGTCGCTGCAATGCTGCCGCAATCCCGCTGTATCAGGCTTTGGGAATGCCTTCAAGCATCAAATCATCAAAGTACCAGACTAGCTCCAGGAGGTTCGCACTGTGATAAGTTGCAAAATCTTGGGACTGGATTGTTTTGGAATGCTCATTTCGAGTGTGAAGTGTGGAGATAAGTGCGGCATAATTTGACATAATAATCCAAGGGACAGGGACAGCTACATTATGATCATATATATGATATTATATGATCATTATAATATCATTATGCTACGTCAAACACGCTAGTAGCTTGGCAATGCTTGACGCTGGTTGACAAATGGTCTAACGACGGGGCAGTGTCCTGAGCTGAAACAGTTTGTCGGGGATTCCGCCGGCCAAATTCTCCAAACCTGAGGTCAGGCTGCAATGCAATGCTCAACTCAAATACTAAAGGAATCAGAAGGACCCTAAAGCTCAACTCCAAATTTCTTCAAGACTTCTCTAACTCTTGTGTTTTCTTGATCTTTCTTGCAGCTCTTGATTGCAAGGAGGGTGTCTGCATGTGTGGGTATGTCTTGCATTCTTTGGCGTTTTTCGTTTATGTTCTGATCAGTCGAAGTGTTTGAAGTTCGAAGTTGGCCTGGTGGCCGAGACTCTCTTTGGAGGAACTCGCCGAGACTTTGGCGTACCTAGTGTTATTATTCGCCACTGTGATCTGTCAAACAGACTCAAACGGCACCTCAGCTTACTATAGCTTACTGATCTTGCTTCGTATGTGGAATCCATGGAATTCCCAGAAAAGGGCTATCATGGGCTATCCAATGCTATCCAACAATTTTTGCCACGCATGTGCCTTGACGCAGCAGGGCACGGCTTCCACTTTCAATTCCATTCCAGCCTTCAGCACGACATACCTCCACCAGACAGTTGAAGCAACAACAAATTCTTCATAAACTTCATGAACAGGAAATAACAGGAACAAAATTCTCCGCATAGGCAAAACAAATGGTGCAAAAAAGCAGAACCATCAAGAGCAACCTTCATCAACATTGCGGGATATTGCGGGCACGATGTCCTTTCAAAGTTGCGAGAGTCGATCCCAGCAATTTCGGACGACGGCGGCCAAAAACCACCGTACTCTGGACCGACCTGCAGCTGCATCGAGGGAAGAACATAATAATAGTATATAATATATAAAATAGTTTTCCATTGAGATGGCGTGCAGGTGCTTCTCAGGCTGTTCTCTTATCTTCTATTCACATTTAGAATCCTTTAGATACATGTACATAGTGCATTCTGTCTTCGGGATTCGTTTAAGAAACCATGAAAGGCATTTGCCAAAGTTTTCTGTACTGGTATCAAGCGTACATGTGTGCCAAACACAGCCTCGATCGACTACCATGCACAGGACACCAAGCGTGCAAACACAAACACTCACAATCAGTTGGGGTCGCTCCAATTGCTTGCGTTTTCAAAAGTTGCTCCATGGCGGAAAAACTGAAAACTGATATGAAAGTAATATATAAAATAAAGAATTTTGTAACATGGATGGTGCATGGAGGAAAAAATACATCTGTGGTCTGTTGATTTCATGTTTGAGGATGTTCTGGTGAGAACCAGATTTTTGCACTCAAATGGACTTCACTCGCCTCTGGAGACATTGAGATGATATGCCTTCCAGCTCCGTGGGTACACAAAAAAGCAGTGCATCAGCTGACGTAAGCACTGCATGTCGAACTACTTACTGGCTTAATCTGGCTTGCCATGGCATGGCATGGCATGGCATAGCTGCAATGTCATTTTAGGTTTCATCGTGAATGCGTTTATCAGTGTTTATCGTCATTTATCTAAGCACAATAAAAGGGCCGAATTGAAGCTCAACGGTCGTTCTGCTCGACTACTGCGGGCTTACTGATTCACAATGCCCTGCAGTTGTTGCCGGCTTATGAAGAACTGATGTCAGTTTGAGCTTGCAGCAGCTGAAGCATATTGTGCATTTTGTGCACGTGTTTTCTATCGGCCTCTTGGAGTACATCCAATCATCCGATTCGCCCGTGGCCGTGTATCCCTAGGCTTCAGAGCTGGAAAACAGGCTGAATTGTTTCCAATCTTAAGTTATCTCCAATCTGGTTACATACATCAAAATTGATTGGAACGTCAACGTATAAGAGGATGTAAGATCGGACACTAGTCCGCTAAGACCGCTAGGAACCCATATAGACATGTCCATACAAACATGCACGTATGTGCATCTGTCCAAGAGTATATCGTGTGCCTACCTATGTATGCAGATCTATATTTACATATATATATATATACATACATACATACAATATATCGGGATGTATGCATATATATATAATTATAATATATTATATTATATTATACTGTATATATGGTTGTATGTGCTGTGTGTACATTACATATTTGTATGTACAATTACATGTGTGTGTACCCGTATATGTATATGTAGAATACACTATGAGAACATGTAATACTGTAAAACTATCTAGGTGTATGATGGCTGGTATATGTAAATATGTATGCGTAGAAGTGTTTACGTATGGCAGCCGTATGCACATGCCATATTTCTGTCTATGTTTTAAGTTTTGGTTACATGTCTACTTCATTCTACTTCTATGCATGTCAAATGTATGCTGCTGTCATTGCACCAGGACCCCGGCAACAGTCTGAATGGCAGTGCCGAACTTCTTCCAACCTCTGTGGATGTTCTGTCCAGTGCTAATTCAGTGCCTCAACCCGGATCACAGCAGGAAACAGTAAGAGTCAGACCAAATACTTTGGCAATCTCCTTGTAAACTGCTTTATCATCAGCAGGCAGCAGGTCTGTATTGGCCCAGTTGTACCTCCAGTCTCAGCTCTAAGAGGAAAGAGAACTCTTGCAACAGCTATCAAAAACTGAAGTGCGCCGCATCATAGACACACAAGTACAAATCATTACACGCCTGCAACTAGTACCTGGGTCTTCCAAAGAACAAAACATACATAATCAGGCTCAAGTGTTTGGGATGTTTGGGCACGGGTGTGTCAGCATGCTGCCGAAAGCATGGAAGTTCATGGCTGTCTTGAAACTGTTCTCCTTCAACAGATTAGGTGTTCATTGCAGAACTGCAGGTTCAATGCAATCAGAAGACGGTACCACATTTGCCATTTAATCAGGGAGTGTCTAGAATAACGCCATACGATAGATAAATCGGCAAACGCATTCTCCATGTTCATGACCTTTGGCAAATGCACAGCCACACAAGATTGTACAAGCATACAAGATCATACAAGATCATACAAGATCATACAAGCACCTTTACAACAGCTGTCTGACAGCCTCACAAATCTTCTGGAGAGCCCGAGTCTCAGGCTCTGAAAATGGCTGCCTAGGGTCAGCCCAGGAAGTTGGGGTCAAGGTGCAGCCCATTGATTGGCGCACTGGCACAGTAATCCAAAACTAATTGACTATGTTAACATATGTTAACTAGTTTTTCTGCACTTACAGAAATGAACATGGCGTACATATCCTACAAACATCACAATTGACTTACATTTGCTTCCCAGGGTGGCACATACACACACACACAGAGGAGGTATACACCCTTCTGCCGCCTCGAATATAGCGATAGTCAAATAGCCGACTGCTCAACTGTTTTATTCGAGTCTCTGCAGGTGTTCAACAAAAAACAATAGGCAAGGTATGGCAAGGTGAGAAAAAACTCAGAGAAACATAAACATAGCTAAATCTATTCTGGCATGGCTTTGTGCTGTATCTTTGAGGAAGGAACGTGCCACCATGTTCTTCGTTGCAACCATTGAACCCACCGGACCAATGTACGCCAAAGTTCCTGCAAATGCATCGGAAAACTGCATGATGCGAAGAGCGCTCATTGTTTGATTTTCTTTCAAGAACGTTTTCAAGTCAGTTTCACCTTATCAATTCTTTTCCTGCTCCTTTGACGGGAAGGGGCAAGGGCAATGACAGGAGAAGAAGGGAAGAGAGAGGACAGGGAGAAGAACGTGGCGAGGCGGAGAATGCGTGGAATATGATGGAATATGTACAATGGGGTTCTTGGGTTTATCAGGTCTCTGACATTTTTTCCTCAGACATGGTCGAATTTTCTGTAAAATGGTTTCCCTGGTCTGAACATGTCTGAACCATCCTCTCCTTTCGGCTGCAATTTAAAGCTTAATCGGATCTGGCCTGAAGTATCTGTTCAAAGCCAAGCGCCAGAAAAATATATCAAACAAATCAAGTATAATGGATTATATTATATACAATACCTGATATTTCATGGACCAAAGGCAAAAGTGGTGTTGGATGAATTCTCATGTAAGTCATTTGTGGTCCTTGCACTTTGGCCAGAACTTTATCTTGCAATATGAGAGTGCCCACATCAGCTTTACAGCTGTGAAATTTTCGCTGAATGTTGCAGAGCCTTGAAACAGCTTGAACGACCAAGATATCCAAAGACCAAGAAAACTCATGCGTTCTTTTCCACACAATATACCCTGACAAATATGCACAGAACATCACAAGTTGACAAGCGCCTCTGAGTGCTACAAGTACCTAATTACAGTATTTCAAACCTTTGGACCTTTGGGTGGCAAATGGTTAAAGTATGTTGAAGTGTTGTGTTGTTCATAAATCATCTCGCAATTCTTGTCCATACTGTACGACTCAAAAGCTTAGGCGGCTTGGACTGTCCTGTTGATATCGACCCCGCCATTGACAGCGGATCTGCATGTTGGTCGTAGATTTTTTCTAATGACCTGCCAGCATCTGTTAGCATCAATTCTCATTGAAGTTGAACATGTCCGGCAAGATTGGAGAAATACATGTTCTTGAGAGGGTGGTCTAGCATGGTACGCTTGCAGAAATGCCAAACATACATACGTCAATGTGTGGACTCGGAGATTCCAGTTCTTTAAAGGGCCTCTCTTCACCTGAATCTTTGCGTCCAACATCAATCAGTGGCAGAGGAAAAAAAAACTGGAATCTTTCTGGGTCTGAATTGCCACAATCCAGTTTCGTCTTGTTTTCATATCTAGGTAGAGTGTGTGGGGCCCAGTCGAGCCTTGCTTCGGAGGCCCTGCCATTCCAAAATACAGGATCGTAAACTTCGGTGTCGGTACAGCACAAAAACACACAAAGCATACGATATCATACGATTGTCTGACGATTTCATCATCATCATCATCATCATCATCATCATCATCATCACATGATTTCGTTGCCTGATTGGCGACGTAACCGTCGGGATTTACGAAGGGCACCAGCCACACCTCTCGCATCTCTAGAATGTACGAGGCCTTAGAGACAATCTCTCGAAGCCAGCACCATAGATACCAAAAAAAGATAGCATAGTAATGGATAGTAATATATATATATATAGTAATGGAACTGGAATATATGGGATGCGAGATGCCAAGAAATTCAAAGGAGCGAAGTCCACCTTGGTATCTCTAGACTCTAAACGTTTCTTACTATTGAATATCCCACAGTGTAGCAGTATAACACCCACTCACACCTTTGAAGCGTCTACAAATGAGACAAAGCTGCAAGGTACAGAACATCTTGTCCTATGTCCTGTGTGAATTGGAGTCCTACTTTTGTCTCCCCTTCTCTTCGCTTTTCAGACTTTGTAAGTCTGAACTTTACAACTGAAGAATGCTTTGACTGCATGCCTTGATGCTAACCCGAGTTGACAAGTCTGCAAGCTTACGCAAAGGCATGTCCACATACTATGTGGAAAGATTTTCTAGGTGAAGAAACAGCAGAGTGGCACAGGGACCTACAGCTCAGGCTTAGGGTTATTTTCAAGAATCTTCTATTGACCTTCTGTCAGGCAGGATAATCTTACAAAGCAATTGCAACAATCAATTTGCCTTTCTTGTGGAAAGCCTCACATTGCCAATTCATGCGTCGCTTATAGTGACTTAGGACATTGTGTTGCTGATTTCCCTGCAGTGTAGAACGAATGAACGCCATAAGTCTCATGCAATCTCATGCGCATACAGGATACATCATGGTTCTTGTCACAGGCCCAAACGATCCTAGAGGACTGTACTCCATGAAACTAGGAACAGCATCAAAGACAAGAGACAGGACATACATGAATCTCTCTGTACTTGATGTACTGTCTGGTTGCTGAAAGCACTTAGACATACTCAGCAGGCAGTGGGAGATAGTATGGGATGGTTGGGAGTGGGATAGCCTGTCACAGATACTGAAGGCATAGGATGTTCAACCCTTGACCAAATCGACATGCAAATGAAAAAATAAAAAAAAAACAGCAAGTGTCAAAGCCCCGAGAGGGTGTTCTCAGCATGACTGAGCCCACGGCCTGTGCATCGCCTGCTTTGAACTCGTCCAAGAGATGTCCCAGAAAATACATAAGAACTGTCAGGCTTGCTGGCCTAAGCTGTTCAATGCAACCCAGAACCTTGTGGCCACAACACATTTACTGACTGCTGCGTCTTTCAGTTTGTTTCAACATAGTTTGGTAATTTTTGACATGAAAATGACTTGGGATAACATATTCACTTTGCATCAAGGGCGCTCTCGAGCATGCGTCAGCGAAGTCAGCAAAACCTGGGGTGGATGACGTTGCCTCGGCGAGGACGAATCTCTTCGGTTCGGCTCTTCTTTGGTGTTGCAGAAATGTCAGACACGCAATCAATACACCGTTAGAACGTCAAAGAGTCTCAAGCTAAATGCAGTTGACCCAGCCTTCCCGATTTGGTCCCAAGGATGTAAGCATAGATTGGCCTGGGAAAAAACACAACGGGAAAAGGACTGAACATGGAATGACGGGACATCTGCTCATATGGCACGCCTTCTGCTCAGAAACATGATAATAAGATGCGACATGGGATATCCAAACAAAATCAGGGATCTCTCAACGGTGGTCATTGAATATGTATAAACATGTATATATATATATATATGTAATTGTATAATAAAATATAATTATATATAATTATATATACAGTACATATCATGTAATGTATATATACGTATTACTTTACATTACGTTGCAACGCATTGCATGGCATTGCATCGCATGGCATCGCGTTGCACTACCTTACATTCCATTGCATTACATTGCACACTACCACTACCACTGCCATTACCACTACCACTACCACTACACTACACTACTACAGCTACAAATACAAATAAACTACGCTACATTACACTACACTACACTGCACTAATTACATCTAATTACGCTACACTACACTAATTACACTACAACTACAACAACTACTACTACCACAGCTACAACAACAATATCAACTACACCACATTACACTACACTGCGCTAATTACACTGCAGCACACTACAGCTACAAATACACATGCAACTACAACTACACTACATTGCACAACACTACACTACACTACACTAATTACACTACATTACGCTCCAACTACAACTATAACTGCAACTGCAACTACAATTGTAACCTACCACTAAAGTGCACTACACGACACTACACCAATTACACTACACCACGCTACAACTACAACTACAACTACAACTACACTACCTTACACTACACTAGGCTACACCACACTTTACCACACTACAATACACAACACTACAGTACACTACAATACAATACGCTACAATACACTACACTAATTACACCACACCACAACTACAACTACAACTACAACTGCAACTGCAACTACACTACACTTATTACACATTACAACTACAACTCCACTACACCACACTACAACTACAACTACAACTGCACTACACCACACTACATCCAGCAGCTGTGCGCGATTCACAGCAACCAACCTCTCCTATAGGTTTCCTATTTCTGAAACTTCCGCCACCGCCTTGTGCGGTACTACTGGTATATGATATCTTTTGTATACAGTAAAATATTATATTATATATATATTATATATTATATATATTTATTATATATATATTATATTATATATATTATATATATTATGTTATATATATATATATATATATTGTAATATATATATGTATATTATATTATATATATATATTATATATATATTATATTATATATATATTATATATACATATTATATATATATTATATTATATATATATATTATATATATTATATATATATACGTATTTATATTAAGGACATAATGTGTATAATTCTATATGTACAGTTACATGTACAACGAACACAGCACCATATTTGAATAATGTGTAGGGTATCCAACATTGCGCCTGATATTGGTGTTTGTGTGTGTATGGACATGTGCAAACAGAAGTCCAGCACATCAGACTCTGAGACCAAACTCAGTTTCAAAAACCTGAGGACATCACCTTTTCTGGTAACTCTCCCCTATCCTTGGAATTTTGTGCTGAAAAATCTGGGGAATGATCTTATGGAAAGCACAAGGCACAAGAAAAACGCTGCATTGACGTTGCTGTGCTGCCTTGCCAAAATCCTGGACCAATGCTAGCATCCTTGTAATTCCATAAAACCATTTTGTTGTGCTTGATGCTGTCTAGCAACTGCTGCTTGGTGAGTTCATTGGGATGTTGCTCCAGAAATTGCTGAAGGAGCTTATTGGCCTGCCGATGCAAACATGCAAACATGGAAAGGGTCAAGTAATCTCGCCCCCCAAAGACTTTGGAGGGGCTTCACAAACTGGTGTTTACACGACTTTAAAGGTATCTCACGAAAGTTGGTGGAAGACTCCAGCAAAAAAGTTAGCAGTTAGCAGTTAGCAGGGTGAGGTCCTGGCAGGACAAATCCAAGATAATCCAAGCTATCCCTGATGCTACTCATGTTGCATCCAATTTTGCTTCACTGCTTGTGTGCATCAGGTCCTTTCTCAACTGACCTGCATCAACTCTTAGTCCATGATGCTCTCACGCCCTTTTTTGCTCACATTTGCTGAACTGTGCCTATGCGGCTACGCTTGTGAGGTCTCAAGCCTCACTCATAGACTTCTTCGCTGGGGCCCAGTCGCAGAACATGTACTGGGATTTGCACACCATCTCCTCATTTCTACTGAAGTCAAAGATTCCTTTGTGAGCAGGATGCTCGGGCTTCCCCTCGCAGTCTGCCGGAATCCATTTGGCGGGAACCCAATCGCAGAAAAGATCCTGCCAGTCACACACAAACTTCTCCCTGCTGAAGTCGCAGATGCCCTTGTGAGTCTCTTTGCCTGGCTTCACCCTGCAAATCCATGCAAATCCCCTTATCTTCACCTTCAGAGTTGCCACCCACCGACTTCACATGTTGGGAGAGGTCGCTAGCACCTTGCAAGTCACGAAGCGCCCAGCAAGTGGACACTGACATCACAAGAAGGACTGCCCGCATGGCCATAGATTTGACAGGTTTAACGACGAACCCACGGCACGACTGGCTAGTCCGGGATGAAAGCGGCTACATAAACAATGCAAGAGGGTGATTCTCACACGTTGCACAGGTTTGCTCTTCCCGGAAAGCAACACCAAAAAAAAAAAACTTTTTTAAAAACAAACATATCCAATAACCATTAGGCTGGAGCTGCTAACATGTAGTCGTCACTTTAGAAACTGGTTGCTGTGTGTGTGTGTGTCTCTCTCTCTACTTGCAGACAGAAAGCTCTCACGTATGCCACATTCAAGTGTGGCGTGTTTAGCTAAGAAACTCCATGGTTTCGGGAATCTATGGGTCTGGAACAATCATGTCGCTGGGAGACTGCAACAAACAAGTTAGCAAGGTTAGGTCCTGTCAGAAAAATCCAAGACAAGCCAAGCTATCCCTGATGCTACTCATGTTGCAACAAATTTTGCTTCACTGCGTGTGTGTGCATCAGGTCCTTTCTCAACTGACCTGCATCAACTCCTAGTCCATGATGCTCTCACGCCCTTTTTTGCTCACATTTCCTGAACTGTGCCTATGCGGCTACGCTTGTGAGGTCTCAAGCCTCACTCATAGACTTCTTCGCTGGGGCCCAGTCGCAGAACATGTACTGGGATTTGCACACCATCTCCTCATTTCTACTGAAGTCAAAGATTCCTTTGTGAGCAGGATGCTCGGGCTTCCCCTCGCAGGGTGCCGGAATCCATTTGGCGGGAACCCAATCGCAGAAAAGATCCTGCCAGTCACACACGGACTTCTCCCTGCTGAAGTCGCAGATGCCCTTGTGAGTCTCTTTGCCTGGCTTCACCCTGCAAATCCATGCAAATCCCCTTATCTTCACCTTCAGAGTTGCCACCCACCGACTTCACATGTTGGGAGAGGTCGCTAGCACCTTGCAAGTAACGAAGTGCCCAGCAAGTGGATAATGACATCACAAGAAGGACTGCCCGCATGGCCATAGATTTAACAGATTTAACGACGAAGACACGGCACGACTGGCTAGTCCGGGATGAAAGCGGCTACAGACAGAATGCAAGAGGGTGATTCTCACACGTTGCACAGGTTTGCTCTTCCCGGACAGCAACACAAAAAGAAAAAATCTTTTTAAAAAACAAACATATCCAATAACCATTAGGCTGGGCATCACGCTGGAAACTGATTGCTCTCTCTCTCTCTCTGTGTCTACTTGTAGGCAGAAAGCTCTCATCTATGCCACATTCAAGTGTTGCATGTTTAGTTAAGAAACTCCATGGTTTTGGGAATCTATGGGTCTGGAACAATCATGTCGCTGGGAGACTGCAACAAACAAGTTAGCAAGGTTAGGTCCTGTCAGAAAAATCCAAGACAAGCCAAGCTATCCCTGATGCTACTCATGTTGCAACAAATTTTGCTTCACTGCGTGTGTGTGCATCAGGTCCTTTCTCAACTGACCTGCATCAACTCCTAGTCATAGTCCATGATGCTCTCACGCCCTTTCCTTGCTCACATTTCCTGAACTGTGCCTATGCGGCTACGCTTGTGAGGTCTCAAGCATCACTCATAGACCTTCTTCGCTGGGGCCCAGTCGCAGAACATGTACTGGGATTTGCACGCCATCTCCTCATTTCTATTGAAGTCAAAGATTCCTTTGTGAGCAGGATGCTCGGGCTTCCCCTCGCAGGGTGCCGGAATCCATTTGGCGGGAACCCAATCGCAGAAAAGATCCTGCCAGTCACACACGGACTTCTCCCTGCTGAAGTCGCAGATGCCCTTGTGAGTCTCTTTGCCTGGCTTCACCCTGCAAATCCATGCAAATCCCCTTATCTTCACCTTCAGAGTTGCCACCCACCGACTTCACATGTTGGGAGAGGTCGCTAGCACCTTGCAAGTAACGAAGTGCCCAGCAAGTGGATAATGACATCACAAGAAGGACTGCCCGCATGGCCATAGATTTGACAGATTTAACGACGAAGACACGGCACGACTGGCTAGTCTGGGACGAAAGCGGCTACAGAAAGAATGCAAGAGGCACTGTAGGTATCCGTGGTAATCGCTTTGTACAATGACAAAGTCTCTGCTTCGACTTGTGAGCCGAATGCTCTGCCATGCTCTGCCTCTTCATAGCTGGGAAATCCGGAGACACTTCCGTGATCAAGCTTTTCCTTCAGGGACGGACTAGACTCAATCTCTGGAATTTGAATTCGACGGATGGTGCTTTGGAACCCTCAATTGCCGCAGAGCAACATAACATAACACAACATCACTGGATTTTGCGAAACATCCCATCACTCAAAATTGTGTTGCATCGCATCACACCGGATCACCGTGTCAAATCAAGTTGTGTATAGTGTCTTTTTCATTATTTTTCTATAGAAATACGGACACATTGAGTTTGGGCTGGTGGAAAGAATATCAAAGAATTGACGAGAACTGCGAGGCTTGAGGCAAGCACTGTCCAAGAGCTTTTCGAAGGCAGTGCAATGAACGCCAGGAAGGCGCAACACCTCCAGCTATCTCCAGCTGCAGCTGCCAGAATTGCAACGAAGATGGCTTGCAGCAAGATATACCAAATATATCCGAATACACCAAATTCTCGCGTCACCTTTAGTGTCCTAGTATCAAATGTATCAAATATAGATTCATACAGATTACACATATGTTTGTAGGATCATCATTCCCTTCAAACTGAAATTCGGCGGAAAAAACAAACAGCACGCTTTGCACCTCCAAAGCATCTTGAAATCTGGCCGCGAGCCATTTCCAAGAACAATCTGAAGCTACAATGCCAGTTGTGCAGCTGTGCATCTGCATGAGTACGTGTCCGTCTGACCCTGCTTGTTGTGTCTTGAGAATTCAAGACAGCCTTGCTGGGCGATCCAAACATAATTATGCATTACGCCTGCAGCATCTCTCGATCTATAATCTATAATATTGTATGAACATATATAAAGCATATATATCATATATTGTATGTATGTATGTGTGTGATTACAGTATATGTGCATGATATAGACTTAGAAGCGAATGAAATATGATAAAATATCTATATAGTCGTAGAGGCACGATGAGGTTCGGATCTCAGTTTCCCTCAAGGCAAGTTGAACGTTGTCAACCGTTGTCACTATCGCAATCCTCTCTCAGAGCTAGCTGTGTTCGAACCAAAAGAGATCTCTAAACACAATATTATGTTACAAGTGCATCGGCAGCTGCTGAAACAATGCAGTGAAAGCATGTTTCACTGGTCTTTGTAGACATCCATGTTCAAAGGAGGAAAGAAATTTCAAGGAAACTGTTTGGTGGAAAAGGGGACACGGAAGCAAACATCACAAAAGACAAGATACAAAAAGAAGCATCACATGCCAACCTTTTTTTACCTTCGTATGACACGATATGCGCGACACGATATACCGTTTCTAGCCAAAGCCCGTGAAACTTCTTGACGATGCCGGAAATTGTGCGAAAAAGAAAAAGTATGGTGCAAACGGGCCAACAACGGAAACATAGCGAAAACAAACGTTTAAATCGTTTTAACATGTTTTAACAACATCCAAACCTTCAAGCCCTGACTGCTTCGAGTCCACCACAGTCCACCCTCCATGGCTCAAACTGGAATCTGTTCTGAACCCAATTTCACGGGATTTGGAATCTCATGATTCTCATGATTCTCATGAGTCCGAAGCATTTCAGAGCTCATGTCACTGCATCGAGATCTGGCCTCAGCTGTGGAGACCAACAAAGTCTCTAAACTAACTACTTTGAAAACCAGAGAATGTGTGCCACTGCCAAAACATGTACTGATCCTAGTGTCATCAATTTAAGGGAGTTCCTATCACTCCACATTTTGGGAGCTCTTTTTTCGGCGTGCTATGGCTGCCATGGCTCTTCAAAGCACCCTATAGCTTGTCGGCTTGTCGCAGCAAATCACACACGTTTGTGAAGTGACAGCGGACTATGCGTCCCTTCATACCATCGTTTGACCCATGCTCATGTGTATCAGTGCAACCATGTGCGAACCAGCGGCTTCGGGACCGTCAGTGGACTGACTGGCCAAGCTGGCCAAACTGGCGTGACTCTGACTCTGGAAGGATTGAGCAGCTTTGGTCTTTTACGAGGTCGCCTGCATGAAACTGCAAGCTGGGTCCAGGTTTAGACCCATGAATCATGAGAGAACAAGCTCTACACAATCACATCGTATATGTAATAGGTATAATGATATGATATGATATGATATATGATATATGATATGTGATATATGATATGTGATATGTGATATATGATATATGATATATGATATATGATATGTATAGTCAAATGTACATGTATATGCACCTGTATATTTATTGTACAATAATGTATAATATACATGTATGCGATATGCGGTATGCATACATATGCATGTGTATGTAATGCAATGTAACGCAACGCAACGCAACGTAATGTAACGTAATGTAATTTAACGTAAAGTAACGTCGTTTCACGTAATGTAAGGCAGGGCAAGGCAAGGCAAGGCAGGGCATTGTACTGCTCTGTGGAAGTTCTGTTTTGTTTGTTTAATTACTTATGCACATATGCACGTATGTCCGGGTGCACGTGTGCATGTATGCATGTTTATCTCATAAGATTCCTATTCATATATATATATATACTACATAATGATCAGAATCATAATGTATTGATTCCTGTCAGTGGCAATCTTCTTCCTCCAGTCAAAGAATTGCAGCAGACTTGCAGAGACAAATTAACTCAGGAGCCCACTGCCAAGCGTCGCTCCAGTCCTTGGCTGGGAGCAACCCTGGCAACTTGTTTGATATCTCAAGAATCGGGAGAGTATGGAGAGTATGGAGAGTGCATTTTTTCAAATTGTCTGATGTTTGTCTTTGACCAGTCCTCCGGGATGTTTTGTGACTCGTCCATACTTTTCTTCTAGTTCAATGTCTTGATAAAAAGTCGAGTTGGAGAGGTCAAAAACATGGTTTTGTAGCCAGCCCATCCAGACCCGTAAAACCATAGAAAAACTGTCCAGATTGTCCAGAAGAGCCATTGGTCCAACCAAATGGAAACCCGGCTGCAAAATGTTCAAAATTTATATCCTGTATATCATTCCATGTCTAGCATCTGTGTCTCGGGCTCACAAAACTCCAGCTTGGGAATGGCGTCAAGGCAGCGTAAAGGACCAAACAACATGTGCCAAGGAATGGCACGGGCGTCCTATAGTAATCCTGTCTCATGTCATGACAAATCACAAAAGCATCTCATATAATTATTGTATATTATTGTATTCATCCACATTCATCCTATTTGATTGTTGAGGTTTCATACGATGTCAAGAAGTTTGCATGAAATAAGATCGGAGCTTGGTACCAGCCGCCAGATTTTGTTGTGTATCCGATCCTGCATTTTTCAGGGATGTTCAGCGATGTTCAGGGCTTGCCGGGCTTGCCGCGCTCATGGATCATAATTGGGTTAGCTTATAGCTTTGGGTGGGGTCGTTGGCTTGGAGATTGGACATTCCATGAGACCTCACGGTGGCACCGGTGGCTAGTGGTCTAAACTTTAAGCTGCCTCAGGTACGACGGTGCAAGGTGACCCTAGGAGTGACCCCAGTGACTCTAGGGATCTCTAGGGAAATGAAAGGAAGCAAGTTATACAATGCTACACAGCTCCACCGGCAGTGTGGTCCTGCTGAGATGAAGTGGCTGATTTCGAGGCCTTTCCAGGCAAAGGACAACGAATGTTTCCAGTCATTCCAAAATCATTAAAACAAACATAGACACACCACAACTCTTCAACTATCAGATTGTGCAAAACGCACATTGTCAGGGTATAAGGCGGTATACCGGTCTCTGTGACTGCATTTGTTGCATTTCTTGCTCTCGTCAATTTGGAGGTCTGATGCGGTCTGATACTTGGTACACGTTTGCATGTTAGCTGTTAGCTGCACTTGCTTGGTCAGTTTTTGAAACAGCTGCACTTCAGACTCTCGAGCTGCACACGTACTTCTCCCTGCTCGCATCCAGATTTGCTAGGCCTGGGAAATCAAGATATGTCTGCAAGGTTCTTCAAGATCCTCAAGATCTTCAAGATTCTGCAAGTTGCAATGCGCTGCAGGATTCTGCAATGCCTACACGCCCTCTTGGTGAGCAACCTAGTCAATGACTACTAGTCAAAGGATCACAAAAATATATAATTTAAAAAATATTCAAAATATACTGAGTATATCTGAGTATATGAGTATATATATATAAGATTATATAAGAATCATGGAGAATCATGGAGACACAAGATGATCAAGATGACACGACAAAATCTGTGCGGCGTGTCTTGGGCGAATACGGCAGCATGCATGTTTTGATGCAGAGTGCCGCCGCAGAGACATGCACCTGAGCACGGACTCTGTTGTTATAGAGGACCAAGGCATCATTACAAAATATTAAAAATGAAAAAGACTCTCAGGATCTCTCAGGCATCACCTCGAATGGGACAAATCCAGTACCGAATCTGAAGGATACCCAAATGGATTCCAAATGGATTCCAAATGGATCCAAAGTGTAACACTGTGGATGCACCTGGCCCAAAGGGAACGTAGTGCACTCCAGCCATGTTGCTTTGCGACATGCGCCTCCTTGCAAAGGCTTAGTGCCTCGAGATTGGCCACGAGTTCCACTGTTCAGCAGCCCTTCAAATCTTGCAAGCCAAGCATGCATGACCTTCGTCTTTCAATCGGAAAGTCATGGATGTGATTCATCCAATTATTGGATTTGCAAGTTTTTCAATTTGAGTTCTTGTAAGCACGGCTTTCTCGGCTTCGCTGATGCCTCATCAACAGAAGTCAAGCTTCTGGAAGTCAACAAGCGCCCGGTGCATGCTCGAGCATCTACCTCCCAACAAGCGCATTACTGCAAGCGTGATGATGCAGCAACTTCCCAGGCATGTTAGGCACTTTTGAAGCATAAGGTTCAAGTACAACAATTGATACATTTTTAGGTCTCGGGATGAATCACACTGACACTATTGCAAATACACTTGTTACATTGTTCTGTGCAACAAAGACCATAGAATTCCATCTGTTTCAAGTCTCAAGGAGTTGTCAGGAAAAGACCCTGATTTTTTTAAAGTGAACATATTTTGAGAAAGCAAATCTGTCAGGCAGTTCTACGTCGCTACTACGTAACATGTTTGTCCATCACAAGTTCTCCAGGCCAGAGGGCTCAGGGGTGAAGTGAACTTGCTAATGACTTTTTCTGACACCAAAACAGTCCAAAACCATACCGTGCCACCACAACTCAACAAACGCAAGCCACTTGCATAGCACTATAGCCGCTGAATGCCGTTGACACTAGCATGAGCATCCCTGAGTACGAGGATCTGACCCGCACCCGAAAGCGCCAGGCTGATTCCTGCGAAGTCCAACTGGCAAAGTCTGACTGTCTGATTTACAGGATTAACGGTCTGATCGGGTGTCAAAAAGAGAAACACTACTCAAAGCCACATACTGAATCAATCGGAAACAATCTGAATCCATCTGAGACATACTCTTCATACTTTTCATACTCTTCATACTGCCTGCAGTCGAAGAATGCCCTGGGGCAAAGGAGGTGCAAGGTCTCCGCCTCGCCCACCTCGCAGGTTCGAATGCCCGTGGGACACAGGAAATTTCAACGACATGTCCGACATGTTTTCTGAACCCCACCATACCCCAAGTGACCCAAGACGTGTCACGACGAAGATTCAGTCGCTTACGTTTGTTTGTCACCGGCCTGGTGTAAACGCAGCACGGAAAATTTGATCAAATGCTCCAGGCATTGCCTCAAGATCCAGTGCTGAAATGAAATCAGGATATAAGCATGACAAAGTTAAACTTAAAGTATCTTAGATCATGTTCAATGTTGTTAAAGTCTCAAAGAATAACAAGGCGAAATGGTAAAGGCCACAACTTCCACAGCTGATTTTGAAACTAAAGCAACAAAATCCAACAAGAATGCCACCTTTGCGACTGGAAATCCCGTGAAATCCCTATCTACCATTCTCTACCGCCGTCTCCGGACCTCCAACACTTGATGCAAATCCGCTAGCAATTGCCTCAGGGTGGACTGACAACGCTAACATGGACTCGCTATTTGCGCCATATTTGTCCTGTTTGAATAGATTTCTCCAAAAAGGGTGGATAACTTTTCAGCAAATGCGAAGGTGTTGCAGCGTGTTCCATCTCTTTCCATCCATTTCTCTTTCGCATGGAGCGCACCTCAAATAGTCAGCGTCCTGGAATGACTTTGTGCACCTGGCAGTGAGGACTTGACAATCAGCAGATTTCATCACATCATGGCTCCATGGCACGTCATGGCACGTCATGGCACGTCATGGCACGTGATGGCACGTGATGGCACGTGATGGCACGCACGAATTCTGCATAGCCTTGAACTCACTGTGATGCCGTTCACCGTGAGACGGGCAATGTAGCCCATGCTGTCCCGGCCGACCTGAGCAAGATTCAGCAAGTAGCATGGCACAGAAGCAAAACCTGCCCTGCATAAGCATCATGTCACATATATATATATATATATACATACTATGTGCATGTATACAATGAGTGCAATGATACTATAATGTAGCATAATGTAGCATAATATAGCATAATAGTATCAAAAGACAAATACTGTATATGCAAAGAATCACAAATGTGTCTTTATCATCATTTAGTTGGATTGAATGATGTATCATGCATTCATGTGAGTCTATGTCGATGTGGATATATCATGATATACAGTATCTGGATGTATCCGGATCCTTACTTTGAGTCCTTGACACGAATCGCGGACACTGCTCCAGTGCCACGCCGATGGCGCTTGGACTGTTTGGACCAAGTTCTGTAGCCCCTTGAAGCATTGCACCTCTGCAGCAAAAGAAGTCGCCAATGAAAAAAATGCATCATTTTTTGTCGAATGTCAACGAAATGTCAATATGTGTATATAAAGTCACCATATAAAAATCAATGGATTTGATGTTGAATGACGTCAGGAGGTATTGAAATGATGTCAGCGGGGCAAAAGGACCAAGATGGCTTGGCCACACTTCAACAAAATCAAATCTGAGGACGGAGCAAAGATTTACCTCGCATAGTCAGAACATCCAGTGTAGCACAACATAATCAACATAGGACACAGATGGACACAAATGGACACAGTTTCAAAATGTTTCAAAGCTTCGAATCAAAATGTGCAACTCACGTGACTCGTGTCACGTCCTCCATCCCACTGGCCTTCGGGAATTGCCGATCTTTTCTGGCAAAGTTCTTTCCACCGCGCCACCTTGCAGCATTCGAGCATGGGGTGCTGTGGCACTGATTCACATTTGAACCGTACAAGGAGATGCATATATATAATATTATATATGTACACTGTATATTATATATATACTGTATATATATAATTATATATACATATATACTGTGTATATATTTGCATAATAATACAATGAATCATAATGATGCAATAATTGTTACAGCGTTCATATTTTTTCCATCAATTTCCATCGTGTTCGTCGATGACGTTGTCACTGCCCTTCCCATTTCCCCATTTTCCGCCTCTCCATGCTGAATGAGGGCAGACCTCAGCTGCATAGACAGCAGCTCTGCGGTTTGAAGCCGCTGGTGGCGAGATAGGGCGGCAAGAAGCGCCTGTCAGGCTGGCCATGGGATCAGGCACATTCAGGCACTTATGGATCTAATGATCTTATGGCACTTGATGCCCTTGAGACCTCTTGAGTCACTCAATGTGCTTCGATCAACATGGTGCAACTGCAAACAAACGGAAAAAAGGGGGAAAAACTTGCTCCTGCAGCTGTGCCAAGCCGCGGTGCAATACCTGACAAGGCAAAGGGAACAAGGGGTAAGATCGTAAACACGGGGAGACCATGCGATGTATAGGTTGGTGCAAGGATTACAAAGTGAATATTTGTCCGGCAGTTTACAGTTGCCTTGTTGTCAGTTTTCAAAGGTAGGGCATTCTTCGCATAAACTTCACGCCATCATTCTGGGAGACAAGCTGGCAAACAGTACAACACCCATGCTGAATGTTGGACCACCTTGCTAGGATACATGCTGGGAGATAAGCAGAAGCTGGAAAACAACAACCAAAGGCTCCAAAGTTGTGGCTTGATCAGGTATGAAAGTTTTGACCTGTGGATAAAATATCACGATCTCGAATTACTCACTCAACTCGGGGATTCATGAACTATGTCAGTCGTCAATCACTAATCCATTCAATCAACTCTCATGAAATCCCTCAGAGAATCACTCAGTTTGATCTAATGCTTGCATCGCCAAACGGCAGTTCTTGGCCAATTGTTTGTTGGCCAAACTTGCATTTTTTGCGGGTCCCTTGTGGTCCTTGCGCGTATCATAATCCACTTGAATGCTCTCGGGAAGTAACAAAACTGCATCAAAGTGGGAACAATTCTGTTTGGTGAAACCTTGCGGCGAAAAAGCGACGCAAAATTGCCCCTGCAATTCAGTTGGGCCTAAAGCAATTATGTTGTGTGGGGCTATGGCGTTCTCTAACCACCTTTGCTTGGTGGACTGCCTTTGCAGAACTTGTGCGAACATTTGTATGCAAAGTCACTAAAATTTCATAACCCTGAGTCTTCCTACAACAATCTACTAGCAATTCTACAGCAAAGCATGACATACGATGAACCATCAACAAAATGAACTTTAGCAATTCTTTACATAGCCAGTGAAACAAATTAAAAAACAACTTTCAGGAACTCGAGAAAGAAATGTGGAACACCAGTGACCAGTGACCATGGTCGTAAAATCCTGGCAAGGACCTGTAGATCAACTCCCCAAATCCTCATTCAAATCTTATATACCCATTCAAATCCGCTGTTTAAATTTGATCTGCTCTTGGATTGCTGCATTGTTCCCCAAGTCAGCGATTCTGTGAGGACATACTGGCCAAGGCTTTTGCTAAAACACTAAAGCGGATTCTGATCCCATGGCCAAATGTCAGCTTTCAGATTGCGCCTTAGCTTGAATGTGTTTTTTTGAGAGTTGCATTTGGTTGCGCACCATTTCTCCTGGCGACAGAGAGCCCGCAGAACAAGCCTGGTTGGAAAACAGTCTGCACCGGTCGCCCAGCCTTCACATCATCATCCACATCCACATAGGCATTCGCATTCCTTGGTAAAGCAGTAGAAAGACGCAATCCCGTTTCAGGTCCGGAACATTCGCATTAGAGGCCATCATGAGGCTGTTTAGCGTGGGACTACATTGTTAAAATCATACACTGGGACAATGAAAGATATTAAATGCATTGGAAATCATTGAAATGCTGCCGAAAGAAAAAACACAGAGCCAGGGCGCGCATCGGCTCACACATGCACTTGCTCTTGTCCTTTTGGCTCTTCATGCTGAGGAGCTTAGAGCCATTGCCTTGGATTGAAAGAAGTGGAAAAATGATGAAAAATGTGCTGACATCGCTTGCTGCTTTCATCTGCTTTCAATATCTTTCAATCATTCCCAGATATTCCCAGCATTCTACTTCGGCATGAAGTGATGTCATACCGCAACGATCCGCAACGTGCTTCCGTCTTGGCCAGATTGCTTCAGCTCATTAGTTGAATACGATATTGGCCAATTCGGGCAGCCCCAGAGCTTCCGTCTTCATCCGTCTTCCAGCATAGGAATGTTTGACCCCTTTGTTTAATTTGCAGATCTACATGGGTCAAAACAGTGCTATTCTGACTGAATTTCTGACTTGTTTTTTACTCAATAAGTTTGTTTTATGATTTTATATTTTTTTGTCTTGTTTTAGCTGACGGACCGTTTACCGTCCAGCGAAATGCAACGTTTTTGTGCTTCCCGTGACCAGTCATGTCTTGTTACCGTTCATGTGACCTTGCTCATGACATGAAGTTGGGGTGGGGTGGGGTGGGGGTGGGGTGGGGGTGGGGTGGGTGGGGTGGGGCATGTTAACGTTCGTTAGAACTTGCACATGACGTTGATGCTACGCGATGAACCTTCGTTAGAACTTGCACATGACATTGATGCTACGCGATGAACCTTCGTTGTAAATACCCAGATCACAGAGCAGCAAAAAATGCCAAGCTGAATGACATGAAACCAAACCATGATTTTTTGATGAAGAAATTCTGGTTCCGCTTAGGCGAAACGATCATTTTTATAAAAACACCCGGACGGTAATCGGGCCAGCGGGTTGTTTTAGACTTTGTTTTACTTTGGTGGCCCTTTGAAGGTGTCATCTGAGTGCGAGGCATAGTGAGACTGTCTCGTAGGCAACAGAGTCCAAGGCCTTGGATGTTGATGTAAGATGATGTAAGAGTAAGGACAGTAAGGAGCACTGCTTTAGGCAATCAAGCAGAATTAAGCAGAATCTCACTGCATTATCAAGCATGATCAACCATTGTCAAACATGATCAAACATGCAGTCAGGCAGATGTGAAATGAATGTATGCGCGTCAATATCATCCAGCCGAGCAGATTGCGACCAAGGCAGAAGTTGTCATTTTGATGAGAGCCTTCCCAGAACACTGGTCTGCATTGAAAGTCAAAGCGCTGATAAATATCACAAATAGCCAAGAAATAGCCAAGCAATGCCAAGAATTAAGTTGGAGAAAGATGAGAAAGCAGAAGTTAAAAGTGCCACAAGTTCGAAAGCTGGAAATCATAGGCCAGTGCCTTGCGGCTAGCAAAGTCAGACTGGCTTGAAATGAATGGCTGCCGCATACAAGGAGATTGACTAACATAGTCTGACACTACAGTGACTACAGCTCAAGTGACTGCATGGACAATCCGTTTTTTCCAAATGGTAGCAAACCAGACTGCCCCGTTGAGACAATTTGAGCCCATCCATCGCACACAATTGCACTTCATGCATTTTGACTCACTTGCTCTTCTTGGACTTGTCTTTCTTGCTCTTGTCCTTGTCCTTCGCCTTACAGCAATCATGTCGAGCTGCAACTATCACAAAATATTCGTTGGAACAGAAAGAAACATGCCAGCCAAAATCTTAAAAAAGGAAACGGAGAAGCAAGAACAAAGCTGGCAGTCAAACAAATCGACATCGTAACAACGGAGTCTTCAGTCTTTAGGATTCTAAGAACGGCACTGGTGATGTTGATTGTTCTTGGGGCAAGCCGAAGTCTTGAGGCATGCCAGGGAATAGACTTGGAGGAGGAAATGGCCTCGAGAACAAAGAAGATCCGAGGCAATTGTCAGGAACACATTGCATCTTCAACACAGTTCCTTGCCTTTTCCACACCAGGCTTTGCAAAATTCAGGAAGGGATTGCATTGATGTCACTATGAGCAAGTGTCAAATTTCAACGTGGTGAGATCGTGGTGAGTCAGTGTGGATCACTGTAGATCACCTCGAACTCTGCTGGGCATCGTGGGTCCACCCCAAGCGAAGTGTCAAGAAGTTGTGCCTCTTCAGCGATCCATCAGCTGGCTTGCCAAGAAGATGAATCTTGACTAAGGGAGCCTTGCAGGGGAAGCGTCAAGAAGCGTCAAGAAGGGTAGAGGCTGCTTTTGAACTGCAAGTTTGTTCTGATTTTTTCTGATCATTCGATCTGAAGCACAGACGCGATCTTGGTTACCGTAGGACTCCACTACTCTGTAACTATAGGCATTCCCAGCTTGATATATCGTTACATCTTAATATTGAAGACATATTGGATATCTATATATATAATCTATTATAATCTAATATGTATATTAAATTAATATATATACTGTATATATATAATACATATTATAAGCGTGTGTATTGGATGATATGAGTTCGTAGGCCCACCAACGGGATGAGTCGATGGGTGGTATCATCTGATCTGGGGCAGGCACCTCCATGAGTTGGATAGGCGCCATCACCGCTTGAAATGCAAGCGGAGTGACATGGCCCCAGTGTACCTGCTTCGAGAATCAATTGCAGGACGAACCCAAAGTCTCCAAAAGTCAGAGAACGCCCGTGCTTTGTTCCATTGCTTGGATAAAGATGCATAAAACGATACCAAAGCGGCAGGAATGAGCAGGATGAAAGGGATCCGGGATTATTATTGACAGGCAAACAAAAAGAAGTTAAATATGGGAGAGGGAATGGAAAAAGGTGGAAAGACTACAAAAGTAAACTCAGCCAAGGACAAAAAGCAAAAGCACGGCATGCAATCCAGTCCATGCAAAGACATGGAAGGACACAATAGGACACAAGTTACACAAGTGAATGGTTGTGTGAACCATTGTGATGCCAAGGCACATGGATGAATGTCAGTACTATGCAACCGATGATGTGCCTTGGCCGGCTCAGTTGAACATCGGAAAATTCTCTGAATGCTCAACTTACGGAATACATCAGAATACCCAAAGAGTCCCAAAGGCAGAATGCTGGCAGAGCATATCTGAGCATATCTGAGCATGCAAAATGGAGAATTCAGCTCCCTACTGCTGCATCTGCTCCCCCCATTTGGATTCATCCTGAGTCTGTCCACTATGGACGGCAACAGTCTGCTGCTGAGGGGTAAATCGGAGTAACAGTATAAGATACATGTAGTATAAGATTCTAAGAGATTATAACCGTCTAAGACTCCAAGTTGTTCGCTTTGAAACGTGGAAACTCAGATGAGCTAAGAAGAGTGCGTACTCCTTTGTTGTCTGTTCCACTGCGGGCCTGAGTGAAAATATCCCCAGCGGCTTGACAGACACTGCGCTCAGGACTGTGTTTTGCTGCACCAAGTGATACCCTCCAATCATCGGCTCTCATCACTGTCATCCAATTACACTCTGTCTATGCATCTCTAGGCCTAGGAGGCCCCTAGTGTCACTCTGTGGTCGCTTCCAGTAGTCTAGGGTCACTTGCTTTACTTCAACACCCAGCTGGACTGTTGCAGGAACCTGGCCAGCACAAGACAAGATCTTGCATTAATACCAGACCTCTTGTATTGTCAAGCCAAATATCAAACAGCGCAATCGAGAACAGAAATCCCTTCAGGCAAAGCAAAACAAACAAAACCTGAACAAACAAACAAACAAAGAATAACAAAGATCACCAAGAATCGTTACACTTAACATTAAGTGACAATAAATACATGTGTGTGTGTCTCTTTCCAACATATGCAGATTGTGAAAAAAAACACGTTCCACGTCATCCCAATAACCTTGATGTTGTCCCCATCCGGCAAGGCGTTGATCTTGAGGCGGATCTTGGCAGGATGATGCAGGATGCATTTTTTTAATTATGTTTGCTGAGTTTGCTGTGACACTTTCTCCGATTTCATCCGGTTTTTATGGGTGAGCCATGTTTTGACTGGGTACTTGTCTGCAACCGGAAACAGAGCAATTCTAGTGAGCTCAAGTCAAACTGATAGGTCCAAGGATTCCCGCATAGATCAACAGGCACAGACCTAAGTTATCCAAATCTGAATCGATCAGATCCTGGCTTCCTGAAAATTCCTAAAGCAACACAGCCGCACCATCTGCAATGCCTGCAATGCCTGCAATGCCTGCAATGCACTCGTGGATTTGAAGTGTTGCCAGGTGCTGGGCAGCAAAGCTGAATCACACCATAGACGACCCGGAGGTGTACAAGGTATCTGCGGCACACTTGCAATGTCAAGTTTGATCAAGTTTGTCATTGTCTAGAATCTAGAACTGTCTGGAAGGCTAGAAGGTTGATTTTTATTGATTTTTGTGATGTCAACGCAATAACAGTCACGCACACAATCTGCGAGGCAATGTTTCAATTCGTGGCGTACCCCAACTTTTCAATGTCATAGTTCTGAAGAAGGAGCACCTTAAGTTCCCACACTTCCCACGTCAAGTTACCACGTTAATTCTATCGAGCCACAGATCAATTCCACTTAGCTCATGGAATATCCACAAGGCCAAAAATCATGTGGCTCCGAAGTCAGTGGTTTAGACCAGGCTAAGACCTGCACGATTCCCTGGCAGAGTCAAGCTGTGCATTATGCATTCAGTCCAAAATGTCCAAAACAAACATCAAGGCATCAAGGTTGACAAATGTTCTAAGGATTCTAAGGTCTGATTTCAAATCTGACAGGAGTACCAAAGGAGCCAATTGCGAAATTGGGCTGCCTGGCTGCGCTTGCTCTACAGCACTTGGAAACTTGTCAACCCGAAGGAATGAAATGTTGTTCAAAGCAGAAGCGTTGTCTGCCTCCTCCAATCATGGCACAAGCTAGTACTCACGCTGGAGAGACTCACACAAAAGGAGTTTTGGCCACAGTGACATGCAGGTCTCTGCAAATCAAAACCGTAACTTGTATTGCACGCGTTTTCTTGAATAGCGTTTGTTCATGTCTTGCTTCTGTTGGCCAATTTGCATGTTTGAGCCATTTGTCTTGCTGCCTGCGGTCTTTCTTTCATTCTGGCTATGCCACATCTTGTGCAAGGAGGTTTTAGATGGTTTTAGCACAAGGGAGGAAGGTCTGTCGCGGATAAAGAGAGCATTCCCACTCCAAAGAGGCATGGAACTCATAAACACGACTGCCCTTTGCACAGGATTCCACAGATCAATGTATCTTTTGCGAGTATGCAATTGCTGCGTTCCAGGCTACTTGCGCAAGGAACTTAGGCAATTTGAAATTTGAAACAAGTCCGCACTAGCAGCACCATTCTCGAGCTAGTCAACACATCCCTTGCATTCTCCTGCATTGACTTGTATCGCTTTCCAATTCTTTCACAATAAGACAAACAAATCACGAACAAGTCGAGCCATCTGTGACTCAGGCACCTTACAACGCATTTATTTTTGCATGTCTCACCAAATCGCTGTTGGCTATACATCTGTATAGCCGCTCCTTCGGAGCAGAGTCCAACTGGGAAGCTTCTACCTTTGCAGGCATCATTGTCAGTTTTGAAGGCTAAACAACTAGGAATTTTGGAGATTCTCAGCCCTAGGAGTCATTCAGACTGAATCGGGTTTTTGTGTAAGACATGTACATGCATCTGTGTGTGTGCACATGTATATCCTATTCATAAATGTGTATGATGTCTGCCTAGGCACAACGATGCCTCAAAATCAGCCAATACATACATTGCAGGAAATTGAAGGCCGCGTAGCCCTTTGGGCTACTAATCTGGATGAACCCCACTTCAAAGCCATCTTGACTTGAACTGAGTTCGGAAAATGGCCTGGCATGCTCTAGAACCAAAAACAGTCCCAGCAGCATGAAGCCACTCAATTGGTGTATAATATGTACCATGTCAGGAAGCCTCGGATTGATTCTCAATCTGAGACACGGATCTTAAATGGATCGTTCGTGGCTTTGATAATCGTGCGGCATCTGGGGCCGCTGAATTTGTGGCCTGTACAATGCTCAGTTTAAGCTCTCCTTCCTCAAGAGCGTTGTTTCAACCTCTGTCCGAGCATCAGAAACATCTATAGTCCCAAGTCGAAAGAGTTTCAAATGCGATAGCTTCGAAGTGCAAATCCTTCCCTTGGCATCTGCATCAACACTTTGCTCGAGATTGGTCCACTTAGGGTAAAACCAACAGCTGGGATACAAGGTATGGATCCATGTTGGCTGCTGGCCGTCTATCCTGGCAGGGAAATCAGTCCATGCACTGAAACTGCTCCAGCAAAGTACTTATAGATCAAAATTATCTAAAATGATCTTAAAGATTCTTAAAATAGATCTAAATAGCGGCATTTGTGTTTGCATGTTATGCGTGTGATGCATGTGATGCATGTGATGCATTTGTTTGTGGCCATTGCAACAGGACCTCGTAGTATCCACAATCCCGCATGGCCTTGACAGTGCTTTTGAAAGACCGACAAGAATCTGAGGGGAATTGAATATGTATGTTATATGCATATGATCGATTTTTATTATTACTACTATCATTATTACAATTCTTATCATTATCATTATCATTATCATTATATCATTTATATAATGTGTCTACACATATATATATATATATTATATATTATATATATATATTTCATATCTACATAGCTATATATATATACAATACATATATGCAATGATATGCAATATAATACATATCCGCCGACCCCTGCTGTAGCGGGGGAGCGCGTAAAAGGACTAACTTTTGTGAAGCAATTCGACAAGACATGTCGGGGCCCGGGGCTGGGCCCGATCCGTCCGTCACTGCCATGGTGTTTTGGTGCTGCGGCAGCGTCCTTGAACCTAGGGTGCCGAACGGCAGGTAAAGGCAAGGTTTGCAGCTAGTTTCTGGCTTGAGAAAGTGACGTTTGGCAGTCTGGGCTGCTTTGAGCCAACTCGTCCCAGGGGTCGGCGGCATAGGGGCGCCAGCCCCACTTATATTATATATATATATATATGTATATATATATATATATATTATGTATAAATATGTATAACATGAATATGCATGAATATGCCATTTCCACTTGAAATCACCCTGCATCTTTTCAGGACGTGGACTTACTCTAAGGCCCACTCTACTTTGCAGCCCATGCGTATGCTCGCTGCACGATCCCCAATACCTCTCGGCTTTGCATCGTAAAATGTACATAGAAACGCGGCTCACTACTGCAAGGAGCAAATTGCTCTCAAAAATTGAAACTGATTCTCATTGCTTGTCCCTGACAGGTCTGTCAAGTCCACTATGTCGAAATCAAGACATGTTTAAGCTTTCTGAATGGCTGCTGAACTGCAACACGTTGCAAACTCTTTTCAGGCGCACCCCAAGAAAAGTCACTCATGGCAGCTGTATCATGCTTTCCGGTTAGTCTGCGCTCATTGCCAATGCCATAGTTGGAAATGTGCTTGTCCTAGGCCAGATACACAATCAAAACGAACATTATGTTTCGATTGCGTTGAAGCTATCTGTTTGGTTTCTGAGGGCCATGTCTGACCTTCCCGTTTGCGGTGCTCATGGTGAGATTGAAAGCAGTAATTAGATTGAAGTGCATGCTACTCACTGCTACTCTTCAGTTCTGCAACAAGGCCAGAACGTGAGCCTGACGCAAGCGTTCGCATTGCTTCTTGATGGCTTCCATTCCTCCTGTGGCGACCAAGTGACGGGTCGCTAATATCAACACTCTGGGCTTGGCATTGTTGGAAGCATTGCAACAAAGCCAAGAACGTGCAGCTATTTCATGCTATTTCGCAGGGCAACAAGAAGATCAGCTAAGAAGCAAAAGTGCGCTTCAGGTAAGCAAGAGCCGCCAAAGACAGCGCAGTACTTCCAAGTCTATCAAAATACACAGTAAACTACACAGTGAACTCATATGTAAACATTATATGCATAACCATGATAACTAAAGATTAACACAGATTATATAACACACAGTAAATACATAATACATTAAAAAAATAGAGCAAGAAGCGACAAGAAGCGCTAAGCACGCGATGTCTGCGATGGTGATGCGTTCCTGGAGAGCTTCTTGTGGCCATGTTGGAGTAGTTTGTGTGACCTCGGGCGACCCAGCATATCTTGACGTGCATTGACACTGCGACAATAATGCGACTATGCACCTGCTGCACCTGGACTGAGACTCTGAGACCATTCACCTCAAAGTGTGTTCAAGCGCTGAGACACTGAGGCACTCACAACCAATGCCTGCTTGCTTTGGAACTGGCTTAGGATCAAAGGTGACCCCAACCTTGTATTCCTGCAAGAAGGGCAGATAGCAAGAGGCAAGTAGCTTGAAAATGATTACATGAAGAGACATGAAGAGACCTGAAGAGTTATGACGAGCAGCGAGAAAAAGAGCCATGGCCTTAGCATGCAATCAAGAGATATAAAGAGATATTTAGAGTCCTCGCACAGGCGCTGGAGAATGTAACGGGCCATCCACAGATCGTCTGCACCTTGCCTTTGCTGGTGAGGTGGTTGTAGCAAAAGCAACAGCTGAAGTGGGTGAAGTATGGTGAAGTATGGTCAAGTATGGCAAAGTATGGTGAAGTATGCAAGACATGCAAAGCCAGTTCCAAAATGTTCGAAAGTGTTGAAGTGATGGTCACTCATTCCACACCCTAACAATTTCATGGCAGTTGTCCAGTGTCCTGGGACTTGACTTCATTTCGTGGGGGCCAAAGAGGATCTGTATAGGTCTTTATCGATCTGTGTAGCTGTGTAGATCTGTATATATATATATATAGTGTATATATATAAGATTATATAAGTATGTAAAAGTAGCTTCTGGGAAGATCAAGAACCCATAGGAGATACCGGCTTGGATAGAGTCATTTTCATGGAGGGTTTGGGGCCAGCTGTCATATCTGGGCAGCGGAACAAAGATCTGTCAGTCAGTACTCAAGAGGAAAGAAATTGGGAAAATAGGGAACTACTATAACACCGGGCAGCACTCTGAAATCCAAATATCTTTTGTTGTGCTCTCTTCAGTTTCTTCAGAGCCCTGGTTGCCATGTCACGTGCCAGAGGCAGGACCAACTTGGAATTCCCATTGAGCTGGAGCTACCTGCGGACATTTTGCACATCGAAGGGTGGGGCTGATGCATCAACGCAGGGGTACCTCGGAATTGATGCCACCAATCATGACACCAGCATAGAGGCAAGCTCTGTAGTGGGCTTCGATGATCTCGCGAGCCACAACTTTTGTGGAGCCGACAGAGCAGTAGAATGCCTAAGACGTTCATGTTCGGTGAAGAAATCGAAGAAATGCAGGAAACACATGGAAACACATGAAGCACTTGGAGTCAGTCAAAAGCATTTAAAATGGCTCCGAAGCACTGTCAAAATGCCGCAAACTAGGAATCCAGGAAACTTAACAGTTCAGCACTAAAACAATTCTTACCAAAAAGTTGTAGATATATGTAACATTATGTAACGTAGATATTGTATTTGTTCAAACATGACATAAACTTGGAGGTTGCTGGGTTGGCAAATTCATGCAAATTCTACGCCCTGTCCCAAGCGATACCAAGTTGGTCGTTTTGCCAAGTTTTGCCATGTTATACAGTTGTTGTGCCAAGCATCGGTGTCTTTGTCTGGATACCTCCCTGCTGGCCATCCCAACGGCCATTTCGTCTTTGGGTCAATGAGGTAGTACTCTTGTTCAAAACCAAACCAAGGGTCCTGGAAAGACAAAGATGGACAAAGTACCGAGAAAGACAATGTACCGAACAAAGTCAAGACAAAAACCCTCACAAAAGGCCTTCTCTGGGTTTTGAAGTACCCAGTATGTACCAAAGGCTTTGGCAAAACAGATTCCATCATGCTTGTTGCGGACACACAGGTGGCAGCGCGCGGAAAACAACGCAGTACTCTTCAAGTATCACTTGTCAGACACGACATTTTTTTCAGGTGTTTGCCTCTCCGATTTCTTCAGCTTGCTGCATGGCCTGAATAGACAACAGCAATGAGCTTCATTTGTCTCGTGACTCTTGCTGGACAGTCCAACAATGGCGCTGAATGTTTAGCTGCAGGACAGCCAATGTGGTGCAGCCCAGGAGTTGCAACTGAGGTGCTGCTTGGCAAGCAGCACGTGCATTGAACTTGGTGGCCTTGCCATGGTCTTGCTCATCACCAGAGGGCTCCTGCACACAGGACCCGATCTGCATCGATCGAAATGCAATTCGATGGACCTTGCAGATACTTGAATCCGTGCAGAACATACTTTGGCAGCGTCATACCGCGTTTTGCCAAAAGCATTTGCCACTTACTGACCCAATGGCACAGAAATTCCACCACAACCAAAAGCTGGTCCTCATAAGTGTCGGCGAGAACAAGGACATTATCACCACCGCGGAACGGATCACGATACGTTCGCCGAGGGACAATGACAATGTCTTTGGCATCCTGAAGACAAGTCTGTATATGTCTGTATATATGCTGAGACATCTGAGACATCCCTTGCAGTATCAGAGGTACTGACGCACTAGAATCCGGGGATCAAACTCTGACATGATCCAATTGAGCCATGCCACATCTCCAGAATATGTCCAAATAGGTATATCATCCAAGGATATTGGAGCGTCTGGGAGAGTTAAGGTCTTGCAACACAGATCAAAGCTGTGGCCGTCCCAATAGTCTGAGTCGATCCAAACATACCTCAGACTCAGAATACTCAGACGCATCTTTCTAATTAAAAGATTTCAGATATTTCAGAGACAGGAATCAGTTGGAATCAGTTGGAATCAAGTGGAATCAAGTGGAGTCGAGAGGAATCACATGGAATGAGCACTCAGCTCAGCGCAGTGGTTGTGCCAAGGGCTCCACTCACTTTTGAAGGCAGCTAGATAACAAATGGGATCTTTAAGGTGGTGGGTATCTGACAACAAGTGAGAGACAAATGAATCTCAGCTCACACGATTGGCAACGGAAAACAAGTATTTTCCCAGCTAATACAGGAAACCAACCTGTCTGGATGTCCATGATAAGATAATATAGTACAATATAATGTAATATAATATAATATAATGTAAAATACTGTAATATAATGTAATATAATGTAATGGAATGTAATATATGTAATGTAATATAATGTAATATGTTATAATATGTTATAATATGTTAAAACATAATATATCATGATGATATGATATAATATAATATGATACAGTATAATATAATATAACAATATAATTGTAATGTAATTTAATATAATATAATACAATACAATATAATATAATATAATATAAGTAATTAAATATAATATAATATAATATAATATAAGATAAGATAATATGATATAATATAATATAAGTAATTAAATATATAAATATAAATATAAATATAGATATATAAAAATAAAATAAAAAAACAATATAATATAAGATGATATAATACAATTTAATGTGTTGGGTGATTATGTGCCAACCAATCACACTAATGGTATGAGACACACATCTCAACCTGCTGTGCATTTATTGCATCCATGTCTCACCTACATAGTGCATATGTGTGCATATCATACAAGTATTAGGACTAGGATGTATCTGATAGTTTCTGGAACGAGCGTAGTGGTCTTCTGGAGATGTTGCAGCGTTGAAGTGGAATTCCTGGAGGCTAAACAATTCATACTGCACATACTGTTGCTGTTGCAGTCAATCAAGCCATGCTTTCCAGTAGATATGCAGCCACTGATAGGATTCCTGGCACAAGCCTGGTACAAGTCTTCTAGATTCTAAGAGCTTTCAGGGCGACAGTGGTGCTTTGTTGTGCCCCACAATTGCTTGATCTTCCATCTGTATTAATTACATATAATTATATATATATATCACATCCATATGTTGGTGATGTTGTGATGACCAGCATATTTTTCGCATCAGGGCTCCACAGTCCAGGTCACAGAAAATGCGAAGCAAAGGGCACCAAGATGGACCAAGATGGGCCAAGATGGACCAAGTATATAGAAAAGGAACACGATGGAACAAACATTACCAAGTATAACAAGGGAAAAAACTGAGCTTAAGATAGAATCTATCAGATAGAATAAGCCTACAGAGCTTGGACTGAGGGGAAACCAGAGCTTGGACTGAAAAGCCCCCAGGTGACCGATTGATACCTTTGCCTACCAAGCCGAAGAAATCATGTGACTTTCAATGTGATTCAAACAAGTTGATGCAAAGCCAAAAAGGTAAAAAAAAAAGGTAATTAGGTAAACTCTTTGGACAAGGTTTGGAAAGACAATGTGCTTTGTTAATTACCTGATCTCCAGTGCAGCGGCACTGAATCTGTGGGAATGGATCATCGAAAAGGCCTGCAGCCTGCTTCTGCTGCGTCCTGCTCGCAGCCAAGGAACTCTGCTTGCACTTTTCCATGTTGACTCAATCCCATGTATTTCTCCGTCAGCGCATGGCTCAGGTGCACATCCTTTATTCCTGTCGGCCCAATTTGTTCTTTTTCTCGAGACGCTCCGGAGCCCATTGGAGCTTGCCTGGCAAAGTCTCACAAATGCGAAGTGGAGTCGGAAAAGAGAAGGCAAAGGTTGAACAAGCACAAACAAGTAACAAGTCCCAACATCTTAGGCTATACAAAGCTTCTCCAAAGCTTCCAATGGGCTCTCCAACAACTTCCTGAGATTCTTGGGCCTTCAGAATGAACTGACAGGCCAAAGGCTAGCGCAAAATCGACGCCAGGTACCCCCTCCGTGACATGGCCGTCTCAAACTGGAGCTTCGAAAGCTTGGTCCACAGGAAGTGATCAGTTTGAGTCCGTTTGGGTGTCAACTTGACTACATCGAACAACGAGGTTTGTTCTTCGGATCCAATGCAAAAGAGACTTCCGGGGAGAAACAGTCCAAATCACAAATCCTTATCACAAATCCGCCAAGGATGACTCTGACCTGTGGTAGCAAATATAGCAAGACTCTTTGATAAAGTTGAAAGGGATCAGCACCGTTCTCAATATGGATAGACCATGATAGACCGACAAAATCAGAAGACATGTGAAAACACCACAAAGTGTGTGAAACGCTGAATTTTCGTCTTGTGAGTCTTGTCTAATGTTTGCCCGAATACAAGGTCATCCAAGGTCATCACCTTTTTGTCGTGATGCAAAGCACATACTATCATACAGTCTACATGTGCATATACCAGTATGATTGTATAGTGTATATATATACAATTGTATACATACATGCAACATGTGTATATACATAGTGTATATATAATGTGGGTGTGTTGCGATTGTATACATATATAATTATTTATACACTAATATTGATATTACATATATACACATGTATATACAGTAACATGTTTTGTTCCCAAACATACTTTTGGCAAAGGTCACAAAATGAATCCTTTGAAGTCGTGCCTTTTGTCCAGCTGAAAAGGCATAATGACGAACAAAAAGATGAAGGGCAACATCAAATTAAAATCCAGGCGGCCGGTTCTTTCCAGAATAAAGTATAAAGGGTTTACAATTATTCAGTCTCACAAACTATCAGGCATATAATATTAGGTGTATATTCTATATATATATGATTATGTGTGTTGATTTTGTCTGTTTCGAATGCACTGTACATGAAGTATGTATGTGTGTGTATGTACGTGTATGCCGTGACAGTCCTCAACACTGCATCATGCTGCACAACGCAGGAAAACACGACATTGAGACCAGGGCATTGCAAAAATTTAGTGCAAGGAAACCGTGACATCAATGAGTCAATGCGTTGAATGGGCACAAAGAATCAGAAGTATTAAGAATTATGAAAATCTGGATGTGAGATCATCACGGCAATATCCAGGCGTGATGTTTGGCGAGCCGGTTTCAAAGCTTTGTCCTCAGCGAGCTCACTTAGTGAGCGTCTCAGCCCTAACAAATCCTCACAATAGTCAACGGAAAATGACAGCGGATTGCAGCACAGAAGACTTTGAAAGCCATCTCCTTTGCTGAAGCTTTCAGAATCCCTTTGGCAACATTGGCCAAGGTTCGAAGAAAGCAAAAGCCATCCACGTCTTCAAATGTTTTTCTACACATGTCTTCGACAAATGACTTTACAAAGGCGTTAGCCGTTCATTGTGTCCCAGTCCATTGACATAAACATAGACATCGGTACCTCACATAGACAGTACTGTACCAAAGAGTGTTTCTTGAAATAAATTGCCCGCCCGCCCGCTAAGTGTTATACAGTTATTGTCTGACAAGTAGGGGTTCCTTCATCCTGACCCATGCCCTGGCGTGCGTCCAGCTGAAAAAAAAATCTCAACAATTCACACTGAATTCACATAGAATTTCGACAATTCAAAGTGACAATCTCGTTTTGATATGTTTTGATGGGGCACCAAAGCGTGGCATAGACTGTAGCTCTACGGAACCTTCGAAGTGCCTCGGCAAAGAGGTGCAACTTGCAAGGAATCGAAACACCTTCATGACTGACATGTACCGCAGACTGGCAAAGTAACGTGGGCCGTGGGGGTGCAGCCCTGTCCATGTGGCTGGCAAACACAAGATAGAAACTCATGTAGCCAGGGTCCGTACATTGCTTTTGTTACTGTTCATTATCCGCTTTGTCTCTCGTCCTCTCCCACAGACGAAGGAATGCAATTGCCTGTTGTCCCAGGCCCTTATACAGAGCTCATCATTTAGCATCTTCCTATCACCTGCTTGTCGACACAGATCTCGGGTCCCTGTAGTCCATTCAATCATCTTCCAGTTTTCAGCTGATGACCTGTTTTGACTTGATGGATTGTTTTTGCAGTGCTTCGCGCCCAGAGAAATGTCAGCTTCTTGATCAAAGCAAATAACTGTTGGGAGCTTTATGTTCAAGAAGTGACAATTTGAAGGTACACACTGGAGCCAATTGGGGAAGGAACTGAGACCATCATTAGCCGTCAGTAGCTATAGTTGCGTTCACTGAGATCGCTTCGTCGCATAGAGCCTGCTCAAAGGCAACCTGGACCCAGACAACTTCAGTCTGTCGATCTCTGTTCAAACTCTTTTGAAACTCGTTGGTCTGAGTTTCATTTTTTGCATTTCCGGATATTTCCGTTTTTCTTAGGTTCGCACCCGCATCCAGAGCCAGCCAATGGCGCGCCGCATGAATCCCTTGATTTTGGCAGAACGCAGAACGTTTAAAGACTCTGAAAGACAACCCTTAGAAAGAACGAGGAAGTGTAAAATTTGTAAAATGTATCAAAGATTATCAAAGTGTGATAGTGTGTGAAACCTGATTGTAAATTGCAAAGCTGGCAACTGGGGTGCAGACATTCCAAAGCCCAGCCCATCCTTTCGGCTGTTAGTCTTGTCTTGGCCGCTTTGAACATTGATTGTGAAATCGAAGCGCCTGGTCAAGCCTGGGGTCTGCTGGGACATCCACAGATTTCCTCGACCTCAGATGAAGAATCTCGGCAGCAAATGGAAAGAATCTCACACCATTGTATACCATTGTCACCAATTTCACTTGCAAGACTTGTTTCACAACTTGTATGAGTCTTGCATGTCGTTATATCGATGTTTTGAGTCAATGCGCCATACTACGCCATCAGCCTGAGACCATACCTCACATCAATGAAGCAGCATGTCCAAACTCTGCTCCCAGCAGTGTCATCTCCAGCGGCTCAGCAGTGGTGTAGAGATATGACCTGCTGAAATCTGCTGAATTCAAACGAGACAAGGATGAGACAAGGATGAGACAAGGATGAGACAAGGAGTGTTGATACGTCCTCCACTTTGACCATGCTGGCAACTGCTAGAGTTCTTCCAGGAAGGTGCTGGTGCTTCCAAACTGCCAACACAGGAAAGGAGCCCATCAGTAGGCTCAGTAGGCCCGCCCTTTTGGACAGGATTCGAAAAGTTCGAAAAGGCACAAATCAAATAGCAAGATCCATATCGATCATTGATTGGTATGAACTCTAAGATGCAGAAAACACAGCTCTCAACTGCCTCGCAACGAAAAAGTTGCTGGCATGTCAGAAGACAAGGCTGTATGCGTCATTTTCCTAGCTGGCTGTAGGTTGTGCTTCTGGCCGTGTTTTGTCCCATCCCCCATCGACCATCGACTATATGGAACCTACTCACCCAGTCGAGTCCATTGGAGTCTTCATCCCATATCAAAGTTGCTTGGAGGCTGCGAGCGCTGTCTGAGTTGTGCACCAAATATGAGGAAGCTGAGCTTTGGGGATTCCGCCACCCTCGTCGGAAATCCGACAACAGCAGCCCTGGCAGCTCCGACAAGCTTAAGTCGTGACATTGTGACCTCTAAATCTAAACATGTCTGAACGGATTTGGCTTTCATGTTGAATCTGTTTGGATTGTCAAAATATGTCAAAAATCTTCGAGGAGTAAGGCTACTAAGCTTTGGGCTAGTTCGTCGCCACTGACGGCAACGTGGACTGGAGGCAAGCCCTCAGGGGACACTGTTCTTATCTGTGCTAAAGAAATCTAAAGAAGACTCATCTGGCCAAGGTGACAGCGACTCAAAACCTCGCTACATGGGCTACATGCGCTATATGGAGTCTAGTCTAGTCATTCTAGTCCCAAGATACACTATCCCAAGCACTTGATTTCAGTCTGCACAATTTTGCAGCTCAGGAATCTAGCCTTACGGGAAGGCAGCGATTGTTCCTTCAATCTGCGCTGCTTTGCTAAAGTTCCCAGATCACGCAGTTTATGCTGCGAGCAGGCTGGCATTGAGGTAGGTTTGGTATTACATGGTATTACCATGCATTACCAGTATTCCTTATGATTCCTTGACATGACCCGTATTGTTGACATTCGTTCCTGCTGCTGCATCGACCCTTCCAAGTTTCGCCCCAAGACCCAGCAACGCTTTGAAGCAGCTTCTGTAAATTCATGCTGCACAGCAACAGTGCAAAATCTGGACTTCCCGCGATGTCAGAATGCTTGGAATTGCCAGGGATTGCAAAGTAAAACCAAAACAAACCTGAACCCCCAAAAATGATTTCGGCTTCAAATACCCTTGTACCCTTGTACCCTTGTACCCTTGATCAATGGTTCCTCAAAAGCTTCAGTTGCCATTCAATCAGAAATTGGAACTGACAGGTTGCTTTTTGCATTCTTCTGGCCTCGCCGCCACACACACCATCTACCTAGATTTGCAAAACAAGGCAGCCAAAAGCAGTAGCAATCCACTCAAGGTGGTGTTTTCACAGTAGTTTGTTTGCGTTGTTTGTTCCCTGGTGAGCTTTGACAATCTGAAATCGGAACCAGGAGAACCAGGAGAACCAGGAGAACCAGGACTCATCGGACTGAATGATCTGAATGATCTGAATGATCTGAATGATCATGCTTTGAATCATAATGGTGATTGTATGTGATTGTGCTAAGAATGCTAAGAATGGCGCATCTGCATGAGGTGTGTGCCACTCCACGGTTGCTCGCACCTGGCCAGGTGATTGGATCCAGGCTTTGGAGTCACTGGTCCAAACTTGGGCTTTATGTTTCATGAGGTTTCATGAGGTTTCATGAGGTTTCATGATGATTCATATTCATGATATGTCTTCAAACAGGATTGGCAAACGGCGTTCTTCAGGAGCTCCGAAGCAATGTACAAGAAGTACTTGGGAATAAACGGTATCGCCTTGCAACGCCAAGCATGTCAATCCAACCTGCGAATCCCTCAGCTACGAAGTGAATCTCTGCATCTTGCCAAAGAGTGCAACTACTTTGTGTCCGATTGCTTGAACTGTTAAAGGCATGCGCGTAATACAAATCAATCACTGCAAGACCAAGCTGCATCAGGCCTCAGTCCCGTAATCATGAACTTCAATGGCCGGAGCAACACCATACCTGTGCAGGTATTATCAGTGCCGATACTCTTGATGAATACTACAAGCCAGCAAATGCGACTCTCATTTATATAGTTACTGTTTCAAACTGCGTTTTGTAGGACGCAATCTGAATATAATATACAATTAGACGGTATTAGATGGTATTAGACGGTACCGTCATAGTGAAAAGCAAGACGATTTCTCGGATTTTGTTACAGCTTTGTATGTGTGTATACATAGTGGGAACTTCTGTTTTCAGCCGCAAAACGCAAAACGCAACAAATTGTAGTGAAGTGTTGCATATCATTGTGGATGATGCAAATCAACTTTGAACAGGAGCAATCATAATGCAATTTAGGTCATGGGAGTGATGGGATGGCATGTTAGGCAGCGGAGATTTTCTGAAGAAAAACGTACACTGTCGAGTCCTTGTGCTCAAGCGGAATTAATGATTTGATACTGTGGATGTAGAGGGTATCTTTGTTTGTGTTTGATGTCTTGTTCTGGAAAATGTCTACAGTATGATTGAATGTATCATTGTTATTCCTGGTCCTCTTTAAAAGAAACATGTTTGGAAATTGGTTGCAAGCTCTACTGGGTTCTGCAGTTCTGAATTTGGAGGTCTTGTGATGAAAACGATTAGGCACCACACTAGCAGCACTAGCAATCGAGCATGTTCGAGCCTGAGTAAAGACAATTGCCTGACAATGGAAGCTGCATATGAAGCTATCCTGAGGCAACTTCACACACAAGGCTTCAAAGTCAAAAAAAACTGCACAGCAAAAATATGCAAAAATGCCGTCCTTGGTATATTGCACTGTGGATCAACCGAAGTCCTTGGGCAGGAATGATCGCAGCATGCTGATATTTCCAATGCTGAAACATGCTGAAACGACTGCTGAACCTGCTAAAGAGTTTCTCAACTATTCATGAGCAAAGATGCTGCGTCAGTGGCTAGTATGCGCCCATGTTTGAGGCTCCCTTTGCTAGTAGTGAATGAGGGAAAGTAGCATGTCTGACTCCATGAAGGTTCCATTGAAAGTCAATCATGTCATCCACCCATGGCAGCATATATATATATGCATATATTATACTATTCTGCAAAGGTGTCAAGTTTCAACAGTTTAACCCTCCCAAATCATGGCACGGCTATGATTCAGTGTCTGTCTACCCAAACGGAACACGCACGGGTCAAAACATTGAAAGCTGGGAGCGACATTCCTCTTGTCCCGCGGACTTACGTATCTTGCGCACACGGCTCGTGATGAAAAAAGCGGGAAACAAACGAATGCAGCTCCGCCAAGATGGCCCTGCCATCTGCCCCCAAGCACTGCCCTAAGTCCAAATAGACCTCCATAGACCTCCACAGTCTGTCCAGACAAGCCCATTTTGTTGCTAGAAAGATCTGGAAAGTTGGCAATGCAGCAATGCAATACAAGAGTGGTGCAATGCAACATTGCCACAATGGGAAATCACTTAAAACAGGAAAACCGCAAAAGATTGTGAAACAGAGATCGCAAAGAAAATTCCAAACAAGAAGAGAGTGCGCGGTGAATGCAGGTTCAAGCCACCAATCGGACAATCTGGCTGCTGAGTATGAGTACAATCAAACCACTGGTGTTGCTACTGAGTTCCTTCTCCAGCCAAGCGAAGATGCTATCACAGGGCCGTTCCAAGTGCTGCACTAAAGCTCACCAGGTGGACAGGATGTTGGACATACTGTCATACTCGTCATATCTCTGAGGATATCTGAACGCCAAATGAACTTGGAGTAAAAGGTTAGCCACCCTGTCATTCTGACTATCGATCTGAGAGATCACGCAACAAAGACGAAGATCGGAGAAAATATGAGAACATCTAGAAGCACCTCCAGGACAAAGAGATGCAATAAGGATGGGACACGCAGGGCTGCAACATTTTGGAACCATGACATTGCGATGACGCAAGTATCCAAAGTGATCTTTCTCTGCTGGCAAGCGAAAACGTGCACTGCTGGTAGATCAGAAGGCCCAGGAGTCGGTCAACCGAACAATTTTGGCAATGGCTCGATATGGCTCGATGATAATAACACATAATTTACACATAATTATAACCATTCAAGCAGTGCAGGGAGGCAGTGAGGATCAGCAAAAATAGGCGAGTCATTCCACAATATGATCCTTGTGCTGCCGCTGAGAAGGGTACTGACTGCAATCGCGTGAGTGGAGGTGTTGGTTTGTGGACATTGTCACCAAGACACCCAAAGAAAAGCATCCACAGCTGGGCAGAACCGCAATACAGCGGAGGGGACACAATTGAGTCCTTGTGTGTACATAATATGTTCAAACTATGTACAATATGTATGTATACGTTATGTACAGAAAGAAAGAGAGAGAAAGAGAGAATCATCCTAGCCATTGAAAGTTAATCACAGCGATTCCATTTAGACACCATGATCAGGTGGCAAACATCCCCAAGTGCAGAGTCGGAAACAACCCTGAGTGCTGTGTCCAGAACCTTGGCTGCAAATTTATGCAGGCGTAAAATGTTTCTTGAAATATCATATTATTCATATTCATATTATTAGTTATTCATATTATATGTATTTATATGTGATATTTTATGATATGTATTGATATGATTATATTATAAAATCCATCACTGTCCTGTAAGGACTGTCCGGCAGATCAAGGAAGGCTCCATCCTGGCAGAGAAATCATGTTGTGTGGATCTGGACAGATCTGGACAGATCTGGACAGGCATTGAAAGTTACAAAATTGTGTTTTGTAAGCTGGAACTTGCTAACCCTGAAGACTTGCTGAAAGCGATCCGCTGGTCAAAATCTCAAGCTCAGAGCCGGACTACTGATTGAGAACGGCCCGTTGACATCTGTGGACGAGAAACAGCTGATAAGAGCTGACAAGATATAACAAGACAGAAAAATTCAATCATGTTTAAATTACAAATAGTTCGGATTGTAGGTCCAACTTGTCACTTGTCAATCTCCTGCCTGAATATACTGGGACATCAGCATGTTGGTGGAGAGCCGCAACGAAAAGAACCTATGAATGGACAACAATGCATCGCTCAACAAGCCAGGCGACTCAAACAGGAGAAAATCACATTGCTGTTACTGCTGCAATCACGGTCCCCTATCTATCCTATCTCAAATAACGTCTCGATATGTTTCGAAATCGATGATCTCGTTGCAAAGTGGAATGGCCATGCATTGAGAGTCTGGCTTGTCTAGCCATTCATTGATTTCAAGAACCGAGAGTTCGGACGCCTCAAGGCTGACCGTAGCAAAAGTCGTTTCAAGATGTTTCAAGTGTCTAGGTTGGAGTTGATCGTGTTTCAGATGCTTCAGCAGTAATTCAAAGGACAAGTTGGACAAGCTCAATGATCAATTCGAACATATTTGAGCCAAAGTGTGGCAGCTAGTCGCACTTTTCTTCACAAGAGCTATTGAAGAGGTGAGCTTCACTCTGTGTTAGTCCTGAGCAGCCAAATTGGAGCCATGTGAGTTCGCTACTCTGGCTGCGGCAAACAAAAGAACAAAAAAAGAGCAAGAAACCACCATGGGAAAAAGGTTCAAGGACTGGGAAGAGTCTTAACCCTGGAGTCATGTGTGATACATATGATGAGATGCATTTCCATAGGCTTCTTGGTAGAGAGCATAGCAACATTGAGAAAGGCTTGAAAGGCTCTACGAAGGTTGACACAGGTTCACGTACTATGATTTGAGTTCGATGCACTTCGTTACTGATTTGTGGTTGTGAGTGTATTACGAGCGTCTGCCAAGGGTTTTGTCTAGGGGCCTCTTCCTCCTCTGTGCCCTCCACCCCGCGACGCTTCTTGCGCTGTTTGCGCTTTTCTTGATCCTTCATGATGTGCCAAATTATGATTCATGATATATCAGAAAGAACATGAAAGAACCCAAAATGACTGCTATAAGATCTATAAGTCTGCTATAACTTGCACGCACTTAATCATGCGAGCAAGGACTCTCCTGGAATTGACAAAACGCTACGCAAACCACAAGCGTCCTGCCGAATGTGGGCACGCATCTTCTCGGCCATCTCCTCAGCTTCGGCAGCGGAAACATGTGAAAAAAAAGTATAAAATAGTAAGGTAAGGATAGGTAAGAGTCAAAACTATGTTTAAAGGAAAAAACAAACGCATTTCCCACATTTCACATTTCCCAACGCTTGCATTCAAGGGGATGTCCTTCGCTGTCATGTTCTTTCCGAAGAAGTCAATGAACTTGCCGTTCTTTCCAACGAAGTAATGAATGATGGAGTGATCCACCAAATAGTCCTTCCGAGATCAAACAAATGAAGCTTTACAGGGATGCACATCTCGGAAAAAGTATGAAAAAGTTAAATCAATCATTTAAATCGGCATTGAAACAAAAAGTAAAAGGATGTTTGATGACTTTTGATGGCTTTTGCATGTTCCGCGCTGGGGGGGGTTCAACGCTGCCACTTTGCAGACTTTGCAGACTTTGCAGACTTTGCAGACTTTGCTGTCTTGCGCGGCGGACTCTGTAACAGTATACTCAGTAACAAATTTTGTCAAATGTAACAGTGAATGGCTCCAAGGCTCCATCTCTTGTGCCCAGGGTTTGTGTCCGGTTCATCAAGGGCAGTTTGTTTGTGCAAGCGATGTCCGTGCTTCTTGCGGCAATTTTGCGTCAAATGTCTAATCTGAGTCAAGTGTGCACTGACTTCCCTTTGGTGATGTCTCGCTGCTCTGTATTTTGCTCAGTTTTGCAAACATGCTTTGTTCCTATCTCCCTTCGTGCGAAGTCATGCGATTTCCTTTAAATACAAACATCTGCTCAAAACACTGCCGCGGTGCAGAAACGCCGAAGACAACTTGCTGAAAAGTTGAACGGCCACAGGCTGGCTGCTGGCTTAAGGCACTATATCTTCACATTTCTTCACCTTACTTTGCAATAGTGTCACCGTCTGGGCCTCGGCTTTTCCACAGTTCAACCTTACCCAGTGTGGATTACCTCTACCTTGGCCACAGACCGGCTCAAGGTAGTTGAATCATGTTGAATCCACGTACACCGATTCACAGTTTTTCTGTTTACCCTTTTGATTGTCAAGATTGCTCCTGCCTTGGCCACGGACGGACTCAAGGTAGTGGAATCCCAATTTCATTACAGGTGTCTTCAGGAAGTGCTTGTCAGTGGATTGCCTCTACCTTCGGGATTTTCTTGGGTGCGCAGAGAGAGAGAGAGAGAGATCAGGGTTTGCCGCCTGCACAAGCAAACGAAGTGCTTGGATATGACCGCTGATTGTCTGCTACATCCACTTGAGTTTTACAAAAACGATACAGTAGGCACTTTTTGAGTCACCATTCGTTTTTACGGCTGTTTCCTCGGATAGGCAAATAAAACATAATAAAACCTCGTTTTTTACGGCTGTTTCCTAAAACCAGGATGACGCTTCGAGGCATGATTGGTCAGGCAATGTGCTACTGCAGGACTGGAGACTAGAGGGTGCAGTGTTTGCCGACTGTATGTTCAACCTAGGTGAATGCATCTGAGTAGAATTTGTATCTTTGCTTGTCCCGGCGAAAGGAAGTCGAAGAGAAGTCAAAAGGGGATGGATGGCTCTGAAAGAGTTTGTGAGTTGTTGTGAAATGTCTTGAGATGTTGGGAGAGAGAGCACCGCCAGGGTACGCACTCATGAAAGTAGTCAGTGGGATTGCTCTCTGGAATATCACTGTACTTGGCACAACACAAGCCTCTGTTGCCTCTGTTTGACCAATACAATACGTCCAAAATCACCGCGAAGAAGCACTTGGCCTCTTCATCGGTTTTCAAGCCTTCATTGTAGTACACTCGGTATGCACCTAAGTGCATGCGCACAAGTGTGCATTGCTGCATGGTTGTATTGGCCGTGCGACTGAATCTGAATTATTGTTACCTACTCCATTTATCTCTGCACATATTATATATAGTATACATATTAAATCATATTAATATGAGGGGTGACTTAGGTCAAGTCAGGCCGATAAGAGGCAGACTGAACGGAAAAAAAAAAAACTCCTGATACTGCCAGCAGCACAGTACAAATGTTCGAACTTGGGTCTGCACGACTCACCTCAGCACTATTCGCAGCAAAAAAAACTACTCAAATGACTTCATGATCCTCCATGATAATCATGATATTACAATAATATTACAATATAATATATTATTACATGATCCTATCTGCATGCTTTGTCCACTTGGCGAGCTTCCTTGAACTCTCTCCCGCCTTCTTCACTTGCTCCGGCGTGCCGGTCAACCCGACAATCCGCGGGTGAAAGTCCTCTCTTTTTGCTGTGCCAGCAACTGCTGCAAGACTCTACACAACGCTACAAGTACGCATACTGCATAATACTGCATACCCTTTTCAATGCCGCCACATGTCACTATGTCAGTCACTATGTGTACACCAAGGGTAGGAGCCGCAACCAATGCCTTACAGTAGTCATCCACCAAAGCCGGTTTGTCCCGCTTGGGATCGACACCTGGCACCGCATGCCACGCATGCCACGCGATGTTGATTGTGATATCTTGTGATAAATGCAACGTGAACATACGTGAACATGATGCACAGTGCACTCTCAAACACCTTGAATGACTTGAGTGATTCAGTTCAAATCTCAGCCAAAAACTAATGAAAATTGGAGTGGCGATTGGGCCAAACCTTAGTTCAAATTTCTATGTGATTGGATGTAGTAGGGTTAGTAGGGCTGTAAAGGATTGTAAAGGGTATGTCTCAAACTTCATGACCGCAGTTTAGCAAAGCCTTGGTTTTCTCCCTTGAAGATCCTTGAAGTAGATACTCTGCGAAGTTCCCAACATACAGTTACAGAGTTACAGTTCTTTCTTCACGGATTCGTTGATTTGTCCCTGATCACAAATGTCACAAGATGTCACTGTCGTGTTTGTGGCAGTGTAGCAGTTTGCAGTTTCTCTGACTCTGGGATTGCGGCTCCTCATCAAGCAACTCAATAGCTCGACTCTGCTTCTCCATTTCCTGGGGCCAAACCAACATCTTTATATACTCAAAGTGGTTTCAGCTGAACATATCTCTCGTTTGATTCATTGTTTGGATTGCTTGATCGGTGTTCCAATATGTTCCAATTATATAGATGTCACTCTGTGGGATTCATCTGATCCTACTGCGCAAAGGAACAGCAATTAAAGCCATTCAAACATGTGAGTACTTCTGGTAGATGAGCGAAGAGTCAGAGCCCAGGAAAGTAGTATCACTATCACAAACAGCGAGAAACAGACATGCGGGCCATGCACAGATTGTGCCGCGCTTTCTCTTGACTTCTCAATAGGTGTAGCCAGCTGTAGCGTGGGAGCTGTTGAGCTACTCGTGTTTTTGTTTCAATATGTTTCAATCATGTAAACAATTTGAATACAGGGGCTGCCACAAGCCTGAGGACAAATATCAGGGCAAAATGTGAAGCCAAAGTAGATCAGCAGGTACCTGTGATCACTCAAAGGGATTTTGATGCATTTTGCTGTGGAAAAACTTGTTTGAAGGGACAAAGGCCAATTGATCCTAAATATCCTAAATGAATCAAAGTAAATAGAATCAGAAAGTAAGTGGAGCACTGACCGAGGAAATCTTTCTCCGTTACTGTGTTGCCTTTCCTGACCACATCATGGACGCACCCATCGCTGCAATGTCAATGTGTCCACTGTGTCCACTGTCCTGTCCACCAGCTCAAAGGGTCCACCAAGACGAGGCAAGCCAATTCGCTCCTATGTGGTTCCAAGATGTTCCAAGATGTTCCAAGATGTTCCAACAGTGAGTCTCCAAGGAAACTCAAACATCTACACTTCACAGTCATCATAATGTCATCATAGTCAAATCATGTCAAAACGCCAAAGCCATCCATATCCGTTGATGTCCGCTAATTATATGTAATTCATGTAAATTCAAGAAACAAGAGGTGCATAGAGATGCATAGAGATGCAAAGAGTTTGTCACAGTTGGCTCCTGGGTAGTGATCGCACGGGACTCCGCCTCCTTCTTTTCTTTGAGGTAGTCGAAGTACCTTCCGAAAAACTTCCGAACGTTCGATGATTACGAGGCCGCGCTTCCCGAGCTCAGACCCACTAAGGGAAGCACCACACGCAAGCTCCCCCAACGAAGCATGTGAAAATTGCTGACTTCCAGGTAAAGACGACCTTAGAAAATTTAGAAAGCTACAAGATGCTACAAGTCAAAGTTGCCCTAAGTCTAAGTATCATCTCTAAGTTATGTTCTTTTACTCCAAGACTTAGCTGCACAAAAGCAGAAGGCCAGCAATCACAACCAGATATCCAGATGTTGTCCCTGTCTTTTGAGATAAGTGACCAAGAATAAAGAATTGAGCGCTACAGGATATTGATAGAAATTATCAGAAAATAAGCTGTCAATCGACGAGTCAATCGACTTTCAAGTGGATCCTAGGGGTAGCCTACGGGCTCTTTTGCAGTCTCCAATGACTCAGATAATGCAGTCTGCATCACGCTTCTCAGAGCCAGGCACTATCTGGGGTTCGCCTGCGCTGAGGCATTCACCAATGACACAGTTCACTCTGGAAGTCTAGAAGTCACTGAAGAAGTCGCTGAAGAAGTCACTGAAGAAGTCTAGAAGTTTACAAGTCTTGCAGAGTCTTGCAGAGTCTTGCAGAGTCTCGCAGAGTCTTGCAGCCAATGTGCTTTGTGGATCTTTGTGGCCAAATGCTTGGCTTCCATAACATTTCTGTCCAAGTCCGGTAGGTTTTTGTCACGAGATCTCCTGAGGGTGTCATTGCCTGTCTTCGTTTCTGTGGTTTTCTTGGTCATACTGAGTCATACTCTGTTGTCATGTTTGTCATACTTGATGGATAAATATGTCGCCTCCCATTGCCGCACTTCGTTTGGACACAATGCTTGTTGAAATACGTGAAAGTGCGCAACCAATATGTTAAAAAGAGTCGTTGCACTTTCTGAGTCACAGGATCTACAATACTGCGTTGGCCTGTTGGTTCTGTAGATTTCTATCACATCTTTAGCTTCGGGGATTGCTTGCCCCTGAACAAAATCGCTGAAAAATGTTTGATAAGCAAAGTCAATAAGGAAATTAAGCCAAGAGAGCAGCCAGTTCCGAGCTTGGACTGTAAGTTCTGAAGCCTCATATTAGAGGTAGATGTGATGTAGCTACGTAGTAGTACCAGCACGAGCACTGTCAGTAGCTGAAGAAGCATTGTGAGTAGTACATCACGATACTGGTCCTTACCAGCCTTTGTTTGTCAAGTTTTGTTCAACCTCTACCAAAGTTTCTGTCTAGATCGCAAGATTGTGCTATCATGTGCTATCTGCGCGCATTCGTCGTACGCCCATCACATTTCAAGTCGTTTGTTTTGAACAAGTGCAACAGCCCTATGTTGTCAGAAGCCACCATTCCTACTGTTGCGCGTAGATCAAGGCAAAACATAAGATTGTTCCGTTGCAGCAATTTGCTGTGGCAGTTCCTTGGGTTGCTTTCTGTTGCTGGTATGATTTCACAAGTAAACGTATTGGAAAGAGCCAAGGGTAGTATGGGAACTGGCGCTCTGACTAGCCTTAGGTTCGCACGATGAAAGGGGAACGGGCTTGCTACTTGGGCGAGACCAAGCGGGAAATGACAACAATACCTCCCAAGGAAGTCGCTGTTTGGTCCTTGAGGGCGTCGCCGCTCGGAGATGAATGTGATCTCCCGGTGGAAGAACATCAAATTTCAACAAGTTTCACGCTAATTTGATGATGACGTGCGCGGGTTTGGAGGAACGCTTAAAGCATCTTAAAGCCTTCAAGCTGTTACCTGAGGGAAGCTTCAAGCTTTGGTCACTCCGTGACAATGGATCGCATGTCTTGCACTGAGTCGTTTGTGGGACAAAGATGGACAAAGCATGTGGCGCGTCCTGGGGGCGTCGCGACTCACAAAAGAGTTCTTCATGGATCTTCACAGTCTCGCACAGTCTCGCCATGTGTAGCATTGTGTAGCATTGTGTAGCTACGGATTCGAGGCGGTTATTCACATCACCGCTGTGGCATCTTTGCAATGCCTAAAGCAGTTGAAATCATTGGGTAGACTGTAGACTAATTACTTCAATCGGGTGAAATGTGAAGTGCATACCTAGTTAACTAGGGGACAAAATGGAACAAACAACAAAGATAACAAAGATCAAAAGCCACAAGGCTGGAGCAAGAACGAACATGAACAAACTACAGTTTGCAGCTTGGAGGAAGTGCAAGCAGTGCAAGAGTGAGAAACGTAAGAAACACAAGCACCTGCGCTCACCCTCAGGCTTTGGATCTGGGCTGTCTGCACCTACATCTCACACCGTGAACAGGATGGCAATGGCTGGCACAAATACTGTAATTACTGAAAGTCAAGAAGTCTGGTGCATCAAATTGTCAGTCGCGAACAGTTTGTCATTGGCGAACCAGTTTGGAGTGCTAACTTAACCTCTTAGCCTGCCTTTCTGTGCATCCTGCACATCCGTGGTATTCCGAGTCTGTCCAGAACCTAAGTGTGCTTAGATGCACTAAGTCTCTCTAGGTGTCTAAAGAACGCCACAGTTTGAAGGAACTCAAAGGAACTCAAATGGATTCAACATGATTCAACTGGTCCAAGGTGGTCCAAGTTTCACCCCTGGGACGGTCCCTACATGTGGCATGCGGTGCTGAGGGCAACATCTGGCCGAGTAACTGGGCTCTGCGGCAAACCATCTCGCCTGAGGAAACCAAAGCTGTGACAGGAAGCGAGCCAAGTGAGTATTCACATGTATTCACTACTATTCATTTCAAGCGGAGAAAGAGATAGAAACACGGTTCAACAAGTTCAGCTGCATCAACTGTCTCAACTGTGTACATCTTTAAAAATTGCTTTCTTAATGATCTTAATGTTTCTCACTGCTTCTGGGTTTCTCAGACATAGGCCTGTGGATATATCCCAATTCTTGCAACTCTGGAAACTGCCTTGGAAAGGACATCTAAAGCAAAATCAAACTATCAGGAAGAAGAGTGACTGAAAAAAATGAAACGGATGCAGCTTAAAGTGAGGAGTTGCAAAGCATCTTAAACGAAGTCCAGAATCGTGAAACCAAACGGAGTTGATGGAGTTGCAAATACGGATGGCCAATGTCATCCAAAGTGTATTGAACCAAACTATCAAAATCGGAGATGTGCAGAGGAATGTCACCCTGGAAGGAGAGTAACTATCGTGTGCTGAAGAGATGTCTTTGGCCTATCCCAGGCGTTCCATTGAAATTGTGTTCCAATCTAATATCCTGGAATTGTCAAGTAGTGGCAATGCTTCTAGGAATTTCTAGGTCCCTTTCTCCTGTTTGAGCAGTGGCGGAAAGTGCGGTGGACAGCTTCGAGATTCTCGGTCGCAGGTTTTTAAGACTCTGTTTTCTGCTGTATGTCTTCTCTCCTGCCTCGCAGACTTCGGGTCATAGCTTCCAGCCATGAAAACAAGGGAGTTGCAAGGGAGACATTCAGAAGTACGATAAGTATAGTATAGATAAATCAGCTTGGTTGTCACTTGTCAGGTATAATCCATCCAATCTATCAAGAAATGTCAAGGGGAGGACCAGGGGGCTACCACCACACTATAATGAATAATGCACTAAATGCATCCAGGCAGCTCGGGAAGCGTGGCAGCTCGAACACAGAGCAGAGGCACCACAGACTAACCGTGGCGCAGGCTGCAGAAGCGACCTTCGACACTGCAGTCTCGCGCACAGTACAGTCGAAGAAATGATTCGTTCACAGGATGTCTTCCCTGATGCACCCTCATGATCCCTGATGTAGCTTTGTGGACACTGGTGTGCTATGAAACTCTGTGAAATAGGCCTCACAAGCAAATTGGAGATGTCATCAGTGTTGCCTGCATAATATATATATATATTATATACATGGGAAGAATATGCTGCGCTATGTAGCACTTGTCTATATAACTGTTCAAAGGCATATGTAACATGCATTTCGGCAAGTCCCAACCTGTGATGGGTGCTCCGAGCAACGCTTGCCCATGCTCTTGTTCTAAGGGCTCTTGCCATTGCCATACTGAGAAAGTGTGGGCTCGTTTGTCAATAGAGAAGATGTGGCCAGGATTGATGTGGCCAGGAATTACCGAAATACTCCAGGCCCCCCTGTCATACGTGGAAGAGCTAGATAACCTTTGACATCCTTTGACTTTCAACAGAGATGTCATTCATAGACATTTATAGATGTTAAGCATGTGCAGCATGTTTGTTGAGCTGTGTTCTATCTTCATGAGACTCGCTGGTTGTGTTGGACGTGTCTACTTTTTTCCCAAGTCTCCATGATTGAAGCCAAATCTCCAGTCTTCTCAAACTTCGCAGGATGCTAAAAAGATTGAAAAAGCACAATTGTTTCAAGCTGTCATAAATGTCATAAGCTGTCCAGGATATTTCAATGCTAAAGATTGACTAAGGCCACCGACATATTGTCTGAGACCTCCAACCAGGAGTTTGGTTTGGGAGTGTCGTTCCTGGCTGAAGGCGCGTTGTGGAATGCCAGAGCCAGTGCAACATGACATCATGACAGGCTGTCGAGAGTCGAGAGGCACGTTGAACGCACATTTTTGAGCATTTACATGGGCTCTATTTCCAAATTAGTGTCTGTTCTGTATCTCTCCTTGTGACATCCATAGGTACCCTGTCCTTGATTGATCGGATTTGGGCGTAAAAGTGCTCAGGCCTTCTGCAGGCCAGAGCAAGCAAACTGTCCCATCCTCTGTGATCGTTGCTGTTTGTGAATTCTGGACAACGATCTTCAAACATCCTCAAAATAAACTGGCCCAAACCGGCCCAAACCCTTGAAATGTGTTCTTAAATATTCTTAAATATTCTTAAATATTCTTAAATATTCTTAAATGTCTTCAAATGTCTTGGAATCTGATTTCTTCTGTACGTCTAGCTGCGTCTAGCTGAGTCTAGCTGTGTCGCCTTTGCGGATCTGCCAGGCGGAGCTCCTCAGGGAGTGAGAACTCGACTGTGACGACTGTGACGACTTACCCGTAACAGCTCCTAGGTCTTAATTCGGTTCAGGGCGAGGATAGCGAGGACAGGAGAAGTTCAATGCAAACAACACCAGAGCTTCATAGAGCTTCATTGGTTTAAGGTGTATCTGCTCGTTCCAACTGTACCCACCAGCTGCCTTGAACGATGTCATGTACATCCTTAGATCACAAGTCATAAGTGGACTCGACATGACTCGACTTCAACAAAATATGGCGCGCCACACCCAGCATTTTGCCAAGATCATCAACAAATGTCGACAGTCTTCAGTTTTGCCATGTTTTGCCAAGATATGCCAAGATCATCAATTTCAAAGGCCCCTACTCACGCACCACAGCGATGGATGGCTTGCAATGCCACTCAGGCAAGGCCTTCAAGTCTGGATGTTGCCCAAAGCGAGATCAACTGAGACTGACCTAGACCCAATCCAGAAATATCAACATAAGTCGAAGATAGTAGTCTAAGTATGGTCTGTATCGAGTACAGTAATATTATGCATTACATTGCATTATACTTTACTGAACTAGTATGTAATAAATGAATATTCAGTATAAATAAAATGTATAAATAAATGTAATATTATAACATTATAAATTATAATATTATAATATTATATTATAATATATTATATTATACACTATGATTCAATCTATTTGATACTCCAAGCCGGATGTTGTCTCTTTGCCTCGATCATCTTGATGCGCTGAGCAAAATGGACGGGCAGTTCCTTGCATCAGAACGCTCAACGGCTGGAGGCAAAACCCCAGGGTTCACGGCTTGAGAAAACATGAGAAAACAATGTGAATCTGTGTGAATCTCAACTGTTTGCCTCAAAAACATTCATATAATATGATATACATTCATTATTTCAATATATTCCAATACCATGCACATGCACTTCTAAGATTTCTGAGGAGGTCTAGAGTCTACTAGAGATGTCAAGAGTACTCAGAGTACTCTGAGTACTCAGAGTACTCTGAGTACTATTGCAATCTGCACACGAGTGCTTATTGCTGCGTGGATCCTCATGTAGCAGCTGGGCCAGCTCATCTGCGCTAGATTTCGTTGCAACGTCCAGCAATGATTGCCTTCCCAACTGCACCAGGCAAACCCACTCTGACAGAAATTGAGAACAAAAGAGCATTGAAAAGCGTTGAAAAGCGTTGAAAAGCGTTGCAATATGGTCAATCTGTTACTGTTGCAATCTCGAAAAATCTTAATAATAGCAAGATATATTAAGCCTGAGGCTGAGGCAAAGTAAGCGGACGCGGAGTTCTGAGAGCCAGGGTGGTAATCTCTGCCTGTCAATTCAAAGAACAGGCCGAGTCCTTGGGTCTTGCAAGTCAAGACATTGACCTCAATCATCGAAGGACACGTTTAGATATACTATTATGCTATTATATACTTAGAAACGTTGGGCGGATTTTACGTATTTTATCTAATTTTAGCATGTTGCATTAGAATGATGTATTGAATGAATCAAGGTTGTAAATGATGTACTCAACACTGCGTCTTAGATCTTTCTTGTCTTCCGTTGTCACCTCCAAGAGCTGCTCCAACCGTGCCATTGAAAGCGACACGGCCTGCAATGCAACGTCTCTATAGTGTCAATCAATCATCAATGTGCTGTCATTAGAAACTGCTCAATATTGTTCACTCTCTTGCTCTGCCAGCGCCAAACATTGTATCATGCCTCGTGCCCAATTACTCTTTCAACTGATCTATTCATGATTATTCATGACTAGTAGCCAAACAGACATGTCTGTACCAATTCGCCAAGATCGCATACAAGAGTCTTTTGACTCCCAGGTCCCAGGAAAGGTCAGTCTAAGTGTTGAGGCGACCAGTATTGTTTGCACGTCAATGTAGTGAATCCCTTGCACCTGTACTGAAACCCGTCTCACGCATCTCACGTGTGGAGTAAAGCGTGCCTTGCATCTGCGTTGTGATGGCGACAAACATGAAGCCAGCGAAAAAAAAATGTCAACAATGTCCAAGGATGTCCAACGTATGATAAGACTGAGATTGCGCCAAAGCTGCAGGCGCCCAATGGAGCAAACATCTCGTCGCTTGCCAGGCATGCCAGGCTGGCCACATTACAATTATGAAAGTTGGCGCCAGTTTCCAAGATATTCTAAGATGTTCCCAGTTCTGTGTGGCACTGCTTCCTTGAGCTATCGTATATGCAGGCGTCTGGGACGCTGTGCTGTCTTGTTTTGTCTAGATAGTCTAGATCGCAGAGATCCTAGAGAAGTGAGCATAGTGATTGCTCTGCCTGCTGCATGTCCTCACGGAGATCTCACTAAGCACATCAAGTTATGTCAAGCGTCTTCTTATTTCATCTTATTTCTAGCTCTTGGATGCTCTTGGATGCTCTTGGCTTAAAATGGCTTGTCCAGGAATTTTCCAGAGATGAAGATAGACCATCCAGAAGCATGGCTCACAAGCAGAATCAAACATGTGTGGCACGCTTGAAACTCTCGATGTTTAGATATATTGCAGCTCGCAGTGATTCAACTGTGGCACTTTTTCTGATTCACTTTGGCTGCTTTGTCTTCTGGCAGCATCAGAAGAGATTGGTCCAAACCGATCAGCATGTTTCTACCCCAAGACCTCACTGCAAACGTCATGAGCAAGAACGTGAATGAACATGACATCAGTACAGAGATGTGCTGAGTGCAGTTGGTGCTATACAGCTGCAAGCATACTCTACCAAGCGGCGAAAAGCGGTGAAGACTGTGAAGATATTCGTTTTCCACAGTTCAAATAGTCAAAGGGTCTTTTCTGAGCCTCGTCCTGCTTGATGTTTTCCATTCGACTTGGTGGACGGTTGACCGTCTTGTCTGTTGTTTTCGGTGACACAGTCTTGACTGCGCCATCAGACTCGACGGGTGTACAGTAGGCATATCCAGCATGTAGAATTGGAACATCACAAGGACCTCCGAATGACCTGTGTCCAGGTGGTAATTGGTTTTCGCCAAAGGCAACGGCTTTTCCATCGCTTCGAAGCAGCAAGGAATGTCGAAAACCGGCAGCCACTGCTGTATACCAAGTTCCCAAAGGGCACGGAGGGATATTGCAGCGCCCATCTCCATTGTGTCCGAATGCAATCGCTTGACCATCGCTTCGCAGCAACACAGCATGATGTCCACCGCTTGCAATGGATGTGTACATCATGCCAACTGGTAGAGAGGGGGTAAGGCTTGTCAGGCTACACTCCACGCTATCGTTTGTGCAGGAAACGGCATGACCGTCACTTCGCAGGAAAAGCGTGTGCTCTAGGTTTGCAGCAACAGCAATATATCGAATACCTGCCGGCAGTCTTGGTATCTGGAGGCTACCACGAGATCCAACCGCACTTCCGTCACTTCTGATGAGAACTGTGTGGAATGCTCCAGCAGCGACTGCAACATATCGACTTCGACTTCTCTCCTGAAGTGAAGTAAAATTCGTTCCAGTCCCTGCTGCAGTCCCTTCTGACTTTGCTTTGCTGTCCATCTTTCGAATGGGGGTCAAGCGCCCTCGACCTTTCGATTGAGTTGAAACATGGACGCAGGCAGTCTCTGGCATTCTCCCTTCTCATCCCTAGTCTATGTGTGGGACGGTGGTATTTTGGTTGGTGTGTGATGATATTCAAGAAATCAGCATTCAATGGTCCTGGCCGGCCTTCCCATTCTGACGCAATGTATGAACACACCGCCCTACAAATGTCTGGGTCTAAGATGATCTAGTTAAGCAGGAATCTAGAGCAATGCAAGCTTATGCAAGCTTCTTTGTTCGGGGACGAGAACCACAAGGTCCGATGTTTTGTCTCTGCATCAGCTTTAACTGACAAGGTATGCTCTTCGTTTCTGGCTATATAATCAGTCCGAAGCTGTATTTATCAGCAACAGCAGCAGATTCAGGAAGCTTTTCCCACCACAATGATCCCAAAGAAAGACGATATTACAATAATTACAGTACTATAATATATATATATGAATAAGAACGGGGGTCGAGTCTCCAACAATGCTTAAATATCTGCGAAAGTACCAGTACCAACGCGGCAGAAAATGGCAGAAAGGGATCAAGGGTTTTTGAGTAATTGGTCCTGTCCTCGTGCAATACCCCTTCACAAAAGCCCATGCTCCAACAATGTCAGAAAGACTGATAGATTGCTGTTTGATGCTCTTGCCACTCTGGAGTCTGCAGAGTTCAGAGAGGTCTAGAGCACATGCGCAAATCTTGGAGCCAAGGGTTAAAAAATGTTAAAAATGCTTATCTCATCTTATCTCGATCCTCGATGCTCGATATATCTCTGTCGAGCTTTGGCCTGGCCTTGTATTGTCGCAGGACGAGGCTCCGTTAACTCAAAGTCCTGGCACATTCCGCAGTCTTTTGGCAATATTTCTCCAATCTCATGTGTCCCATATTTATGCCAAGATATGCCAAGCCTACAAGTTGAACTTCTCTCTCTCTCTCTCTCGCTCTTTCTGGATCACTAAGCTGCGAACAAACGGAATGTTGCACTGCCCTTCTGAGTTGCGGCCAAACGCAACTGCCTCTCCATCACTTCGGAGCAAAACCTCCATGGACACTGACTGTCAAAAGATGTCAAAAGCTTCTCAAGTTCTGTGCATTGGAAACTTAGGCCTCTGACTGTATGCCAATTACCTGCAGCTGCTTTGACGTATTTTACTCCAGGTGGCAGCGCAGGTACCTTCACAGAAAAGACAAGATCACCCCTCTATATAATTCCAGAATATTCCAGATATCAGAGCAGAAGTCGAGTTGTATGATGTTGTATGAGAGTTCACAGTGTTCGCATCTTCAAACGTCTTCAAACCGTTTGGGCAAACCGTTTGGGCACTGCACATTGATTGTGTTCATTTGCTCCAAAGGCAATCGCGTGACCATCGCTTCGAAGTAAGATCGTGTGGCGGCCTGCGGAGCTTTGTCCATGCTCAACCACGAGCCTTAAGGCAGCTAAGGCAGCTAAGCCAAGGCTGGAACATCCTGCTTCAGCCGCAACATAGATCAAACCGCGAGGCAACTTTGGGACCTACAGTCCGAATGATTCAGAATTCATCATATGCTCATTGCACTTCTCAAGTCCCTTGCTAAGCCCTGTCGGGACGCTCAGTCCTCTGCTGCAAGCCCTGTGAATAAAGCCCACGAGACTCTACCGTTCTAAACGACTAAATCTTCAGAAGTTTGTCGATTCAACGTAAATTGCTGCTCGCTGCTTGCAGTGCTTGCACCTCAATTTGACCATCTGCATTGCTGCCAAATGCAACTGCTTCACCTGAATGCTCAGCAGAAGTGATTCTAAACGTTTCAGGGCTGGAATGTCGACTGGCAAATAACTGCAAATTCATCCCTATTGGCCATAGAAATGCTGCCTGCATGCGTGAGTTCTGGAAAAGCTTTAAGAAGTTTGTCATTTACACTTACTACGTACATACGGATCCATACGGATCCATTGTCTGCAGGGAAATATTTGCCCAATGCGACGAGGCGCTTGACAAAACAATTAAGAATTGCAAATTTCTTAAAGGGTTTTATGATGTTTTATGATGCTTTATGTACCACAATTTACTGCTGGGGAAGAAAAATCTGTCTTGTTTGTCCAATGACGATCAATGCCTTTGCTCCGTCCTGCACTTGTCACACAATAATGTTGCGCATTGATATGCGTTTAAGGACGCCTCAAACTAATGGACCTGTAGTCAACAAGAACTTTGAAAAGGCGCTCCCCAGGAGGAAAGGCTCCTGAGTCTTCATTCCTTTCATTTGGTGGAACTCATGGGGGATGAAGCTGCGGAAAACCTCATTAACAATATATTAACAATATATCGACAACAATTGGACATTTGTGGAAACTCCATCGAATTCTTTCTTGTTTGCACTTGATTTTGTTCATGCCTGAAAGAAAAAATCACTCTGAAGCGTTCAACTATCCACCACCTTTGAAACGATTGATGGGGGTTGAATTATGCTTTCAACACTTTCCACTGTTGACGTCCATTCCACCAATCAATATACTCAATACCAGTGGCACAAAATGTCCTCATCTTAGCCACCTTTAGCTGCTGACTTAGCCTTATGCTCAGTCCAAAGTTCACCTGATTATTTGGCCTTCTTTCTCCTCCATAAGCACTCCATAAGCGACGCTGAAACCTGCATTGGTCTCTTCGTGCTGTTTCTGCAAATTGCTTCACTGTCGAACGGACCACTCGACTGTTCGCTGCCAAGTCACCATCAGATCGAATCAATACCTGAAACGAAAAAAAAGTGAGAAAAAAAATAAAAGCAGTGCAACTCAGCGCAGGGTGTGCATTCATGCCCGTAGCATCCCGCCACATCTTATGTGCAGATGAAACACTGAATGGAAGTCACCGCAGGCCATTGCGCACCATGATCGCTGTCCAACAAAATGACTCGTTTGCTCTTGTCTCGCAACATCAAAGCAATAGAAGACTTCAATTGCAAAAGCATGGCAACGATTTGAAAAGGGAGGCTTGGATTGCAAAGTCTGAAAGTGACATTGGGGCACAAAATTGCATAAGACTCTCATGCTTCACTACCGTCAGTGTTATGCGCTATGAGAACTCGATGCAGCGGCATTACAATCACAGCGCATCTCAATCTTTTGTCAGGGGCAATGCCACGGATTGAAACATGTTTCAAACAAAAACGGCTGCTGCATGTTGCTGTTGCTGTAAACGACGCGATCACAGTGAAACTGTTTTGCAACACAACGCACGATAGCGGTGCTAAAAGCTCGGTCACATAGATGTAGTCCATCTCCTGGCGCATGCTGCTGCTATTTGCTTTGTTTTCCATCGTTGTACATCCATGAAATCTACTATGTTACAACATTAATCTAGATCCATAATAATAGCAGTCTTGCGAACTATTGTCAATTGCCAACTATATCAACTAGATTCAACTAGTAACTATTCGCCATCTTTGTGCTGCAAATCAATGCAGATTGCTCTTAGTGATCCGAGCTGAGTCTTTGACCATCCTGACTGCGCAGTCTACCTGCCCAAGTCTACTTTGCGCTGAATGCTAAAACCATTCAGAAACACCGGCCCATTTGGCATGCCGTTTGTTGAGATGTGAGATGTGTTGCAACATGTTGCACTCCAGTTGCAACCAAAGATTTCACTCCAGTTGGCCTCCTACGACCCCGACTGTGGTGCCTGGTCAAGTTGGAGACTTTCAGAGGACAGTATTTGAACAAGCGCGCAAATGTGCTCAAGTTCAGCCGTATTACGTAGACGTGTTTGTTCCAATGTCAGACCTGTCTGCTTGATGTAGGTAGTCGACCGACCTGCTCCTGCTTCGATGTCTTCGAGCAGGTTCACGGCTGACAAGCCTCACATCGCGGCCTCAAGGCACAAACTGGTGAAACATCAATGGAATCAATACATTCGTGTTACATCCGTGCTCGTCATTGTTTGTATTGTTTTCGTGTCGTTTTTGTATTGTGTTCGTATTGTTTGTGACCTGAAGATATGAAGAATGTCTTCAGAAGTATTCAAGTACAACTTTGGGAAGAGAACGGCAAGGATAGATTGTGCAAAATGTAGGAACCGCAAAGCACCAGCAGCAAAGTTCATAAATAATGAAGAGAGATTGAAGAGAGATCAAATGGGACAAGAGATGAGAAGAGCGCTGCACAAAATTCCAAAAATAGATGTGAAAGCTGATGAAAACTAGGGCCAGGGTTCCAACCTTCAGTTCTCCTTGACAAAGGAATTTTCCTTTTCAGCGGTGATGCGGAAGCTGGTCTTCTGAGCCTCGTTGAATGGCTACAGCGTCTGTTTGAAACATTGCCGCGTCTCAGCACAAACCTGACTCTATAATGTGTACATGATACATGTACTACCATTATTTACATGGTATGGTATGTATAGTCATAATTAGTCATATAGACATAGATTGTGTGTGTGTGTGACATATTGCGGCGAAACATTCGCTTTGCAGAAGACTTCACGAAAAGAATACAAATTTCAATAAACAACGCATTCTTGAAGCATTTCTCAAGCACAAAGCAAAGGCAAGGGCTTCTGTCGCGGACCATCGCTTTTGTCTCGCTCCATCGCCTGCTCCTCGCGTGTTACATGAGATTTGGGTAAGCACGACTCGCGAGGAAGCTGTTACTCCGGACCCGGATTCACATCTCTACGATGTTCTATACATATAATATATTATAATATACATATCATATAATATAAAGAAATTAGGTAGGTGTATAATGGTGTATATATGTAATATGGTGTAATAACGTAGGAGAGGGAGAGCCTATATAACAGATTGGTACATCACGTCATATGACCAAAATGCTGCAAAACTCAAATGTGGTTTGCACACTTCGAAGTCCTTGTTAGATTTTGTTCAATGCTCATGAAACTAATCTGACTGATTTGACTTTCCAAGCCTGTGCCAAGACAAGGCGGTTCCACTCAACCGTTTTGATTGCCTCATACTCGAAGGGTGCAAGTTTCGCTCAATACCGACCATTGCACTGAACTGATGCCAGCACCCACTCGCTTCTGTAGATGGCTGCTTTCTTGCTGTTATGAACTTATCTGGAAGAATGTAAAAAGTTAACATAAATTCAAAACGCTGACAGTGATCAAGACACCTCAAAACATCTCAAGACATCTCAAGACTGGAGACATTGCTGCAAGTTTGCTCAGGCTATGGCATCTTGGGCAGCACCCATCAGATCGCAAACACCACGGGAAGAGTCGCGATCTCGCACATCTCTCTGGAACGGCCTGGCTTTGTGATGGCCGTGGGATGCCATTGCTCTAGAAGCCAATAGAAGCCAAATACATCTAAATACAAACTAATCACAATAAAAGATATAATAAGTAATAAGCTACTCATTACAAGCTAATTATAAGATATTATAATTAAGTATTAAGTAGATATGCTAATTATAAAATAACGCTAAAGACAGAGTACAAGCAGCTCTGGCTCTGGCCTTGGAAGCGCCTGCGAGTCCATTTCAACGTGCAGAGCACAGGATGAAGAGATCCAGTTTCGTCTGTTTTAAGATGGTTTAGAAATTGTGTCAAGGTGTTCGCGAAGATGTTCCCGAAGATTCGAGATATTTCAAACAGTATTTCACATTCACAATTCTCAGGTCAGAATTGTGGACCCTGTGCGACCTTCGCTGTGGCACCAGGTGGAGCACGCCTCCGTCCTGACGGTATGTAGATGGTGAAAACAATTGAAAACATGTCAATGTGAAAGCAAGGATTCTTGCGGCCTTTTTCACAGTGCGGTCCACAAATTTAAACCCATTTAGTATGCCCAATATAGATGTTGCTGGCCAACATGCGCGCCTTCTCGGTCTGAATTCCAAGGCGTTGCCCTGAGGAAATGCTACAGGCACACAACGAACTGACTCAAAACCAAACAATAAGGAAACACAGTGGAACAATGGAACAGTGTACACTGTAGAATACTGTAGAATACTGTAGAATACTGTAGAATACTGTAGAATACTGTAGAATACTGTAGAATACTGTAGAATACTGTAGAATACTGTAGAATACTGTAGAATAGTAGAATACTGTAGACACATGTTAACAATTGGAAACACACGCAAACAGATGCAAACAACATTGAACACACAAGCAAGTTCAACCAACACGAAGCGACATCTGCAATGAATACCAGGAATATTAATATACTCAAGACAAGATAAGAAAACATAGAGAAAAGATTGGGAGGACCCTGGATAGCTTCACTTTCTTTTCACCGCACACTGGACTACTCACGTCTGGCTGCACCGCTGCATATGTTAACAGTGAACGAACATTGTTATGAAATAACAATGGGTTGAACAAGAGGTTGGGTATCACAGATAACCCTTACACTCTTCAAATAGATAGGGTCAAAGGGGGAACACCTTTAGACACCAACCAAACCCAACCAAACCAAAAAGGTGGAATTGGGGGGGCTGGAAACCCAACGAAGCCCCCCCCCTCCCATCACCCCGCAGAGGGGATCAGGGAGAGGATGGGATAACAAAAGGAGACAGGGACTGGCTAGTTGACTTGAGCCAAAATTGGCATAAGTCAACTAGCCGTCCTACAAATCTTTTCACATCACATGAAGACCCTTCCCAACCAACCTACTCACATGTAAGATAAAAACATCTCCAAATGATTAGATATTCGCACTATCTTTAAATGTCCATGGGAGGGGCTTACCGTCGTTGCACATGACCTAACTCAGCGAGAAGTGCAAGGCTGGAAACGGTTGGAAAGCGAGAAATGTCACAGCATGTCACAACAAAAGGATTGGATTCGTATTGTCCAGCAGAACGATGCAGAACGATGTAGACTGTGTCGGTGCCTTGGAAGTTCGTCGTTGGCTGGTACGTCCGCACCTGTGGCTCAAGTCGAATCAAATGCATTGCATGTGGGTGTGACATCGGAGAAATGATTTATAACTGATATTGTCACCAATGATGATCAATGAAGATACCTCACCTTTGCAGAGAATGTTGATGGGGATAGGAGGAGTAGATAGTCAAGCAAGATCAAGCAAGGAACAATGCGGAGATTGACCAGCGCCAGGAAGAACATGCAAAATGCAAAATGCAAAATGCATGACGGTGTGCTGCGACTCTGCTAGTTCTGCCATTGCTGAGACGAATCGGATCTAGCCTGGACTTGCGCCTGAACTTCGACGTCTTCTGCCTGGTCGGAGTTGAGTTCCCGAGCACGTCATGAAACGCTCGACAAATGAGAAGACTTCAAGAACTGTTCAATAAAAACATATGAAACTAAAACGTTCCCAAAACCAAAGATGTGTACTGGTTTCGCCATGTTTCGTCGGCACGCCTTTGCTTGGTGGCTCGATGCCAGCGCCAGGCCTTTATGGGGTGTTCGTCTGTTGTCTTTTTCTGCCATGTTCTGCCTTGCAATTGTGTTTAGAATTTAGATGTGTTTAGTATGCCTAGATATGCTTAGTGGTTAGGACAGAATCTTAGATACCTATAGAATCCTATAGATATCTTAGTCTATATAATCTTAGTCTAATCTTAGTGAATATACAGTAATTTCTGTGAATATTTCGATGTTGAAAGCCCGCTTTTCGGCTAAGCTCCGAGCTCTGTGTGGTACCCATGGCCTGGCCCACGACTTTTGACAGCGCTCCAGTTCTCCAAATTTCTCCAATGTCAGTTGCATGTAGCAAATGTAACATGCTAATGTAACATACTAATGATACTAATGTATTGCTTTTTTGTATTGCAAATGTTGGAAGCAGAATGAGGCAGATCATGGCAGATCCCTGTGTTCCTTTTATCATCTCTGTTCATCTTTTTCATCTCTTATACTCTTTCTCTGAACTTCAGATTCGAACCACCCTGACAAGCCGCGCCACCAACGTTGGCACCTTGGTTCTGTGCATCTGTGGCATGACGTCGTCGACGTCGGCTTCCTTTTCGGCTGCCTCAACATTGCTTCCATATGCGGATGCATCCATTCGCAAGGAAATGGGCATATTGTGCTTCTGATGCTACTTGCCAAACCAGCTCAGTTCAAATGATTGGCCATGATTGGCCTCTTTCTGCTCCATTGGCCACAGTTGGATCTGGCCTGTGGAGCGGCACAAGAGCAATTTGTGTTTTCCGGGACCGGTCAAATTTGTTCCCTTGGTGCAACTTGGCCAGCTGCCTACCAATGTTGCATTTCACTACCCGCGAACACCCAGACGTGGGGAAGAGTTCCCTGAGCTGAAGAATTGAGCTGATGGTTTGGAAGATTCTAAGATCCATTTCGTGAAAGTCTGAGAAAGCGGAGGCCAAGAAGTCCAGCCCGCGTGCATTGGAAAAGTCTCACAGCTCAAAATCTGAAACCTCACCAAGCGCATCACAAGATAGCACAAGCTAATTTGGCAACATTGTAGGACCTCGTAGGACCTAGCACCTAGATGCACCTAGTACATTGGGAGAAGCTAGGAGCTCGGAACGGAATGTCCCTGATCATCCCTGTGCATCATTTCCACTGTGCCTGGGCGAGTCTTTCGATGCCGGACCAGTTTCAGGGCCTCGGACACTTCCAGACTGGCGAACTTCGATGCTTTCATGTGTGCAATTCGCTTTTTGGAGGCGTGACATGCGCAATTTGTAGTTGACAGCTTATCAGATTCTGTAAACCTCAGGAGGGAAATGAAAGCCAGCCTTAGATTTAGGAGGGTGAGATGGATAAGAGCACAGAGACACAGGGCGAAGAAAGAGGGGGACAGGCAATTTGTTTCTCCTGGGGAGAACGCAACGTGTGTGAGGAGCAAGAACCACCTGGAACCCTACGCTACTCTATTTTTGCTATACCCTCACACCGCCTTTGCGCAAACCCAAAAAGGCACTTCGATAAACCCAACAAGCACACAAACAACCTCGACCGACGCGACCGATACCCCTTTCCGAGCAGGACCTGAAGTGCCTTTTCCTACTCTCTACCGCGGCACAAATCCAAGCAGGCGCTTCAAAAGAGACAGCAAGGCCTCCACAGCGCACATATCAGGGGAATCGAAGCCCTACCAATTGACCCAGTGATACATAGTCACATAGTCCTCAAAAACAGTCTTGCGACACCCTCTCCCAAGCAGTACAGCGAGAATTGCAACACCTCGCAGCAGCCACTACAGTAATTATCCCCCCCCCCAGACCCCCAACTCTCACTTCATTCGCATGGAACCACGTAGCCAAGCCTGTCGGTTGGCTTACTTAATTGACATGAAAGACGAACGACACAAAATTGTCCGTTGGTGAAAAAAGATGGTCAAAGGCTGTAACAGGCTGTAACAGGCTGTAACACGCTTGTGTTGCCATCAGGCTCTTACCATTTTGGTCCGGATCAGCCTTATGATCCTTATGTTTGCGTCGACGGCGGCGACGTTCCTACAAGGTGCGCGAGCAAAGCAATTGCTATGTCTCTCTGCAAAACCAAGGTTATTGCGAGCACAAGTACAAGCTATGCCCATATTATACTCCAAGTAGCAAATGGGTGAGGAAACATTCAAGATATTCAAGTGTCTGTGGCTAGTGGCACAGGGCCAGTAGGATCGAATCTTAGAGGAATGGATGCGAATAGCAGTGTTGTTTGGAGAAAAAATGTTATCGAGTATGAAAAGAAGGGATGCCGCCACCAATTCGTGATCACACCTGCACATGTTGATGCATCTTTGGGCGTGTCTTGCACTTCAGATGCGAGGCAGAGTGTACAATGTACAAGCTCAAGCTCAGAGCAAGCAAGGCCTTTTCGTGGCCATCGTTGTTTTTGTGGTGCCTTCGTCGTGACCTCACCAAAGATCTGGAGATGCCACTGGTGTCACATCCTGTTGACTCTATATCCCCCATATTGATCCATATTGGACGTTTGAGATTCTGCAGCCCTCGCAAGAGAAGCATGGCAAGATCTTCTCTCTCTCTCTCTCCCTCTCTCTTGCGTCTCTGTTTGCTTTCTGGCGCACACCGTCACCGCTGTCTCCGTCACCGCTGTCTCCGTCACCGGGTTTCCCAGCTTCTTATGCTTCTCACTGACCTGCACGGAAGCTCATTGGAGAAGGGTGACAGTAAGTATAGCCTTCCCTTCGCAGGATCTCTCAAGTCTCCATCCCACTGCGGCAAATATATAATATATGCGCACATTTGCCTACAGTACAATAGAAAATACATATGCAAAATTGCGGTCCGCTCTTTTTGAAGTCACTGCGTGCAAGCATTTGCACCAGGGAGCCAAAATAAACTAGCACCGTTTTTTTGACGCTTGCTTTGCAAGCACTGAATCTCGCAACGCTGCTCTGCATCAGCTCCAGAAAACATTAAAAACATGTTCCCATTTCGCTTCCTTCGCTTCCTTCGCTTCCTTCAGCCTCGAAATCCTGAGGTCCTTAAGCTGCCTTCGCTCAGCCGCTCACTTTTGGATGTCCATAGCCTTGGTGGCATTCCTGCAGGGTTGTGTCGCAGAGTCGCACAAACATTGTACAAACACGGAAATCAAATCATGACGAAGCCACGCGAAGCCATCACAAACCACTTGAATCACTTGACATACTAAGACAATCTAAAAGATACCAAAACGCCGCCTGTGCCAGAAGGGCAGTTTAAAAGGCCACCGAAAGGAAGGTCGCCTAAGCAATGCTCTGGTGTGCATTGGAAAGATGACCACAGTCTAGTCTTATGTCATACCCAAACAGATTACGCTGTGTAGGTTGATATGTGTCGATGCATATTACGCTGTTCATTGTTTTAATATAGATTCTGAATCTCAGAATACATTCATCAAAATGCACTTGCCACCAATCTTGCTTGCAACCTAGTGGCTGGGGGCGCCCTGCACTGTCCACGGCAGCTGGATCCACCTCATTTAACCCAATCGCAAAGGTCAAATCCGATGAGGTGCTGATGCAGCAGGCAATATCGGCCAATATCGTGCAGTTTTCTGAGGTGATTTCCGATATTTTCCGATGCCATTTCATGCCAGGTGACAGGAGAAGGCACAGGGAATAGTCCTGGTGCCAGGTACTCGCCAAGGTCGTAAACCAATACCTACAGAAGAGAAACTGAGAAAGTAGCTTAAGCGTGCCTCGCCGAATTCAGTGGCTGAATGTCAAGAGATGGGTCCCATGTATTCCTTGTATTCCTTGTATTCCCATGTTCCTCGCCTGATAGTCATCGTTGTCCAAGTTTGGTAAAGATGACACCAAGCCAGCAGTCAAGGCTTCGCGCAATAGCGGCAAGGCCTCTGTGCTGAACCCGGAAGAGGTACACAACTGAATACATGTGTAGTAGAAAGAAACAAGAAAAAATAAGGTCTTGCTGTAAGATGTTGTAAGCCTCTTTTTCGAGAAACCAAATAACATCCCCACACCTCCAACAGAAATCGAAACGGAAGCAAAATGGAAGGACTGGGTCCCATTGTGGAGAAAACGAAGCTACATTTCCGCAATAATCCACACTATTGGCATATTGGAAGCTATTGAAAACTGTTTTCAAGTAAACCTTGGGGGCCGTGCAAATGCTGCCGTGCAACCGACACTGCACCTCCGAGAATACCGTCAGGTGTGATGGAGAAGTCCACTGCAGGTTCAGTCAGAAAGGTCAGCGCGACCAGACCAACATAGGGATATCCCTGCACAACGCGTGGACTCGACAGCGAAAAACAAATAATAAGAGATGATAATAAGATATAATTAGAGTACATCGGCACAGATTTAAATCAAATCAAAATTGGCAAATGTTGTGACGTTGTCTGATTATTACTTGCGCTGACGAACGACAACAGCCTGTTGACAACAGCATGGGGGCTCAATTCGGTGTGCAAGTGTTGGCCTGTGGCGCTGCCTCCATGGCAACTGCTATCGGCACAGGTCCGAACACAAGATCCTTGGCGGGTCTTGGAGCGTGCCCTCCAAAGGATGCAATGGTCACACAGGACTTCAGCAACTGCTTAGCAACTGCTTTTCAACTTGCTCCAATGAGAAACTTGGTGTCCGACTCGCAAACGTACTCGGAGCTGAGGAAAGAGATTCAATCGAACAGAGGACCGTGCACTCGCTTTGACAACCACCTGAAAAAACAATGAAACAATGTGAGAATTCGCCAAATCTGCGTGAAATCTCACTTGCAACTCAGAAATACTCAGAAAACTGATGGAGGTCAAGCTCAGACATGTTGAAAGGAGTTTCGCCGTGGCTGTTCCC